ACAAGGCTCACCAGTCTCTCCAATCCTCTACATGCTGTATACAGAGCCAATCTGTGCCCGACTTGGCATGAAAAGAAGACGCTTTGGATATGCAGATGATCTAGCAACACTCTGCATTGGAAAGAACCTTAAAGAAACAGCTGCAAAGGCTTCTGAAAACCTTCATTTGCTCAACCAATGGGGACATAACAATGCTATTGAATTTGATCCCGACAAAACCGAGATCATGCACTTCTCACGGAAAAAGAACTCAGACAATCCCCCAGTTTGCCACGGAACAATGAACAAAACAGCTAAGCATTCCATGCGATGGCTAGGTGTCCTTCTGGATAGGAAACTAAACTTCAAAGACCATGTTTCTCACTGGGCCAAGAAAGCTAGTAGGGTAGCAAATCACCTTCGAGGACTATGCAACACAGTCAAAGGACTTCCAGTAAAGTCAACCAAGAGGGCTGTGAAAGCTTGTGTTATTCCTATTCTCACACATGGCCTGGAGGCCTGGTACCCAGGAATCGAGAAAACTGGGAGCTTAGGTGAGACATCAGCATGTCGCATTAAGGGGCTTCTTGGAACAATAGATGCCGTACTACGAACGGCGATCAGGGCTATCTTGCCAGTCTGGAAAACACACCCTGGACATATCTTACACTTTGAATCGCAGATTCCCCCAGCAGGAGTTCTTGCAGAGTCAATAAGACGACGTCACGGCCTCCGACTAGGACGAATAGATCAGAGACACCCTCTGGTTGGCAGGCTCCAAATACAAGCTCGCAAGGATCCAACAAGGCTACAAAGAAGCTTCCAGCTAGTCCCTGACTTCCAGAGACCAATACTTACCAGGCCATCATGGAGGAAGCGCCCAATCCGCAAAGACAAAGACAAAGAAACAGAGCTCTTCAAGCAATGGTTACAAGAGAGAAACGTGAACACTGACCTTGTCATCTACTCAGATGGATCACAGTTGGATGACCAAGGCACAATCCGCACTGGATGGGGTTATACCATCAGGAAAGGCGGCACTACACAAGAAGTATACCGGGGAAGGGGCAGACTTCTACAAGCAGAAGTAGTAGATGCTGAAGTCCATGGTGCTCTCCAAGGTCTTGCAGCAGCCAGGGCAATTGGACACGGAAAACAGCTATATGTCTGCCTGGACAACACGTCAGTGGTAGATGGGCTCAATGGGACTCCACCCGAGACATCACAAAACATTTTTCTACGATTTCAAGAACTTGCCACAGCACACACTCCTGGAGTGACCGTCAAATGGATTCCTGGACACAGAGATATTGATGGCAACGAAGCTGCCGACACACTAGCAAAAGAGGGTGCCATGCTGGAAACAGACACAACAAATCTTCCTACAATCTCTTGGGTCAAGAGAGATCTCAAAAGACAGGGCAAGAAAGAGTTCAACCAATGGTGGAAAGACCAATCAGAATCTAGGTATCAAGAAGTATACTCACATGCAGTAACTGAAAGAGACCTTATATCTTTTAAGAGGAGTACTTTACACAGACTTCTAGCGGCCAGATCTGGACATGGCGACTTTGCCAGATACCATGAACGCTTTGGGCACACAGATTCAAATGATCACTGCAGCTGTGGTGAGAAGAAAACACCACAACACATTTTCTTTTGTAAGAGGCTGGGGAAAAATCGGCTACTGCCTAGGCATTCGCCTAGGACAGCTTGTTTACAATACTTAGGGGAGAGGAGCACAGAATGGGCAAAATTCGTGGAGAAGAGCAAGTTCTTTTCAACAATCTGCCCCCGATAGATAGCCTTCCTTGAAGGACCAGATGGATGACCCCAAGGTCATACCGCCGCAACAACGGGGATGGGCCCGTGAGCGGGACTGACTGTACTTATTATCTTGAGACCTCCACAACCCTGCGATGCAGAGGCTCTGGGAGGCGTGGTTTGCACTACTGAGGAGCTACCCCCACGTTAAATACAAAACAAACAAACATCTGGTCTCGACGACGCCAGTTAATATGAGGCAGTCAATTCCAAATGGCTGCCTGCGTGTCCCTTTCTCATTCGATTCGCCCTACATGCGGCGGGGGTGGCAGAGCCCCCAACTTCCAAGGGCCACCTGCAGCCACCATGAAGCCAAGGCGGCACGATCTGGCTGAGTGTACTATCAATAGGTATCTGATCGGTGAAATCTTTTGCACCCTTCCCACCCTCGCGCGGCTCACGGCAACGTGCTGAAGACATTGGAAGTCACCCCATTCGTTGCATTGTACTGGGGCAACCTGGTAAAGGAGGCCGGCCTCCCGCCTGGCGTGATCAGAATCATAAATACTTATGGACGCGAACCTGGCGCCGCTCTCGCCTCGAACATGGACGTTGACAAGGTTGCCTCCACTGGCAGCACTCCCATAGGATTGGAGATCCTCAAACTGGCCTCTGCGGACTTGGAGACCGTGGCGCTCAAGAATGGTGGGAAGCCGCTAGCATGATCTTCGATATAGGTTAATCCTTGAAATAACGGAAAATAACGTCCGTGCTAGTTCAGCATATATATTATTAAAAATCGTAACTAACGAGTTATTTAATTATTTTAAAAAGCTTATATTGAAAAACTAGTTAAACTTTTAAAATATCAATATAAGTAAAGATGTTATATATCTTGATAGTATTAAAAAATCTTATTAAATCTTATTTAAATAACGAAACGAGACTTAAGTATATAAGAACGAAAAATGGGATCGATTTTTTACAGTTATCTTTTTAAACTAAATACTTCGTTTAATACCTTAAGACTTTCCCGATTTAATTAAAACCCTTTAAACGAATATGTACGCGTTATTAACTATATGTTATATCATTTATATAACACTTACGGTTTTACGATATAATACGGTAAAAAAAAAAGTTTTAAATAGTTATTATACGCTAATAATGGATTCTTAAAGATAATATAAAATATTCAAATAGTGTTTAAAATACGTTATTATATATTTAAAATGAATTTTTTTGAAAAGCTAATAAATAAAATATAATTATTATTTTAAGCATAAAACCCAAATTGTCAATTATTACGTTGCTTATAAAAGAAATTGTTTTCTTTAATAAGTTTTTAAGGCTCATTTAAAAAAAATTAAAACCTTTTAATTATTGAACATAATAATAAATAAACGATTTAAGTATTGATTTAAAAAAACTATGAGGCTTTAAACTAAGTTTATTACGTTAAAATTTACGCTTATTAACTTAAATAGAACGTTTAAAAAGAAATTATCGCAATAACTTAAATAAAAATAAATAAAACATGTATAAACTGCCTTATTAAAATATTACTTCAAGAAAATATTATAACTTTCTTGAATATTTGTAAATAATAAATATTATATTTATATTAAAATAAATAAAGGATCATTAAAGGCTCCAAAATAACTTGAATATTAACTAAAAATTAAACTATAGTTAACGTGTTTTACGAGCTATAAACACCTGAATTTTTACCTTAAAAAGCCTTTATTGTCAGAATTCCGTAAATGTATTGGAAGGATACAGGGACCCTTATTGACTATTATCATATAACGAACTCTGGTTGAAGGAAAAGAAAGATCTGGAGATGCACCCGAATTGGTGGGCAGCTAGATGTGGGCAGTCGTCTCCCATCAGACCCACCAGGGCATGGATCAACCTGTCGTCCGATCAGTCACGTGCTCAGTCACGTGACCCAGGGACCATGAGGACCATTGCTAGACCTGATAGATGGTGGAACCATCATATTTATACAATAAATTAAATAACGAAGTTATTTTGGAAAAAGATATATTAAGTAATACGTAAGTTATAGTAATTAGTAAAGAAATTACAGTATATTAATAAGGCATTTAAGGCCTTTTAATATGTTATAATAGTTTATTTAAAAAAATTATACGAAAACAATGTATTAAGAATTATTAAAATATAACGTTTTTAACTATATCAACCTTATTCACGTTATTTAACCTAGTACGAACCTAGAAAATGCGGCTTTGTAAATCTATATTAATATAAAGTCTAATAGCGAACAAGTATGTAGTGCCACCACCTAAGTATTTATCCAGGAGGGAATCTACGATTATTTCCTAGAGATATACAAGGCTCAGGTGTTGGATGGCGCGCAAGCCTCAGTGGCGTTCAGGGAGGTGGCAGTGCCACAACAGGGCTCTAAGGGCTATTCGGCCAGTTACGGTGTGCTGTAGCACACCAAAGAAGATCCTTCCAGATACACACACGTACCAGAAATCATCAGAATACACGTTATCAACCACAACAACAATCTATCACGCTGTTTGACATCAGGTGGAAAGGGTGTTCGCCCTAGGCGACCCCTTGGATGGGACCACCTTCCAAGGGGCACAGGTGTCGAAGGCCCAGCACGCGGGCGGCGCGCGAGCTCTCGTACATCGAGTCCCGTAAAGCCGAAGGGGCGGCATTCTATATGTAGTCCACCTATGCTCCAAAGGCCCCATTCTGCATCCAATGTTTCCCTATGTGGATCGATGTTTGCTGGAATACCGTGAAAAACGGCACCAGATGAATCATTAAAATCTCTGGCTTCCCCACAGTGCTAAGCCTATAGACGATGTGATAGATTCAATGATGCATATGAAGCGTTTCCTGCCAGGAGAAAAATAACGAATACCACCTACGTTCCCTCGTAATATCCGAGTGTCCACGTCGTGTCATCGAAGCAGGCTTGTCTAACAACGATAGCACCACTGTGCTCTCACAGCACCCGTGTATCTGAGCCATGACAATGGCTAGTTGCGGTACTGTACACTATCCATTGTGATGAATGGGGGTTTGTCCACCATTGTGATAGATAGGGTATTGTCCACTTCCAAACCTCTTCTGCTAGCACCAATAATTTGCCGGGCTGTTCTACCTCTTCCATTTTACAGATACAGCCGCTCAACCTTCTGCTGGGCACGGCAACGTTTGACAAGAGAAATCCAGTCAATGATCAAAGGGACTCACACTCAACGGCAGCGAAAATGTCGCGCACTCATTCCCTAGGTTGGTGCATATCATTAGGCAATCAAGTTCATTGACTCATTGAAATAGGAGCAACTGCAGATCAGAATGAAGGTCGTCCTCAGAGAGACCTTATTTGCTTTGACCTAGAGCCCAGCAGTGCGAGCCGTCAGCCGAATCTTCCAGCACCACCAGGTACGTAAACTACTCCCATCAGTTGGAATATAGAACTAAGATTATCGGCAGCCACGACATATGTTCGAGTAGTTACCCTGGAGTGGCGGGACATGCTAAATGCATACCGCGTCGTCTGGGCCTGGGGCCGTCGCGTAACCTGATTACCAGTGCGCCGAGCGAGGCTCGCCTGGGCTTTACTTCGAATTCCAATAACAACGGATCGCTTGCCAGGTCTATGGGCATCCCAGACCAGACCAGACCCTACCAACGAGCAGTAGTACCGGCCACCGCAGCCGCCGAAACTCCCTATAATTATCGAGGGGACCTATCACTGGCCCGGAATCAAAGCGCCGACATACCAGACTCAAACAATTGCCGACTATGGATCACCGGTCTGCCGCCGGGCTGCATAGTTCGACAGCTCCTTGGGGCTATCAGAGAAACCGGGCCAATATACGCAACTAACATCAGTCCTCCGGTAATCGACGCGAGCCACGCGATTCATACGTCCACAGCCTCCCTGACATTCTTCACCATAGAAGCAACCACGCTGTTTCTGAACCGGCACGCAACCAACCGGTTCACCGTAGACGGATTCCCAACAACCATGGTGCGACACCGGATTCGAACAGAGCCTATGAACCCCGGCAGACGCTCTTGGGTTCTGCAAACCACAGGCAACCCTACTATCGTCACCCCTGAGAACCTCACCCGGATCATTACCCAGCAGTGGAATATCAGATTCGAGACCGACTTCGTCGAGTATGTGCCCGGAATGGAGCAGAGCGAGATTGTTTGGGCGTTTTCGGGCTTCAGAGCCCAAGCTCATTCGGTACACCTAGGACTCACGCAAGAGTTTGCTGATCAACTATCAGTCGCATATTACCCAGATCCTTGAGCCTGAGGAACACTCTCGTGATCGGAATATGGAAATTCTGGAGTTTCACGAGGAGGGAATAGACTTGCAAGTCTTGCGACAGACGCAAGAACACATGGGCTACGCCAGTCAGGCGCACGCACATGTCAACCTGGTGAATCACGCCGCCTCTCAGCGTCTATCCTTTCTGGGTGACTCCTAAGCGAGTTTCCTGACATTTTCATTGTGCTCTGCAGCGGAAAGACACACGATGGTGAAGATGCCGCTTCTCGACGGAATACAAACTTCTTAGATGGTCTTGCGAAGATCAAGTACCGTTCCCATAGGCAGCTGAAAATGAACCCACGTTAAGTAACCAACTTTTGCCTTATATCTTCAGGTTGATGACTTTCGTTCGTAAGTTTGTGAACACTCAACGGCGTAGAAGTTTCAACGGATAGACACCTAGTCGGCATGACATGAGCAGAGGTGCAGACTCGCAGCTAGTACAAATTGTTGCATGATGAGCTTCTGCTCGGTGAGTTGCTGTTCTTCGCATGAGTGGCTGGATCATGATACTGTTGGGTGATTCAGCATCATTACATCTGGTCAAGGGCCGGGTTTTGTTTCTTAATATGGAATGCAGTGACGGATACCGTCTGCCCGAATATCCCTCCTCCGAGGATCCCTCAGGGATCACTCATTTACCGCCACCTTCTTACCCCCTGATATACTACCGCTCGTGGCGGTACATTAAATAGGGGCGAAGGATGATGTACTAGTATAAGTTATGACCGGTCTATGGGCTTTCAGCGGCCCTTTACATATGTGCATCTGGTAATTCACTATTGCAGTAAAGATTGCAATGACCGACGCTGAAATAATCCTCTTATTCGGATACCTTTTTGGTCCTTTAATGCTACAACAGATGCCATTTCAGTACTTCTTCCCTAAGATGGACTCATTACAACTCAGCACCCAAGCGACCCTGCCATAGAATAGTGTCAAGGTCAGACTTTGGTCTGGTGAGAGGCTGCAGCTCCTTCCGCTTGTGGGAGGTCTGCTCGTAGGCATATGCGTAGCCTATGAGCTCCTCCTCACTCCACCTATCTGCCGTGAAACTGATGCCTAGAGGCATGCCCGGCGAAGTCGTCACTGTCGTGTGGCGGCTATCCCACCTTGTCTCTGTCTCGTCTCCAAGGACACCCACTGAGACATCTGTGGTCAGCATACCGATTCCAAGAAGTGTTCGTGCACATTCGAGAGACCGTCACCTTGTTGGGGAAAAAAACTAGAAGGGCAATAGAAGCTCCTACACAGGTCAGGGGTAAGGGTACGCTGAGGTCACTCACTAGGTACAGTAACAATCGGCAAACCAGGCCACGAGGCGATGATAACGGCGGTCTCTGGAAGCATCACGAGCACGTCGAGGTGATGCTCGCGCAACGGGGTCACAAAGAGGTCCCTAGCCGTTTCCGAGGCGAATACGTAGGCCTCCCATGCTTCCTGGCTACCCGCTGTTATGTTGATACCGGCAAACTCGTCCCAGAACCCAAGGTCGAACTCAGACGACAGCTCCAGCGGGTCCTCGCGCAGGCACTGCAGCAGCTCAGTCGCATTATGTATGACGTCGGGCCCGGGCACGAGGTCGTCGATGTACCGGGCCATGGCTTCTTTGAAGTCCGGCCCAACGTACACAGGGACTTTCGCCAGAATCTCCAGCGTAGTGTTACGGAGAGGCCGTTCTTCGGTACCCAGCTCGATATTCACGAGTTCGGCTCCGGCGGCTTCGAGGTCCGCTAAGGCTTCGTCGAATACGACCCTCATCTGTTCGCGATTGACGTAATCGACTGCATTCGAAATGTCCTCGTCTACCCAAACAACACCTACGCGCTTCCCCTCGAGGGCTGACGTGTTCAGGGCCGATGTGTAGCTGGGAGGCACCTCCCAAGGCTGCGCCGAGGTGTAGTTATCGTTCGGGTCCTTACCAGCAATAGCATCAAGAATCAGAGCAGCATCCGCCACGCTCTGAGCAAGCGGTCCCGTAGAGTCCTGTCGGGCGGTCACAGGCACGACCCCAAACCGCGACGTCAACCCTACCGTCGGCTTCACCCCAACCACATTGTTGAACCGCGCCGGACACGTAATACTGCCCGAAGTCTCCGTGCCCAGCGCCGCAGCCGCCAAGCCCAGCGAGGCCGCGACGCCCGACCCGCTCGACGAGCCGCACGCCGTCTGGCGCCCCACGTACGCGCCGAACGTCTGCCCGCCGCGCGGGCTCCAGCCCTCCGTGACGTTCAGGCCGCCGCGCACGCCCGAGAACTCGCTCAGGTTGGCCTTGCCGAGGATGACGGCGCCGGCCTGGCGCAGCTTCGCGACGACGGTGGATTCCTGGCCCGGGCGCGATCGCGCGAGACAGACGCTGCCGGCGCCGGTTAGCGTCGCGTCGGTGGTCGCGTAGTTGTCCTTGACCAGAATGGGGATGCCGTGCAGTGGCCCTCTCGTCGTTCCCTGACCGCGTTCCGCGTCGAGCAGCTCGGCGGTGGTGGATGCGTCTGGGTTCAGCTCGATGACGGCGTGCAGCTCGTTGTTCACTTCGCTGATGCGCTGGAAGTATAATTCCACGAGCTCCTGGCTCGTTATGTCACCGGCTTCGAGCAGCCCTCCGAGTTCAGCAATCGAGATGTCGAGGAGTGATGGCTGCTGGGTAAGCGGCAGTGCGGTCGCGGCGGATCGCCATAAGCCTATGGCCAAACCGGTCGCGGCGGATCGCCATAAGCCTATGGCCAAACAAACTGAAACCAGAGTTCTGGAAAACATCTCTCGTAAATGCGATCCCCGAATCTAGAGAGACGTGCCGTGAGAACGGGCTCATCTATGTGGGTGTCAGCGTCCCAATGCTTACAGAGTGTGCTTAAGACTTGAAGTGAGCGAGGAGTTCAGAGGCCAGGAAGCAGGATCTTAATCCCTGCCAACCCTGGCTGCCGTGCGCCTTCGCCAAGGCGCCTGCGTGATGCCGCCCTTCCTTCATTGAACACGGCTCACGTCAGACACGTCTAAAGGTCCCCTCCTGTACTCCTGAGCCTTGGAAATATCCCCCCTTTCCTAGCGGACTTTAATAACCTACCGTAAATCTTCGATTCTTCGATCTCCTCTTGGGTCCTTGAACCTCAAGGGAGGAGCTAACTTATATACGCCTAGATAGGTCAAGAGATACTGTGTGGCTGGGTAGGTATACTCACCTCTGTGCCTGACAGACCAGGAGACGGGTTACCATAGAGCCTACTCGGTTGACCAGTGACAGTCATGGGGTTCTCTAAGTGAACCCTTAGTTGGGGCTTATCAAGTGGCCCTGGTATAAGCAGTAAGTGACTTCGCATGTAAGCCCCTACCTCTTTTGTTTTCTCGTCCTTGCCGCTACATGTATGCCTACACAGTATAGAACAAGGTAAAAACGAAGTGGTACGAACTTGATAAAGCAACATAACTATGCTAGCTCGCGAGACTACCTAAAACTAACAGTGTACTTTCCCCCGGGTATCCCAGCCATCGAAACCGTCGTCTCGCCCTCAATCCGCACCTCGCGCACGCCCTCACGCCCCTCAAGCACAACCCGCGTCGTACACCCCTCAGCAACAGGCAGGACCAACTCGCCGACCGTACCCTCGGGCGTCTCAAATGACCCCGTCAGCCCCTGCTCCGCCCCGTCCTCCCAGCTCACCGAAAAGTCCCCCAGCGCCGTTTTGAAGCCAGCCTCCACCCGGCCCAGGCCGCCCATCCGCGGTGCGATGTTCCACGTTGCGCCCGCAGCCCCCGTAACCATGATGCCGGCCGCGAAGAACGTGAGCGACGCCGTCGGGCCCGTAGACCAGCCGTGCGCGTGGCTGATGGTCGCGTCATTCGAATAAGGCGCGTAGCTAATACGGCCATCATTCGAATAGCCCTCGATGAACGTCGAGTTGGTCATGCGCGGGTCGTCGAGCATGAAGTCGGCCCACATCATCTCGACGAGCGCGATGGCCGTGTCAGCGTTGCCCGACAGGAAGTGCGCCTGCACCTCGAAGCCGGACGCGAACGGCGAGATGACGGTGGCGCCGGCCTCGGGCGCGGGGGCCCCGTACGGCGCGACCCAGCGGGCCGCGAGCGCCGCGCTGATCTGCGAGGCCGTCGTCGCGTTGGCGATGCCTGCGATGATGGACCAGGCATTGCCGTCTTGCGGGTAGAAGCCCGTCACCGTGTCGTTGTCGCGGTAGAGGTTGGCTGTGGGGTCCCAGAGCAGGGCGTTGGCGGCGGCGGGGATGGTGGAGGCGGCGGTGGTCCAGTTCGTGGTTATGCTGGTGTCGTTGAGGGCGGACGCCAGTTTGAGGCCGTTGTTGATGGTGTAGTATAGAATTGAGTTTGCCTAGCATTCGATTCCGTTAGCCCTTCAAAGTGCCCAGGTCTACGTAGTTAAGTTGGGAGAGAACCGAGTGCATAGGGGTACCAGGGAAACACATGCCTCGATGTTATGACCGCCCATTCCCGACCTGAGCCAATCCAATGAGGAGTTGACGTAGGCCAATCCTGTCTGGTCGATGCTCTGTATCGAATAGTCCAGCGCTAGCTTGTATTGCCCCCACACAGACATCAAAAAGTCGACGTCGCCAGTATACATGTAGTAATCGTAGATATCGTTCAGACTGTGCAGATGATACGTAAAGCTGAAGAGGAATTCTCCATCAGCCACATAGTCCGAAAAGGGGACCCCGGCCCACGACAGGCGACCATCGGCTTGCTGCAGAAGAAGTAAGGCGTCGATGCCGTTGCGGATAGGATCGAGTCTGTTGGTCGAGACGAACATCGACGGGCCGGAGATGGCGATATCGCCAGGCCAGACGATGCGGTCTCTCTTGCCGCCGTCTACCAGGACGGAACTCCCATCTGATTCCAAGTTAACCTTACACACTGCGGGAAAAGTAACACAGGGGAGACTCACTTGCAATAGTGAAGTTATAGTGCCAATCCGCATTTGGGAGCCCAAGCGAGTCCCCTGTCGTAGGGTCGATAGAGCATAGCTGGTTGGTGTACGCGCCGGCATACCAGACGCGGTTCAGCTTCTCACTGTCGCTTTTGAAGTAGCCGGCGTAAGCGCTCGGGTCCTCCATGTCGGGCGAGGCCGTCCAGTTTACGGTAAGCTGACCCAGGGTCACGTTCCCACCCGTCTGGTGGACAATACTCAAGTACCGGAAGCCGCCTCGCTGATGGTTCTTGTCCGCCTCGTACAGACCGGGCTTGGTGAGGTTAAACCATAGAGGTCCATCTAAACCCGCGTTCTGGGTCGCATCGCAGTACTCGCCGCTGATCCACATGGAGCTCTCGGTGAAAGTGAAGCCAATGCGATCGTTCGGGCCCGAGACGGAATCAACAGTGAAATGGACGGTGCCGGCGATGTTCTTCCCGAAGTCCAGAGTCACGGAAGAGTTGCCGACGAAGGTTGAGAGGCTGGTGCAGCCCTGCCCGGTGAGAGCCGCGGCGTTCTTGACGGTGCCGTTGACTTGACGGACCGTTGGGGCCGTTAGAGTCCGCGAGGATGGGGCCAGGATGTATTCACTGTAAGGGGCCGTGGAGACGGTGGCAGCACCGTGGGGGATGAGCGAGGCTCCAAGGAGTGCCTCTAGAAGTCTGAACATGGTCTGTGAATACATGATGCAGTTCTCGGCGATGGCTAGTCGGCTTGAAGTGGCTTCAGAGAGGCACATAGGGAACAAGTGAGTACGTCCAGGACAGCTTCATCGTATTTCTTGATCAGACGTCTTCAGAAGCCTATAAAGGCAACATACCAGGGCATAGTCACAACAAATGGGGCCGACCATCGCGAGCCCGGTGGGCGTGGATCGTCGTGATCGCCTGATACCTAGCCAACAACAACCTGCCGTCGCATTCCTCGGCTGGAGATCTCGCGAATATCGCTCTTGGTGTTCTCCAAGAAGCGTAACTGAGCCCAGGAGTTAGAACATCTTGACCCCTGGCGCGTGGGGCCGGCGGTGGTAATTGCCAATTTGTCGTGGGGATTCTGGGGAAGAGGTCCCAGTCTGGGGGTTCTGCTCCATAATAGGACTGCGGGGAAGCTGGTCTGGTCCGTCTGCTTATTTTTCCTCTCGACAAGGATGCTCTGACCGGCGGTGAAGTCAAGGACTTCTTGGGGTTCGACCATCCTTCGAGTTGAGATTTCCATCATAAGTCCATTATCGTAGCTGTGTCGTTTCTCAGCGTATCGCATAACGTGACCGAGAAGAAGCCAGCCTCAAGTACTCGCAACAGTCGTTTGACATCCAGATATCCCACCATGCTCGTCGTCGTCGTCAAAGCAAAAGGCTCTGAGTAGCCGAGGTTACACCGACATTATTTTGACTCTGAACCCCACAAACTGACCCCATACCCCATACACCATCCTTTCCCCGTAAATGACACTCGTCATCAAGGTCAAGGTCATGCGCATCGGTGCAACGTGCAAGGGATGACATCTATCGGTATCCCTGCAGAGGTCTCCGTGGGGGAGGTTGGGCTCGGTATGCCGAACTGGTTTGGTAAAATAGCCCGAGACTACCGAATCACTCCTCGGAACCTGCTTCTAGCTTCGGGCACACGTCGTCACCAGGGCCGTCCCACCCGGTCACGAGCATTGTGTGGGTAACTAGTAGGAACCCGGAACCCGGAACCCGGAACCCCGACACGCTGGATGTTCATGCAACATGCGATCCAGGCATGAATAATACAACTCCACGCGATAATCACGTGGGCTCACACGCTCTATATATGCGAGCCACAGCGGAGTTATCAGCAGATCAGGTAAGATCACTTCTCATGAAGGGAGCAATGTCCAAGACAGGTTGCTAACAGGCGAGACACGCAAGGTAGCGATTGATATTGTCTTCACCGCCGTCGAAGCTGAGTAGACTGGATTGTGTGCTCGCCGCTGATAACCCAAGGTTAGTGCCTATCGCCCAGACGGCACAGATGCTGCTCATGGCATACCTCAACCGCGCCCGATCCGCCTACCGTTCTCCGTCCTGTCCAGCCAGACCACCCCATTATTGTTATCCAGCTCATATAGGGGTGCGGACTGGTCATGAGGCATCTCGGTCGGCGGGGTTACAGCAGTGAGCTCGCCTGGAGCCCAAGTTGTTACAGGCGCGCTTTTCGGAGGCTGGCTGGAAGACATGGTGGCCCCCAGCGTTTCGTGAACCACCGATGCTTTGGAGGCTTTCCTTCGACGATATATGAACCACACCAGAACCCCCAAGAGCACCGCAGCGATCGCCGCCCCGACACCGAGGCCTGCGGCTTGGCCCGAGGAAAGGCCTGACTTGTTCCCACTAGCTGCCGGCGAGGTCGTGGATGTAGGCATGGATGTGGAAGTCTCGTCGCTTGGTGGCGTCGTCGTCATCGTCGTCGTTGTCGAAGTCTACACCCGGTCAGTCTCAGTCCAATGCCCCCCTGGCAGAGACTGGAACTTACAGGCTCCGCGTACATGACGGCCAACGCGTACAAGTGTAGCTTCGTGTTTATGTTTCTCATCTGCACCGCAAGCGTGTTGACGGCGAAGTCTGTCTGCGTGACCGTTATCGTCCCCGGGGTGCCGAATTGCGACACGCATCGGAAGTCCTCCGCGTGGACTCCTGGGGTCCACGTCGGCGGCTGGCAGCTGTAATCGTAGGCACTGCAAAGCGACACGTCAATACAGTTTCAACCTGGTCCGATTTTTTCGCAGTACGTACGTAGGACAGCAGGTCACCGCACCCGAGTCTGCGTCTTGACACGCCGAGGTGTAATCGGCGGGACACGCCGTGCCTGCATACGTGACGCTCGCATCCCACGTGGACGGGAGGCAGTCACTCGTCTGTGTCGGACCTCTCAGGACAGTTCGCGCATCTAGGGCCTTCGAGTTATACTCCCAGATCCAGAAGTCGTCTGCCCGGTAGCAGCCTGGCCTCGTGGGTGTCCACTTCGCGGGCAATGATGGTGTGGTCATTGCAGGACCGTTCGTCCGTCTGGTCAATCCGATTGTCGAAGTCAAGATTCAAAGGAGAGGGGGAGAGCACCATGGTCAGAATATACGCAGCGCGGCTGAAACAGGCTCCTAGTATATACGGCGTATTCAGCAGTACAGTCAGCCAAGGCTGTGTGGGTAACACAATGCGGTGTTCGCTTCGACGGTATAACGTACAAGCCACTGAATAAGCGAATCTCCTCAGCCAAGATCGGCCTCACACCACGATCAGCCCAGTATGTGACCATGATACCTCAGTTGCGGCCCTTCATTGAGTGCCCATGGATAAGCAGCACACTTAGTAGAGAGCCTGGCTGTGAGCCTGTATATACTACTTGGCGTGCTTGGGGGCTGAACAATATTTATACACTGCGCCGCGTAGCATCCAAGGTCGTATCAGGCAAAGGACCCGAAAGATGAAACTGGGCCCCAATTCCCTTGCCTCCCCCCCCCCCCCCCCCCCCCCCCCACCACAAGCCACCCAGAATGGTCTTTTACAGCCATTATTCACCATAACACTCAACAGTAGCAGAAAATCACGATATAACTGGGAAGAAGTGAACCTGGAACTATCCAGGGCTCAATTCGCTGCCCTTGAGCCTTGACTACGTGGTGCCAACACTAGGGTTTGACATTGGGGTGTCCAAGTGCCAGGTTCCCTCTTTTCTTTCCAGCGCTTGCGTGTGTCACGCATCCCATCGGCGGAAGCTGAAGATGGTGAGACCACGCCCATCGACGACTAAACGGAGCCCTCGAGAGCCTCCGCTAGATGGACTTATATTAGAACCCCCAGTCTTGCATTCTCTCCACACCAGAGTCGCGGGCCTCTTCGAGCGGGACGATCGTCCCGAGCCGAACTCGGCGCCATCGGCTCTGAATAGCTCTGAAAATAAGTTCAAGACACGCCCCCGAGGCCCTCGTGGTAGGCCGGGCCGGCGCAGGCAAGACGCGCAAGCATGTTTAAGCCTTGGATTCACATGGTGTGATTGAATTCAGATAAATGACAGACTTGCTATGCCTGTGCTGCGCCTTATGAGACCATCCGCTGAACAACATCCCAATTCCCTTCCTTTCCGTGGTATATCATCTTCTATCCCCCATCTCCCATCTCCCACCGAGCGCCTTAAGCCCCCTTCGCAAAACTCACACCCCCCATCTCCTTATCAAACTCGCTCGAGGCCGTCAGCCCGCACAGCTCAAACACGTCCCTCACACCGGCATCGGTCCTTCCGTCCTCCGTGTACCGCTCCTTGATCTCGCCCGTGGTCTTGAGCTCCTGGCAGAACTCGCGCATGGCCAGGTAGACGCTGCTCATGCCGACCAGGGGCCAGATGACGATCTTGTAGCCGAGCCTCCTGGCCTCGTCGGCATTGACCAGCGGCGTCACGCCGCCGCCGACCATGTTCAGGAAGCACGGCGTCGGCGCCAGGTCCCGGACCACCTGGGCCATCTGCTCCTTGGTGCGCAGGCCCTCGAGGAACGCGACGTCGGCGCCGGCCGAGACCGCCGCCCGGAGCCGCGACACCGCCTCGTCGTAGCCTAGCGACTGCAGCGCGTCGGTGCGCGCGATAATGACGATGTCGGAGCCCATGCGCTCGCGCGCCGCCGCTGCGGCTTTTATCCGCGCTGTGTAGGTGGCCGTGTCGACGAGCTCCTTGCCCATCAGGTGCCCGCACCGCTTCGTCGTCACCTGGTCCTCGATGTGGAAGGCGGCCACGCCCTGCAGGATGTACTTCTCGGTCGTGCGGGCGACCATCAAGGGCCCGCCGAAGCCGGTGTCGGCGTCGGCGATCACTGGCACGTCGCGGTCGAGGCCTGCGATCATGCCCGCGTTCGTCGCCATGTCGTCGACGGTCGTGAGGCCGAGGTCTGCTTGTCCGAGGCGCGATGCCGCTGTGCCGGCGCCAGTCTGCCGTGTCGATTAGACATGGGGTCTATGGTTTGTGATATGTGGTGTCAATAAGCCTACCATGTACAGGGCGTCAAAACCCACGCGCAGCGCCATTCGCGCTGTGAGGCCATCGTGAACACCGGGGCAGACGACGATCTTCTCCGGGTCGGCCAGCATTTGCCGGAGGTTCTTGGCTGATTTGGTCTGAGCCATTGCGAATGCTTAACCAAGCTCCGATAGTCAGGTACAGTTGGCGCGATGTGTATGAGTCAGTGCGAAGTCTCCTCTGAAGCCTCGGTAGTTCGTAATGCTGTCTCTGTCTGTGGTACGATATTTCAAGCCTCACAATTGCATTCAAGGGGATCAAGGCAAAGACTCTAATATAGCTACGAAGCTCTCGACCTTGCCTCTCCGTTTTCGGAACCTCCTGGGCTATATTTGTAAGACTCTGCCGTCGCGGTATCCGCTTCATAGCCGTCAGTGAGGCAGGCCTACTTCGCCCGGCCAGCGCGGCCACGTGGAGTCTCCTCCTTCCATACGTCAAAGGCCGCCTTGGTCCCAACCCGGCACAAAGGGACAGCGAAACAGAGCGTCTGGAAGCAGGCCGTTACATCACTGACGCCATGTGGGGGAGCAACGTGGGAAGGTGCGGCAGTCTGCGGCAGACGAGATTCAGGGCTGGACAACGCAGATTCTAGTGCCGTCGCTGTGGAGATTTCTCGGTCGCTTCGGCAGAGAGATCCCTCCCGTCGGCCGAGTCCCTTCCACAGGTTCCGGCATAGGAACCTCGGCGTGGCGATCGTGTCACTGCATGCAGAGGTGTTCCCGTGCATGAACATGTACAAGACAACAATATAGAGCACCGAATACCGGCGATTATGTGCGTGGGCGAGAGTTGGAAAAACGAGCATGCCGGCCTAGTCACCACTAATTGGACGGCATATCCGTAGGGAATAAGACGGATATGCGCCTAGATTGGTCTTGTTCCCGCTGACCGAGATTAGCCCACGAGACTGTTCGAGCTCCTCGAAACAACTACGCCTGAGTCCCATCTACTCTTCACTCAGTATTAACAGCTCCATTGATCCTACAGTCAAGACTGAGGGTACCTCAAGCCTCACGTCCTCCCCACGTGGTACCCAAGAGAACTTAACTGTTGCGGTGGAGCTGATGTGCTTGATAGGAGTGAACGAGAACTTCGTGAGCGCATTAGCATGGCACAAGGTGGGAAGCTGGTATGTACGGGGCCGGCAGCACTCAGTCACAACTCACGATTAAAGACCCTTCGGCAGCTCAGGGTGGGTTGACTGGCGTGACAGCGGCATACCGCGATTGACATGCCAGCTTGATTGCGTGGGAAGCTTGACCAGCGAACAGCTCGTTTGGAACGGTGCTGATGGGAAGCTAGGGTTCTGGGCGCGAACGATATCTGCCGCATGTCTGGCTGTCTGCTTGGTGGTCATCTATCGGTCTTCATGGGGCAAGGGTGCTGCTGATGAGTATGCAATGGCAACGGTGTTCGCAACGCGAGCAAAGGTTGGGCAAGCGGCTCATAGCTATCCGAGATTTGTCGGCCGAGCAAGTCGAACAAACCCAGCGAAGAGCTTTGAATCCATCCTCCGCGAACATCCATGAGCCGCTCTCATCGCTAGCGCTGTTAGGAGAGACTCGAACTTCAGGAATCTCCAGACTATTGCCATCAACACCCCTGGGAGTACTATAGAGCGTCGCGGCCGCTGAGATATGCCCGGTCGAACGACGGGTTGGACCATAAGTAGGATCGCTGCACGACTGTTCCGAAGTCATCCTCGACGTAGACGATGTACAGCTTTTGGGCGGCCAAAATGGCGATACCACGGGTGTGAGGTCTCGCTGCCCTCTCGATACCTGGGCAGACGTTATTTGGGTTGGGGTTTTAGCAGACACTGCTGCAGAGTAATGCAGCGGCAGCGTAGGTATTACTTCGGTCCTTCGAGTAAACCCGGTCCTTCGGAATAAAGCGCGGGCATCCAAAGGTACCGTACCACCGGCTGTCAGCGAGATGCTGTTAAGCATCCCAGACGCAGACCGGGAGAAGGGCGTCCCCGTTCGTGCCAAGATGGCACAGCTCGTAGATTCGTCGCACGTAGCTGCTCGGTTGCTTGCGAGTAGCTGACGGTCCAGATATGACTTTTAGTCCTGGACATGTCTTCTTCCCTCACATCCAGCTCAACGATCTTCCTCGTCCCGGCAGCTATCTAAGCAGTACTGCGGCGGTCGGCGTGCCACGTCTTGAAAAATCCCTCTCACTGATAACATAGAGCACTCAAGGTGAATCTCTCGTGGGCTGTTATGTTGTCCGTACGCCTTAATCTAATGACGATTTTATGTTTTAAATTTTAAGGCTCTTCGAGCAGAGTGAGCCAAACTCAAGTAACCTAAAATACAACAAAAAGCAAAGCCCCCGTTATATATGCGAATTCTTACAGAATAAAACGCCGCAAATCATCTCCATCCACAAAAGCAACAAGGACACTCTCAATATTTGATCCTGAATCTTGAGTCCTGGATCTAAAGACTCTTTCCCAGCTGCGTGCTCGCACAAGATACGGTACGTTCGGATCACCACACAAAAGGCGGGCATTTGACCTCGTTGCTATCGGTATTTATGGAACATGGGTCTCCGGTGAGCCATTTACTACTGCACTAATAACACCCAATTGTTAGTATAGATGCAAGGGCATCAGCCAACAAAGACGAGCTCACATCGCCTTTGCCTTTACTGCACGCATGCTCAATAATGCAGATGAAGTTAGGGTTGGCTTCTGGGTATTCGACTGCACATTTTCCGTTTTGACATTTCTGCACCTTGATCAGTTCAGGTTCTTAAGTCTGGTTGCATGATGCGTGGAGCCTTACTCCTTTGTATACCGTGCGTCGGGCAAGTGATCGTGTGTCAAGCGGGTCAAGCGGGTCAAGCGCTTTCCGACACGAACCACCTGAGTCGTCTTCCAGCTCTTTCGCACAGTCTTCTTGGTCCGAGTCGTCACTGCCGGCGTTTGCCATGCAGTTATCGTAGCTGGCGAGGGCCGTGTGCCGTCCAAAAACGCCTGTCAGTGCCTTTCCGTGTGGAGTGGCTATGCCATAGGCGCTCCAGGAAAGGAGAGGGAGGACGATAAAAATAAACGCGGCGGAGAACCTAATGAAGTATAGTCCAGTCAGATAGTAAGGAGTTTGAAATATATGTCTTATTGAGAGATGACTTGTGTTCGACAGGTTGGTAGCTGGCTTTAATGTTGAATTGATTGATTCCTCGACCTCGAACAAATTATGCCTTGCGGCAGTCCAGTATTTATTCCCATCAAGCGTTCTAATTATACGTCAACCTTGGGACACTGATAATACCCTGTGGGCATTAAACACCGAGATCTATATTAACGCGGTCAAGGGTGCGACGGCCGGGAGGTTCGTCCACCTGTATATAAATCCCTGTGTCGGATGGTGTGTCTACTATCCAGACTCTGACTCTTTGGGCCGGACAACTAAGGTCCCGACTGAACGGCTCGGTGGTCTAGTGGTTGGGGTTCTGGACACGCCATGACAAGGGGTCACAGCCCATCACGAATCCTATATCTACTTTTAAGTATCATATCACGGAACCATAAGACCCGGAAGTCCCTTAAAAAAAGTCATGTTATATTGGCCACCACGATCTATTTTTGTATGGAGATGCCATATAATCTCAGATCATCACGTCTATGTGTGAGTCACGCTGTTTCTGAAAACCTATTCAACATCGGCCATATAAAAACAGCGACTGCCAAAAGCGACTGCCAAGGAAAGAAAAATAGATAGGAGTGGTCTGTGAATGGGACAGTCCAAGAGCCGATGCGGGGCGGCGAAGGAGGAAGAGAGAGCCCTTCAAAGCATTACGTGTCAAGTGCAGTCAGTCAATAGTCTCTTTATCTCTAGGTAACGACGGGAGTGACTAGATGATCGAAGCGCTCATCGTCCCCTGGTATCATATCGCCAATCTGTACTCCTTCTCCAAGCACCTGCTCCCATCCTTAAATCACAGGTCGGTATCCACGCCACCACACGCCCATGCCTCGCTCGCTCGCTCGCTACACTCCAACCAGCCTCCCAGAAAGCAACAGTCTATCCAAGGTGGAGTTCTCGTCTAGCCAATATCGCACGTCACCCAACTCCCCCGTCGATTCCGTCGGTATCTTAGTACATGTACTTAAACTCCGGGTTCAGATCGCCAAGCTCCGTCTTCTCGTAGCCGGAGAGGCCGACGTTGGTAGCGGCCTTTGCCCGCTTGCGGTTCTCCATGCGAATGCTGATGAAGTACAGCGTCGATGCGAGGGCACTCAGACACGTGAAGCCTAGGCAGATGGAGTAGCCGTTGTGGAAGTAAGGCGCATCGGTGTCGAGGAAGGCGTATGTGGCGATGATACCGCCACTATAAAGATCGGAGTCAGTGGCCGTTGATATCCGCTCCGCAGCGCGTTCCGCTGCAGGAAGAGGAAAAGGGGGTGATTCAAGAAATGACATACATGTTGCCGAACCCAATCTGCCAGGCTGTGCCGATAGACCGTCGATGATGACCTCCGAGATTCATTGTGAACCAGCAGACGATGATGGGCATAACACCATATGTGCCCATAGTAATGAGGTGAAGCATCGCATACTCCACGGTCTTGTTGGTGTGGACCGTGAGCAGGACAGCAAAAGCAGACACAGTCATAGCCAGCGGCACGATGGCAAAAGCCGCACGGTGGCGTGTCCAATCGGATAGTGTGGCCAACAACAGGGAGAAAACGAACGAGGCAGCCCATGGCGGCACCGAGTGCAGCTGCGTCTGGATCGCGCTGTAGTTGTACGTCGAGATGATTGTCGGAGCGAAGAACGCGTAGCTGTAGGCTGGGACGATCAGACCGAAGTACATGAAGCCACCTAGCCAGACTCGGTGGTCCTTCATAACGTTTACCACGTCCCGTAAGCTGATCTTGCGTTCCGCGGCACTACTGCCTTGGTCGGCTTGCAGACGTGCTTTCACGTAAGCTCGCTCCTCCTCAGTGAGCCATTTCGCTTGCTCCGGGCTGTTCAGGGGTTAGTGTGGTCGAATTCGGAGTTGGGAACAAACCACCTACAAGGATGGGAAAATGAAGAAAAAGATGATGGCGGCTACGCATGTTAGAATTCCTTCGAGGATGAAAATCCATCTCCACCCAGAATACCCGCGGATGCCGTCCACTAGGTAGGTACACCGTCAGTCAGTTATATAGGGACCACGCAGCTGCCTTCTCTTAAGGCTGAAGCACGCGTCGGTAATGACCATTATCAGACGTACTCTTTCCTATGGCAGACGCCAAGAGACCTCCGAAGGCACCAGCCAGCGAGGTTGACGAGAAGAAGAGAGAATACCGCTTCTGGGCTTCGCTTCGTTTGTACCACATGCCTGAGCACATGACTGGATTAGCAGCTGATTCAGACCCCCCAAGAGAACACAGGCACGACGTGACGTAGGCACTAGCACGGCGTGCGATGCGACGGTGTACGATGCGACCCTAAGCCAACTACATACCGATGAGATAAAAGCATCCTAAAGTCGCGCGAGTGTCAGATCCCAAGCGTCAGCTTCCAAGTTTTGCTGCTCATGGGGCCATACCTGGAAACATGCCCGTCTCGAACACGCCGAGGAAGAAACGAGTAGCGAGCAGGCCGGCGTAGTTCTGCACCAGTCCTTGGCACACGGACATGATGCCGAAGCCCAACATACAGCCCGGAAGCCATATCCGAGGGGAGAACCGCTTGAGCAGAATATTGCTGGGGATTTCGAAAAAGACATAGGGGACGAAGAATATGGTAAGTGCTATGTGCACAGTCAGCGATCAGGAATCCTCGCCATCCAGGTGCGACCATTCGAGTATGCTAATGGGCACGTGACGAGTGACTAGTGACAAAGACATGCTGCAGTGGTGGCTAACCGGTGTTGTACTCGACCTTCTCGAGGTGCAGATCCCTGGCCAGGAAGAAAGACCGCGCATTGGCGATGTTGACTCGGTCCAGGAAGGCGAGCAGGTACATGATGCAGAGGAAGGGAATCAGCCGCCAGTCGATGCGGGTCACGATCTTCCGCTCCGTGGTGTGCGGCGGACATTGCACATGCAGCTCATCGTACTCGGCGTCGGCAGTGCCGGCGTGGTACGTGTTGTTCCCGTTGACCTCGACATTGCCGTCGCCATTCTCCCGGTCCAAAGCCTTGGGCTCCTTAGCTACGGTTTAGGTTATGGTTAGCTCATCGAAGATTCACTTGCGCGGGTTTGGGGGTTTGGGGTTTGGGGTTCGGGAGTAGCTTTGCGCCGCGCTGCGCCGGCATAGGAGCTCGAGGGTGGTCCTTCGAAAGACTGGACGGGAAAGAGGGCAGACAGGTAGTCGCGACGTACTGGAACCCTTTGCGATATTCCGCATGTTGACGAAGTCACGATCAACACAGCGCTATCCAAATTGAAAAGCAGGCAGCAAGCAGCAAACATCAAAGCAGCAAGATGGGCGGCGGCGTGCGAAGCAAAGCAAACTCGCAGAAACGAAGTTTGTGCTCAAGAAGAGAACGGCTTACTCAAGTCGCCGACTCGTAAATTGTCGGTCTGGCTGTCTCGGTGTTAAGGAATCCGGGCGATCAAAATGAGCTGAACGCCATCAGTCAGACTGCATGTGGTGTGTAAGGTCAGGTAGGCAATAGGTAATAAGAAGCTGCTGACCACAGACAAGACCCAAGTCAAATAGTCAAATAGTCAAATAGTCAAATAGTCAAATAGTCAAATAGTCAAATATTGGTTCTCGTTCTCGTTCAGGCCTGCTGGTGCGTGTGACCGTGATGACTCTTTTTCTCTTTTTCTCCCTCCCGACTTCGCTTATTGATGTGGATGCAAGAGATGAAATTACAGTAGATCCTTCACATATCTTGGCTTCATTTACCCCGTCACCTCGCCCAGGTATTTCTCACGGTTCACGGGTCCTGGCACCGGGGTGCTGGGTCTTGAATAAGGACATGGTCCGAGTGTTTGTGGGGGATATCCACTATAGCCTATGGATTACTGCGGGGAATCTGCGGGACACGGGACCGAATAAGTGGGTTCAATGGGTCCAAGCGGTCCGCCATGATTCGCAAATGGCCTGATCAGTGATGGCAGCAGCCCGAACAATAAATAAGACCATCCCTTGTCTTTCCCTTGGGTTGCTTTCATTCATTCACCTCCTCTTCCATTGCAAACACCATTGCTATCACATCATTGACCGTTCTTGAGCCAGCTATTCAGGGCCGTGTGTCACACTTTTTGTCTGCTTTCTGCGACGAACGGATTCGTGGTCAACGGAGTAGCCTCGGCAGCTAAAGACGGGTGGCTGGGAATAAGGGAGAGCCAAGTCAGCTCTCACTTCTTGACTGGCTCGAAGTCCGCACCGGTAGGAGGCCAGCCGCCCTAGCTTGCAGCTCTGAATCGTCTACCAGCTCCAAGAAGACTGTGAGATATGTTTTTGCATAACGGTGACGTCCTTGACGACAGGTCCACCTTCACCGCAGCGGTTGACGATCATCAAGTCACTATGTCTTGACATCATTGGATTCATTCATCTTCGCAGCGGCTGGGCCGTCAACAGGCTCTAGTGGGTGCTGTGTACCTTCCAAGTTATCATGGTGTTGACTTCTTAACCGCCGCGGCTGGGCTTGGAACAACAAAAATACCAAGTATTCAGACTCGGTCTCATCTGTGTTTGCAGGCGAGCAGTTGTAGGGACTGGCCTTCTCATTGATAAGGTAAGGCAAGGTCGCAGTTATTGTTACCTGGAGCCATCTGAAGAACGCAGCATGGTCCCGAGCGTTGCATCCTGCCACGTGTAGCCAGCTAGCTACCTTTATTTTAGGTAGACCAGGACTCCGTCGGTCAACCAATGTGTCTATCAATCCATTGAATTGCCTTCTGGATTCATTATTCCCGCTCCTTCCCATTCCCGTGCGTCCCGCGGCGGCGGCGGCGATCCCGGGGATATAAATAAGGTTGATGTAGGAACCAAAGATAGGCACCGAGATTATCGAGCAATTGTGCCACGTTGTACGAGCAGCGAGGCAATTACAGACGGTACCCAGGGACGGACCAGATTACCGATTCGCGACCGAGATATGCGAGCCGCCGTCAATCCATGCTGCCAGCCGGCCGGCCTGGTCGTCAAGCGAATCACTCACGGCTCGGGCGATCCACGGGCGGTCAGGTCAGGTCTTGTTTCTCGGTAAGTACTTGCATGTTATCGCGCAATAAAGACTGTTGAGTACGCATCAGCCTCTCACCCTCTCACAGGGATGATCGGGATGATCGGGATGCTCTAAACAGCGACCGAAGTACCGCATGTGGGTCAGACCCAGGGCATTGGCACCTATGAGACATTGTTCCATACCTAAGATCTCAAAGATAGGCCTTCCTCCTTTCTTGAGATGCACGCAACGACAATGGTCGGCTTTACTAGTAGAGCTGAGTACGTACCCTCGACGGTTAAGGTATCTATTAATACCAGTTACTGATGGATCCTGGCCAAAACCATTCGATATTTGTTTGATGTCATGATGCCCATACGTAAACGTTTTATTAGTCGTGGACGAGAGTACGTACAAGCCAAGGTAATGGACACAAATGCCTTCAACATTGCTGTAGCTCGACTCTATCGTCGTGATCAAGGTGGCTTATGGCGTGACCTGCCCGTTTGGGTCTGGTACGGGAGGATGTGTGCAAGGTGCCCTGCATTATCGGCTCGCCCTATGCACAGAGGAACAAATGCTGGACAGCAATTGGCCAGCCCTGGGCCATCCCCGTACGTCATGTCGGTCACTCCCATTCGACAGTGGACACACTCAGCACTCAGCGCTCACAGACAGACATCTGACAGAGGACGCGACTCGTACCTCTAGACTGGGGTCCATGCGCATGCGGCGGAACCCCCATCGTGCTCGGTGAGGCGTAGGCTGGCCGCTACCCTGCTAGCATTTGCCTCGGTGGAGTTTAGGGCAATGGCAAACCTCAAGGACCACGTTGATAGGGCATCCCCCAGGGCCCAGGCTACAGGGCCACAGCCTACAGGGGGGGCACGACTCCAGACGGACGTCCCGCTCTTCTCGAAGGACGGAGGACAGAGGACGGAGGACGGAGCGTGGAATCTGGACGAGTGAGGTACCGTTTGTATGTGATCTCACCTTTTATCTGCCTGTCACGGTGTGTCGTGGTACTTCCGCGGCTGCAAGAACTCCCAATTCGCCGGGGTGCGCCAGTTCTTCTGCACTCTAGGTACCTTTAAAGCTTCAAAGTCTCTACATAAACTTGTTTCTCCCGTGGCTAACCCAACCTCCAACCGTTCGCTTCTTTCCTTCCTACATGATTGCCTCTGCATCCTGGTTGGTTTCTGCTCAATATTCTTCTTACCTGGAGACCGTCCACTGTCCACTGTCTACGTACAGTTAATTGTCTGGACCACGCCCTGGGCACGATATCATTCCCCCCTCCTTCTCCCCCGCCATTGTCCAGGTCCCCGACAACGTCTGCGTTGCGCCCGGCTCTACATAGGTATCTCTAGCTCTCGAACCTAGATACCTTATCGTGTGCGCCAGTGGCCTTTCCGCGACCCCTCCGAGTCTATTTCACCATGAAGCGCGAGACCTCATCAGACCCTCCGTCGGAGTACGATGTTGAGGCCACCTCCGTGCCTCGTGGCTGGTCTGCATGGTTCGGCGGCAAGAATGTCACCATCGGGCCTCGCATTGCGCCCGTTGTCGCTCCGATCAGCGGCGAATATGCTGGTGACTCCGACAGTGGCATGAGCAGCGAAGCTATTCTCAGCAAGCAAATCGCCGAGGAGGCCTCGTGCGCCATTCAGTACCGCACCTGTAGTTGGCAGAAGGTGCGCTTCCAAGACCCCCAAGCCCTCCAAGCCCTCCAGGAAAGGCTTGGTCTCTACCCAGACGGGAGCCAAGAGTGCCAGTACTGACCTAGTCGTTGTCGATAGACTGCGGCTCTGCTATTCTCCGAGTATATCTGCTTGGTGGGTGCCCCAATGCTCCCGTTCACAGTCCATTCCTCTGGCCAATTCCGACCGGCGGAGCTGTGCGCTAGGTGTTGCACTGGTTGCGGCGCAATCGACTTTCGGAAGCAATGCCGTTATCCGACGCCCTGTTGGGAGTTGTGGCTAACCCGTCTGATAGGCTATCATGAGCTTCCCGTGGTCGTACAGCGTCCTCGGCCTCGTCCCTGGGTATGCTTTCTTGGCTTCTGGGCACCGCCCTAGGCGAAGGCTACCAATACTAAGATTTAATCCAGGCTCATCCTGACTCTCGTGCAAGCCCTCGTCGTCCTCTACACGTATGTACCAACATCCGCCTTGCCGCGCAACATAGCAAGTCAGCTGACCTGTATGACAGCTCAATCATCCTGTGGGAGTTCTGCTTGCGACATCCCGAAGTCCGAGATGTATGCGATATTGGGCAGATGCTTTTCTGGGGCAAGAAGTGGGCATGGTATGCCACTGCTGTCATGTTTCTGTTAAACAACACATTCATCCAGGTCGGTCATGCCCCCGGTCAACCACATATCTCACTGGGCTGACATACTCTGCAGGGCCTCCATGTTCTCACTGGCGCCAAGTACATCAACACTATGATCGGCGGCGACACTTCGAGCGTCGCTTGCCAAACTGTGTCGTTTGGTGCTGTTATGGCTGTGGTATCTTGGATATCGTCACTGCCTCGCACCTTCTCTTTGCTTTCCAAGCTCGGGACTGCTTCAGCTTTGTTCACCTTCATATCTGTCCTACTGGCCGTCATCTTTGCTGGTATAGAGGACCATCCTGCGACATGGACTGAGGCCCAAGGCAACCCACTTGTGACAGCTATACCAGTCGCTAGTACGACCTGGGTGTCAGGGCTCAACGCCTTCCTCAATATCAGCTATACCTTCATTGGACAGATCACCCTCCCCAGCTTCATTGCCGAGATGAAGGAGCCCAGAGATTTCCCCAAGGCTCTTTGGGCGTGTACCATCCTCGAGATCATCGTGTTCAGCGTCGTCGGCGCTCTCATCTATGCATTTACCGGCAACCAATACATGACTGCGCCGGCTTTTGGTTCTCTAGGGGACACGCTTTACAAGAAGATCTCCTTTTCCTTCATGATCCCTACGCTCATCTTTCTGGGCGTCTTGTATGCCTCAGTTTCGGCCCGGTTCTTGTTCTTCCGTATCTTTGAGAACTCCCGACACAAGACCGAGCATACCGTTGTCGGCTGGGTAACTTGGGCCTCAATCCTGCGTAAAACCCCTCTTCCGACCTTGATTGTTTCCCTTAGCTGACATCTCAACTAGTTGTAACCTGGATCCTCGCTTTCATCATCGCCAACTCGATTCCGTTCTTCAGCTCCCGTAAGGACCATCTTCTTTGGACTACCATCGCAAACCTAGCTAACCCGCACTCAGTCTTATCGCTCATGTCCTCCCTCTTCGACTCCTTCTTCGGCTTCATATTCTGGGGTGTGGCTTATTTCCGCATGAGGAAAGCCGACGGCGCGGTGGCATTGGTCAAGGATCGTTCAATCCGGGGCTGGTTTGAAGGAATACTCAACGTCATCATCATACTCACGGGCGTGTTCATGTTAACTGTTGGAACTTACGCCACTATACAGGGCATTCTCGACGAATACCAGCTCGGCACAGTGGGCTCAGCATTCCAGTGCACCAGCAATGGCATCTGAGGAGGATTTACATTGTAGCATTTTTACTTGGCAGGAGATACCCACGATCGGGAGTAAACCCAGATGGGCCACGACGACAAGACGCGAGAAGCTTGAGCGACGTGGCGACGGATATACACGATCGACGTTAGCGCTTTGAGGGTTTGACGACGTTGCGACGGATATACACGATCGACGTTAGTGCTTTGAGGGTTTGACGACGATTCAAGAGGCAGAGGATCTGGTCCAGTCGGGAGGACTATCACATCTACTCTCAGCATAGTAATGCAGAACGAGAAAGACGCACTTTTTGTGTAGTCTTTCCGGAATCTAGCATGAAGCATGCCATGCCTGGCACCCAGCGGAGCCTCCACAACATCACACAAGACCATGACAGAAAGCTTGCTTTCTCGTCCATTGGCAACTTGCAGCTTGTATTTCAAGCTTGAAGACTGGAAACAACCAGGCTTTCGCACTTCCATACCCGAGCTAACTTATCGCAGATTGTGCTTTATAGATCGACCCATTTCATCTCCAACATTAACGGTTCGAAACAGAAACATGAAGGATCAGGTAAGTACGGGAACCCCCATCCCAGTAATCATGTGGTAGTCCCCGCAAGGGACGTACATAGTCCATGAATACACCAAAAGGTCTAAGTCCTATGAACCTAAACCTATTGCTACAATCCAAGTGAACTAGCTCATGGAGATTTTATCGTTCGTGACTTACCAGCTTCACGTGCAAATTGGGTATGCCAGTGACATCTTACACTTTGTTCTCGGCAGTACTCTTCCTCTTCCCAGCAACCACTCGTCGTTACGGCCCCTTCTCTCCTATATCTAACGCCCGTCTCCAACCACATCAGGGAACCTTGGTCAAGCGGTACGTCAGGTTTCGTATGAAAGCTATGCCTTACCTCCCGCGGCACGGCGTCCAAGACGCTCCTCTTTACCTTACTTATAGGTCCGGACTTCTTTCCTGGCCGGGGCGCTCGGCCGACTGCTCTCCATATTCGGAACGATGGGCTGCTTGTGCATCCTCCACCACGCCACAATCTCCAGGCTGGGAACGGAGAGGACTGAGCTCCCTGTAGGGCTTTGCCCGGAATCCTCGTCTTGGCTGGCTCCACGGCTCTGACGGGACCAGCTGCTCGTGTCTCTGTCTCCGTGGTGCGACCGCCCTGGACCGACGCGGCTGTGGCTGGGGCTGCGGCTGCGGCTGCGGCTGCGGCTGCGGCTGCGGCTGTGACCTGGAGGTGACCTCCTGGCTTCGCTGCCCCTGTCGCGCTGAGGCGACTGCTGCTCTCCTCCGTGGCTGCGGGGACTCTCGTGGGTCGCTCCCCGGCTGTGGTTGGATTCGCTGTTGCTGTCTCCTTGGTGCGACTGTTCTGGATGGCTGTGGCTGTGGCTATGGCTATGGCCGAGAGGAGACATGGCACCGCTGCTCCTACCTCGCTGAGGCGAGCCATCTCCTCCATGGCTACGTGAACTCTCGTCTCTGGCCCCGTGGCTGTGGTGGGACTCGTTCTTCCTGTCTTCTTCGTGCGACCCTCCTGGATGCTGGCTGGGAGAAGACCTGGCGTCGCTTCTCCCACCTTCTTGGTGCGACGCTTCTCCATGGCTACGGCCCTGCGGCGGCCTTATATCGATGTCCCCATGACTACGTCGAGACCCGAAATCCCCCTCCTGAAGGCTCCGAACACGTCTCCGGCGGCTCCGTCTGCTTCTGCTCCTGCGGCTCCGGCTCCGGCTCCGGCTACGACTACGCTGGGAATGTTCACGTCGAGGTCCGTGGCTGTAACGCGAAATATCCCATCCCGAACCGCCTCCGTGGCTGTCGTAAGGTCGCTCGATTCGGATTCGCGTGCGATACCAGCGCTCATAGTTTCCATGGCTGCCTCCGTGCCCATGGTGGGAGCGCACCGAATTACTACCTCTGTGGCTGTGGTGACGGGATCGTCGGCGGTGGTCCCTGTGGCGGCGGCGGTGGTGGTGGGATCGTGAACATGGGCGAGTTAGGCCGTTATCTCTGGTGGGACGTCTGTTAGTTTTGATGTCTACTTGGGTTGACCGGGCGACCTCCTCGGGGTTGGTCGAAGGGGTTTGGGGAACTACTACTGGGGGTTAAGGGGTCGGGGGCGGACTCAAGAACGGGAGGGCAGAGGGGAAAGGGGAAATGGGAAATGAGTGGGCCTACTGCTCGTCCCTCGAAGGGCCATTCGGTCTTCTAAAGCAGGCCCCCATGCCCCCGTCTTCTCTCTTTGCTAGAAGTCAACCTTACTACAGTTGTCGCGTTCCACTTGACGATGTTATCGTCTATATACTATCATTACGCTGCGTTTCTAGGTGATCGAAACATGACATATGTTGCGGCATTGTGTGCGTGTATGGGAAGAAGTAGATAGCGGAAGTAGGATTCTCGACAGTGTCGAGTAAGTTTTATAGATAAGTCTGGTCTGACGCGACACTCCCCGTAAGAGACGTGCTGATTCAGAGGTGATGGGCTTTTACCTTGTCACGTACGCCTGCGGTCGAGTATATGTATAATTAGTCCAAGACCACACTCACTCGTCAGGCTCTCTTGCCCTCATCAGCCCAGCTCTCTACCTTATGTAGTCCCAGTGCGTATGATGAGTCGTTCATAGGTAAGTAAGTACAGACTTCGAATCACCCGCGTGTGCGACAACAGTCGACAGTCCGACAGCATCTTGATTAGAACGGGCACGCATACATCCGCAACCTCGAGTCCCCAACACAAGCTCCCCAACACCTCTCTCAACCCCAGCTCCCAGCACTCCTCTCGATCCAGTCGCCATAGCTGAAGAGGCCCAGCCATCCGCGCCGTCAGAGTCGGCTACTCCAATACACAGACTCCTCCGAGAATCGCACTGCTAGCTGGAGTACTCCTGCTGCTGCCGTCCTTGCGTTGCTACGAGACCATTGCCTTCCAAACTCGGAATTCGACGAAAACCACGCAACCATCACATACCAAGTCACCCACCACCAATGTCACCAACATCACCATGTCTGCCCAAACGGGAACCAGATTGCCGCCGCTGGCCCGGGCCGCCCGGTTGGTGTCCCTGTCGGCCCTGGTGTCCACGACGGTGCCGCTCCCGCTCCCCCTGGTGTTGTTCCCGCCGTCGTTCCTACTACCAAACTCGTCCACCTTGGCATAGTGGTTAAACTGCCTACCTTTAAGCAAGTCGACGACCCACTGACAAGCACAGTGGTCGGCGACGAGCTACCCACATCGGCGATCGGCGATAATACGAAGCGACCGTGCCACTCGTTCAAGGCGCCGCCGTCCAGGTGGTACACTCACTGACGACGACGTGTACGAGGTTGATCCGGGCGAGGAATTGGGTGAAGAATTAGGGGAGCAAGGAGCCGGGAGGAAGATGACACGCAAGCGACTTGTCGAAGGTACCGTGTGGGGTGGATTGAGGTACCACCCCTCACCCGGAGGAGGGGGGACTCGTGAAAGATTTGCGAAGCCGTTGACAGCAGGGGAGATGTAGTAATAGTGTACACTATGTGCGAACTTCCAGTGACGTCGGGCGGTGACGATTTGCTAGATGGGTTAAGCGACGAAAAAGTTCCTTGTAATATACCGTATCGGTACTTCCTAGCCTAGCACGCCTGTATGCCCCTTGGGAGGCTCGAGATCGCCGCTATGCGGCTTGATCCCCTGGCGTTGAATACAACAACAAATACTACCAAACTCGTTTCCCAGTCACAGACTAGTCATCCATACGGTCCGAAAACACGAGCGCGTCCAGGATCCGGATCCCTGCGTCGAAGCTGGAGGTGGAGTCCTCGATGGCTCATCTTCGTACTTGGCTGCATCGCCGGCACGAACTGTCGCAGCGACGGCCAATTGTCTGCTATCCAAAGCACCACGAGACAGGCCATGCAGCTCTGTGAGAATGAGAATGTCTAGAGATATAGTGAACGCTTGTCGATCATCTCCACCGCGATGTACAGGTCCACTCCACAGTCGATACGCGTCTGGCAATTTTCGAGGACAACAGGTACAGCCATCACGTAGGGACCCGACCCCGTCGTGCTCAGGCTCGGGAAAGGTGGGTTTGGTAGGATCGACAATAAGTTTCGTTTGCCGCTGAACATTGCCGCGCCTGCAATGTATGTACCCATGCCCGGCTCCCCAGGCCTGTAGATATCACATTAAGCGCTGACGCTCGCAGGCGTGGGGCGGCGCTTAGTTGGACATCATCGTATGGCATCACATTACGACGTCCAGTCGGCTTCTCGAAATTAGTTGCAAGGTTGCTGTGGGCAGCATTTCCAACCCTCACAGGTCACGGCCTCGTGGAGCGATCCATCGCTCGACTGGACGGCGAATGGATGGGACATATTCAGTTGCGAAACGGCTGTCCCCATGCCGGCGGCAACCCGATGAAAGTCGGCACACTGCCATCATATAAGAATGAACAGGCTCTGCTATGAAGATGTCTTCTCTTTGGGGTGTATCTCGCAAGCATAAACGTCACGTATCTTTGTCCCGAACTTTTCGAATCGTTGCTTTCTGAAACTCAGCTCACCATGCCTGCCCCCCTCCGGACGCAAGTGAAAGACGAACAAGCCAGCCTGCGACACTGGACGGAGAAAGAAACACTTCTGGTCAAGCGATACAATGTCGGTGACTGCAGGGGCAGTAAGGAAACATGTCAGCGGCGCCTTGGTGGGCTCGAACGCGATCTCGCGCGGGAGCGTGCTATTCAGGAGAGGACTGCCTTGCCTGGCGAGATCGCAGAGAACATCATTCGGCTTGAGCGTGACGACCGGGCTAAGAAGGCGAACCCTTACAGATCCTAGAAGTATCTGGCGGTAAAGCTACGCCTGTGTCACATCTTTGTATGTGGACTGTTCATATCACAGCGGCGTCTAGAATAGTAGTGAGCTGAGCACGGAGTTTGCGAATAGAGAGAGGTGTTACAACCGTATTGTGTCTGAGTCTGGTCCATGCCTGTTGCCAAGCCAGTTTTTGTCTTTCGGTCAGGACCCAAAGCCACACTTCAGGCAGTCAAAACCCCTTCCAAGCCCACACCCCCTTTTCAACCCCTGTGCCTTCACAGCACGTACCCCAATATTGATAGTATATGTGAGCAGTATCCATCTGAGTATGTAAGCAGTATGTGATGGTCAGCTCACGTGGCGAGTGTCACTACGGGACTCGGGTGTCACGGCGAGTGGCACCTAAGACAAGACAAAGCAGACGACAAGGGGGTAACCGACTCTATAGACGAAAATATCGAAGATGAAGAAAGGAAGGAAAGAGAGCTAGATACAGGTGGGAGACAGAGCTATCTAGATGAACCCCTGGCCAGGGTGTGATGTGGGGCGCAGTAGGTTGCGCTGGTGTGTGCCTTCACACTGCCCTCACATCGGGTGTGATTTCGTACCAATGGACAGGAGAAGACCTTTTCCAATAGGCAACAACGCTGTCACGTTCATACCAAGATCATCGGTTCACGGATAATGCTCTCAATATACTCCCTATTCGCTGTTTCATGAAGCGTTATATACTCTTTCCGGAGTCTTCCTTCAAGGACACGATGCGGTTGAGTACAATAGAGTCATCAGTGCTGTCTGAATCCAGCGCCTGTCGACAACCACACACTATTAGCACAAGGAGAATGGGAGAACGAGCGGCGCCACTTACAAAATAGGCAACGCGCATAGCCTGAAACCTGACGTTCTCGGGCCCACAGTCACCAGTTTTCTCTCCCTCTTCCTCCGGCCACGGCGCTCGACGACGCACCTCGTGGAAGCCGTCTTCAATCATGGCATTTGGCCAGATTGTCTCGCTATTAGGGAGGATGTTGTCCATAGACTCGGGATGCTCTAATTTGAACAAGCCTGTGTGAATACGTACTTCAGCCGTGGGCGATCCCTCGGGCACCCACTGGATGTAGGTCTTGGGCTTCTTTCTATCCTTGTCAAAGACGGCCGTGATCTCTTTGACAGCCCCCGTGACGTCGTCTGTTGTGAAGGAAACCGCCTTGACGGGGTATGGCATCTGCAGAAAACCAACAGTTTTGCCCGGGGCCAAGCGAAAGTAGTCCTTGCTGTCGACCGGCCGAAAGTCGGAGCGATCAATGTAGACCTTTCTCGTCAGCCTCAATTTGTGAGATCTCATCTTGGGGTCTTTTGGCGAGTAGGGAATGTCGAGTAGATCCTGCTCCTCCGCATCTTCGATCACTACCGGCACAGGGTCGAGAACCAGCATGAGACGAGGAACGGTTCTTTCCAGATATTGTCGGACAGACTGCTCGAAACGCTTCATCTCGATGAAGCTGGTTGACGTAGTGACACCAAGTTCGTTAACGAAAGAGAGAAGCGCACCCGGGGGTATACCTCGTCGCCGGAGCGCTTTGAGGGTGTACAGGCGTGGATCATCCCAGCCGCGAACGATCCCATTTTCTATCAGGCTACTATTCGCTGGCCTCGCCAGTCACGTCCCCATCCCAGCCGTACCAGCCAGCCCAGCGTTGAATGATTCCCGTCTTGCCCGGCTTAAATTAGCTGTATCTATTATCCATGACTGTTAACAAGATACATTGACCCCCTCATACTTCATACTATGTACCACATAAATAGCTGCACGGAGGCAAATGTTAGCTGACGCTTATGAGCGATTTGTTCCAGAGAGCAACGTAGGACCACGAATATTTACCTAGTCTCAGCTATAAAAATAGGGAGGGAAAGAAAGAGAGTGGGTCACAACGCCTGGCTGGCTGGCTCCCTTCCCTCACAGACGGATATGCATTCATGCCCCTTACATCACAGGGCTAACTCCAGCGTACGGCACGCAAAGAGGAAACCTCGCCACAGACGTTTACATCCGCTCGGTTCGCATCCCGCCTGTATTGGTGGTTTTCCTGAGGATTCAATTCATACCAAACAAACCTACTTTCTCAACACGTGAAACGACACAAGACCGCAGAGAGAAAAAAGCAAGTCTTCAAGCAGTCTTCAAGCAGTCTACAAGCAGTTTACAAGCAGTTTACAAGCAGTTTATACGCTTCCAGGCCGCATCATCATACCTAGCAAAGCTCCAACACGGGAACATAACACGACATGGAAGTATGTTTACATGCCCCCTCGATGAATAGGCTCAATGCGACTACCCATGCCAAAGCCAAAGGAGTAAGTAGAACAGGGCGAAAGGGTGGCAGCCTACAGGGGCTGGTAATAGCCACCCAATGGCAACTGTGATACACATCGCCAACCAGAAAGCCAGTGAGCCCAACACTCAGAAGAAACCGCGAGAAAGTCGGAAAGCCGTCACCCTGCTTTAGTCATGGGCTCCACCTATCATGGACGAAGCACAAGTTGATGATGATAGGCAGCACAGAACTACTTTCATATGCCCTTGTCCCCCCGTTCGTGTTCAGGGCAATCACCAAGAACGCAACATCACATACAACCGCAGACACATACAAACCATACCTCCTTACACCCCCACGAGAACCCCTGCCGCTCCCGCTAGAATCGAAGAAGACATAGACGGCCAGCTCTTGCATTGTATTAAATTGCGAAAAGGCTAACCTATACGGTCGAGAGGGACCTAAAAGGAGGTTGGGGGGTACGCTTCGAAGGAATCTGGGCCTAAAAAAGTAATAAGATTCGACATTACAAGAGGTGGTCCATCAACATATAATAACCAGGCTGGGGGTATCCATACGAAAAGGGGTTAGTTGGTCTTTCTGATCCAGTCACCTCTCCCTCTCTCTTCGTGATAAGCCCAATACTTCTTTGATACAGGCGTTCCACCAAGACGACGAGTACTGAACACGTGGTAAATGACCCGTTGATTTTCCAGACGACCAAAAGAACTATTGATATAGAAGTATGTTCCTCGGGGGTACAAAGGAGACTTTTTGGTGGTTGGCACCCCAAGCGATGCCCTTCTAGTCGTTTCTTTCGAGGACTAGCTTCCCTTGATCAGCCCCCACGACTGTAACATCCCTTTTGTATGAGAAATCCGCTCGCGTAATGGCTGCCTCCTAGGGGTTGGGCGGTCTCTCATGTGTTGTCTGCACAGGTGGAGGAGAGTTGGGTAGCGGTACATCCTCGGGAGCTGGTGTAGCAGGCGACACTGCTGCCACTGCTGCTGCCTCTGCTGACTCTGGTATAGGGGAAGGTCCGTGGGGCGCTGGCGCGGATGTAGGGGCCCGTTTCTCGTCCAAACTCCTCTTTATATCGACACTCCTGCTCCTCGTGGGCAAAAAGCCATGTCCGTGGTCTGGTGGAGACTTTGTTCGCTTGTGTTCGGCATTCTCTTTAGCCTCTCGATACTTGTTCTTAATCCATCCAAGAGGGCCTTTGGAGTCATCCTTTTCTCTACTACCAGTCTCACTTTCCGCAAATGTCCCCGCCACGTCCGAATAGTCTCCGGTCATGCTCTTTCGTGCTCGATGTCCACTTCCGACCGTCGAAGTACTCATCTCAGCATGACTGTTGAGACCTAGATTTTGGACCGGGCTGCCAGACATCTCTTCTTTCCGGCGGGATATACGCCAACGCCGCTTCTTTTCTTTCTCGGCCATTTCGCTGGACGACGCTCGAGCCGCTTCCTCTGAATGGTCTATATCAGAACCTTCGTTGAACGACGAATGGAGCGATGTTGGCGGCGATGATTTAGGTTTGAGCGACCTATTGCTGGTGTTATCAGAAGCAGCTGGTAGAGTGATCGCAGAAGGTACCTGAGAAGCTCTGGGAGTTGGCTCTGACGGAGTTTCTGCAGAGGTGCCATTCTCTTGACTAATTGGTTCCAGCTGGCTGGGCTTCTGTTCGAATGGGTTCGGGGACTCCAGTGCAGGAGAAACCGCACCCGAATGAGGGAGAGAAGCCGTTGAGCTTTGCGCACTCGGGTTTGCGCTACTCGGTATCCGCTTCTTACGCAACTTATTCGGCTGCCGTTTGTCGCTGTCTGAGGTTGGTGATCGCTGAAAGAGGCTCTGGAGATTTCTTTCCTTCAGAGGTGTCCCAGTGTCGCCAGGGGAACCCAGCAACCTTTCCTGACTTCTCGCTACCACATGGGGTCCTGGCATCAGGGTAGATCCTGTTGCCACTGGCGTCAGGCTTGATGTTGCCGGAGAGCGCTCTGGAGACGTGAAGGCCTCGTGAGCCATCGGAGAAGGGGCATTTGAGCCAGGGCCTGTAGGAGATGGTGATGCTGGAGCTACTGCTACGGTTGGAGAGTTCTGTCGTTGCGGGAACCTCCCCGAGGGGATATGTGGAGATTTCTTCGAAGGGACAGTGTTACTTCTACCCAGACCACAGCTCGGTGTTGTGATTGAGGGACTGCCTGGGGTAGATGCTCCGTTCGACTGACGAGACTGACGAGAGTGACGTGACGACACTGAACGGTTTCTCCGTATCATGCCATCCCTACTGACACTTTCGGCAGCCGCACTCGCGTTTGAAGCAGTGCGTGCCACACCCGAACTCCTGCTGGGTGTCGCAGGAGTTACAATCCTAGGATTTCCTTTCTCAATATCTTGTTTCGTCTGTTCATCCGTCCCTGTGCCTTGCATGCCAATCAAGAAGTGATCCTGGTTCTCAATGAGGAATATGATGACACATTGATTCAGTCGATACTCCTCGGGAGCCATGGCATGGTGTGGATGCGAGAGCATGCCGGGTTGGAAAATGGCAGCCAAGTTTTGAGCCGTCATGCGATTCTCGTCGGCCTTGGCAGCGAAGACTGCGAGCAGATCCAAGATGTAAAGAAGCAGCTGGCGATTGAGAGGCGGCAGGTCCTTGATCAGCTGTTGGTATTTATCGATAGCCTCTGCCTCGTCAAAGTTCTCGACCAGCTGAGTGCCTTCCGCATCGCCGACAGCCTGCCTTGTATGGCCCCGCAGCGGGTCTCGAAATCGTTCGTAGAGGTCCAGCGGGACGACTGGTTCTGGTAGGTCGTTCAAGTAGCGCCGGAGAACATTCGCAGCATCGTGGACCGTGTATCCTTCCCATACCAGGCCTTTGCCATATCGATTAGGTGAGTCGAACTGGATTTTGAGCTCCTTGATGCGCTTCTCTGAACCACTTAATCGGAATATGCCCTCTATACCGGTGGCTATCATGCGAGTCAGCATCCATTCAAGACCTGTCTATGCCCCCAAACGAACCTTTCTCCTTCAGAAATACACCGCACTTGGCTACCACGATCGGTACGTATCCGTATATATAGCTCTGACCATGTTCATCGACGAGGGAAATAGCGACGTTGGCGTAGGTGATGCTTTGTCGCAGCGGGACACCGAAGATACCTTGCGGGCGCGGATCTGCATTGAGAAAGGATTAGCAAGTCTCCCTGGGTGCGGTGCGCCATGTCGCATCCTCATGTTGGCTTCTGCGATAGTTGAAACAGGGCAGCCTGCCAGATCCAGTATGCAGGCAGAGCTGAGAACTGGGGACAGGTGCTTGCATTTGCTGTATTCAAATCGCAACTTGGGAATGAAGCAAGAGAGTGAGGCGACCAGTCGCAACGGCGCTGAGCCAAGAAAGAACAGGTGGATACAGCGACAAATGCTGAACCGGACGGGGTCTGAGTGATGCGACACAAGCAGACGTGCAAAGTTGGGCTCGGAGGGTGTGGTTCCTTACCTGGTGTTGTCTCGTGATGCCTGGACTGGACCTGGAATCTCTTCCACCACGACTTCAGGTCTCGCTTGCTGGGCGGCGATGTAGGAGTAGAGGGATGGGACTGTTGCTGTGGCGGGCTCATCTGTTGATGATGTGGTGCCGGTTTCGAAGGAGTAACGGCGGACGTCATGGTATCTGTGGCGCTGACGCGCAGGCGACCACGACTCTGAAAGAGAGGTGGGAATGCGTCGTGGGTCGTGGAAATGGATGCGCGCGATCGCTTTTATGTTCCCATCAATGAATCATGTGTCGCGGCGGTCGAGTGATTGAGCGGCGCGATGGTGGGAGCGCAGAGGTGTCGCCGTTGGACGGATGCGATGGTGGTGGTTGTTGTGGTTGTGGGTGTGGGAGGTTCAAATGCGTGGCAGCGGCAGCGGGCGAGGCCAGCAGTGAGCAGTGAAGTGGGCACAGGTGAGATGGTCGATGGTCGATGGGCGACTTTGGCTGGCCGCTGTACCTAATGCGGTCGAAGAGCCAGTAGGAATGGCTGGGCTTTGCGCAGTCTAGGGCCAAGGCTGACAGTGACTGTTTCAGAACGGCCTTTGATTCCGTAGCGAACGGTCAATGGGCAACGGGCAACGGGGGGCGTTTAGAAAGACTACAGGTGGGCACACAGGGCACACCAAAGCAACACGGTTACTGGGTAGTGAAGGCCAGAACGTCAGTAGATTGAGAAAGAGATACTGCTAGGTAGCAACTCTTGTGACTAAGGTTGTTGCGGCCTCATAATGGTAGAGAGTAGACCCCTTGGAACAGGCGTGAGTGATAGTGTGGAAGTGCAAGTGGAAGTGAAATTGAAAACGGAAGTGAAGAACACGGCGCCACATCCAAGTTGCACGTAGGTAGGTAGGTACCTATGTACCAGGTACCTATGTACCCGCCTGCGCTTCAACCCAGCCCGTTGCATCTGTGCCCGCGTACCGTGGTCCGTTGCTGAGGTGGGGTTTGGTCTACCATTCTTTGTTCACACTGTATACCTGACTTATGTACCTTCCATTACTGTCTCTTTCCACATCACTTCAATACTTGAACCTGAGGGCTCTGTTCATGCCCAACTACATCGACTGCAAGATAGGCGAGTTTCCAGATTGATTCAAAAGCTCAAGGTACGCAAGCATACGAGATGGGGAGCTTCTTGTAACAATAACTAATAGTCCAGCACGTTACCTACATACCTACTTCACCATGGTTGTATGACAGCTTGCCTCACTCATGGCCCTGCGGTGTAACGAGTCAGGCACCATTTGGACCTTGAACCACTAGAACTGTTCCTCTACTCTACATTCAGGTATGTAACACGGTTCTTGTATTCAATGCTCGGTCTGAACCTTCCCAAGTCGTGAATCTCGTATTTTCAGATCTGACAGATGCAGTGGCAGAAAGTCTAAAGGTGACCTAAATCAACCCTCTTTGCACCTCCATAGAGACGGACCCAGCTTATAATTTATCATAGAGCAAGCAAGCAGTCGACGGTGAGACTGTAACCATTAGCTGTCTGTGAGGGCTCTTGGACAGCCCTTCAACAAGTTGTAAGTTCGACGTCCATTGCCGGCCCACGACGACTGGCAGGGGGCCCAGTTCTATACTCAGATCCTGGAGCTGCAGAGGGCCTAGAACTCTCCTCTGTCCCATCTCAGTTCACATTACCGCCCAGAGTCCCGGACTTGCCCATCGTACCTTGCCTTTGTTGATCTCTCCGTCTAGACGCCCTCCGGTGGGATTCCGCTGCTATCCACTGCGATAGAGAGATTAGAGAAACAACAGGAAAGCTCTACCCCTGACCTCCCTGAGCTTCCCCTGTGGAATTCCAGGTAGCCTGTAGGTGATCCTCTAACTTAGAGGGTCTGATCTCGGTGACGGCACTGTGCTTTCACAATCGCACCCCGGCCTGCCCGCCTACTAGGGCAGCTAGGCTACCTTGCTATGTAACCGTGCCTAACGTGCATACCGCATACCGCATTTGCTGAAAGCGTTTCCCATTATTATCGCATTTTATTATTATTACTTCAGACCTCTTCTTCTCACATGATGCCCCGCGCCAGCGTCGGTGTCATAAGCCCAGCGCCTATTCTAAGATTCGATCCATCATCCATGGACCGCAGGACCGATGCCCTGACCGTCTCCTGTGGTGAGCAGTCTGGTAGTCTGGCAGTGAGCACTTCTCCTGGTCTCTGCTCTCTAGGGCTGAATCGAAAGTGGGTGAGTGCGGGCCTGGTAGCAGAGGAACTAGGCGAACAATTTCCAGCCTGGAAGTTCCAGGTTGACGTACCTTGCTGCATAGTACATACTACCCGCCCAGACAGACTACCTAAATGCGTCGCTCTCCTCGCCCAACCACAGACGCCGACAATGAGACGTAGGACTTGGAGGCCCGGCTTCCGGCTCGTGAGCCCTTTCAGTGTTCACGCCCTTTGGCATTTGCACCTTGGCAGCTAGCGATTGTGACATGCCACTGATGTCAAGCTTCCCCAAGTACCGAAAGTGGAAACCAGACCTGGGCACTGATGATCACCCGTCACGACTGGAGCTGATGATCGTCGCGCCACCTCCCCAGCTCCCCTACCGCCGCCACAGTGGCCCGCCGTCTTACGGCCTTGCCGTTGCCATTATCGCTGAGCATCCCCTCCCTACCTCAACTATATTTAGCAAGGTTCGGTAGGCCGCCTGCATCTCAACTCCCACTGGTGCAACTGTACGTTCGTAAGGTAAGATGTCTCGTGAGCCGTGTGACCGACTCCTGTCACCTGCCGCCTGCACCGCTTGGTGAATCTGACTTCTGACAAAATACACACAAGCTGAGGTCATGCAAGACACTTTTACTTCCTCATTACCAGAGGGGCTCGCTTGAGGGACTCATTGAGAAGCCCAGGAGCTTGGATGCTGGAGGCAAAAAGCCTTCTTTCGTCATACCTCAATCCCGTAATGGAGCTTCAAAAATCGCCCCCCCCAACCCCCCCCACGATCAAGTCAGCAAGCCCCCAGCCTCTGCTTTTGGGAGCCAGCCGACGTTTTGCGTGCAGGAAGCACACGCTGCAGCGCGATGTCTCAAAGCATGTGAACGAGTCCAGTTGCGAATGCGCATTCTGCTCATATCTGACGAGTCTTTCTTCTGCTGCATCAGTGCCATCACAGAAGGCAGATTAGATATGTGTCCAAGGGTGTTTTGGTTTATCAACTAGGTATATTTCATAGAAATTGCCTTACAATTCCCGTCCATCTGTTCGACGCATGTTTGGCCCCAGACAGTATGTTCAACCTCAAGTCCGTCGGTCAGATATATCGAGATACCCAGATACCGTTTTGCGTCCCCTTATTGTGCGAGACAGACAAACGAGCTTGCCCGAGTATGATAGCATCTTTCGTGTACGCTGGGCGGTACTCAGGCGCCGCCCGCTTCCAGTCGCGACCTCTGTCTCCAGCCCTGAGCCTCATAGCGGAAGCATCGGCGATGAAAAGAAGGGGGGGGGCCGAAGAAGCTTGTCGCTACTTGAAATATCCTAGTGGATTGCCACATGAGCGTTGCTGACGCGCGCATACCTCGAAACAGCTCCGTCTTGGTACCTTTTGCCATTGCTCTCTGGTTTTATTACCGCGGTGCGTATAAGCAACTTCTTCGGACAGCAGTGATCTTCCGCCCGGATAGGGCCTGGCTGTCGGTCAGCAGCAGCAGCAGCAGTTTAGCCTCGCTCACCGCCGACATCAGCCTGCGCTGAAAGGATGCGCCGACAGACAGGCCATGCTGACTTGCTGCATGTGCTATCATGTATACCTGATACCCATGTAACTGGGCCTTGCGAAACGCATCGGAGGAAGGGATGAGAAGAAATTCAGGCCGTGGACGTTGGTTGCATCAGATATACTCACGTACATACGCAAAGCCCGGTCTCGCATAAGCAAGCAAACAAGCGGAAACGACCAGCCAAGGATCGTATGCTCGACACCGCCGTCAAGGTCTGCCCTGCCACCTCATAGACGTAGAGCCGTGCTGTGCCAAGTGCCTCCGAGCCGTCTGTCACCTACACATCAGTTGTGTTAAATGTTAAATCTCGTCCTCGTGTTCCATCGCCAACTATCAGAAACGAGGGCGGCGACCCGACCGACGCAATCGGTACCTGACTGATTCAATGGTGCGATGGTGACCTCGACCATCTACTTCTTTCTCCGTGAAGAGTCCGCGTCAACTCCCGAAAAAGGGGACCTGACCTGGAAGATTCGCCTCATCATCGTCGACAGGAAATATCTCAGAGTTCTTCCAAGACCTACCTAGGTACTACCGCAGACTGACCGACTGATGCGTTCACCGACTCGTTCGTCGACTTGGAAAGTGTCATGTCTCGAGACGAGGAGTGTGGTGGCCGTGGACTTGCACATCCCGAATCCCAGCTATTCCGCCGCGAAGCTCAAGCTGAACAGAAAGAGGGAGACGGCATCCATCCCCTGAGCAACCGCGATACACAGATGATCGTCAGGTGTAGCAAGCATCAAGCCATTCCATTCCATTCCAGTCCAGTCCCATCGCATCCTGGACTGATCGTGAAAAATGCCGTCCAGAACAGCACGTAACGTACGTACGATCCACGACCGTCAATTAGGCCGCCCTGGGCGAGCCGATGCTGCGTCGCCGTCAAGAGCCGGAGTGAGCTAGATAGATAGATACCGAGTTAACTGAAGGCCACGCATTGCATCGGCGCAGTGAGTGAGACGTCAACCTCCAGATTCATATGAAGAGTCCTCAGAATTCAACTCACGACATCACTGCCATCCCGTGTTGACCTACACTAACCCCACACAAGTCTCCGTACGGCCCCATCCACACACCGTCACCACCACATTCACTGCTCAATTGCGAAGGCATCACGAGGCCGAAAATTATAACAAAATGTGCATTTGATAGCGCTTTAATAGTGGTTGTACCAGCCGCGCGCCCGGACCACTGTGGCAATCCGATTGGGGGGAGATTTGATGAGCTTCTTCGGGAGCTCGGGATCCAACTCTGACCACGCGGCTTGGATTATCTCTCTAGCCCATGCCTGGTGAGCGATATTGTCCTTCAGGTCTTGAAAATAAGGCTCTATTTCCCTTATCTTCTTCTTTAGAGCTGCCTAAACGTGCTCAATGGGGTTCAAATCGGGGCTGTGAGGAGGCCAGTCGATAGTCCAGATCCCGTGCTCCTCTAACCACTCCGGCGAGCCTCCTTTGACGTGTACAGGAGCATTATCTTGCTGAAAAGGTCCCTTGCCTCATAGAACGGAAGAAGACCTTCCTCCAGGACCTGTTTATAGCGCCTAGCAGAGACTCCTCCGTGTGGTGAATCCGGATCTCCTTCACAGAAGACCAGCTTGCCTAGGCCACTTTCGTCGTCGCGTAACCACATCAAACCCCAAACCATTATCGAAATACGAGCTCTCCCGTGGCTCTGTGGATTCACGAGATCCTTGCGGTACCGTTCGTTGGAGAGGCGGATGACCCATTCGCCAGGTCTATCGGGATCATTCTGGATGGTGCATTCGTCAGAGAAGAGGGCCATCATCAACTCCTTTTGAGCGCGTTGCGTGCGGTATTTTCGCGCCCAAGCAAGCCGTTTCGCGGCGTCATCCTCCGTGAGAGAGATTCGCTTCACTGTGCGCCATTTATTGAGGCCGTGGTGGCAGAGAGCCCTCAAGATGGTCTCCGTGTGGCAGGTAACGCGTGCTTTGGCTTTGAGCGCCTCCTATAAGAGACGAGGGAACCTCTGCGCCAAATCAACTAGATAGCGTTCTTGCCCATGCGAAAGAAGCCTAAGAGCTCCCTTCCTTCGTGCAGTGCGCATGGTTTTGGTAGTGTTGACACGCGAGCAAATCTCAGAGATGGTTTCGACGCGTTCCGTGCCGTAGGAGCGTGCGACATCCCTACGACTGCGGCCCTCCGCGCGCGCCGCGATAATGCCTGCACGCGCCTCCGAAGTAAATTCGCCGTTTGGCTGGCGAGTGCCGCTCAGAACGGTACCCATTTCGTTAATATCCATGGTGAATTGATTTTATTATGAATTATCGCAAGATGAGGGTGTCGCGTTGTTGTTTTGGTCAGAAGATTGAATTGGGGCTAGCGTACGGAGACTTATGTGGGACAAGTGTAACTGCACTTTCTTGGACTATCATTGGGAATCGGCCTAGTTTGAATGCGTGACTATCCCAGGAGACAATCATCCAACCCCTAGACTGTACATTCTGCTTCCAAGTTGTCTCAAATTGAAAGCTCGCACCAAGAGTATCATCCTGGCCCCTATTGTGGACAGACCATAACGCGGCCCTTTTCTCACGCCACGAGCCAGCGAGTTCTCCTGTGGTATACAAGCCAAGAGACCAGACTTGTATTCATTTCAATCTATACTCGATGCAGCCGGTGTGCCGAAAAACATAGTTGCGAGAAGGAAAGGCGGCCCAGAGCGGAGCGGGCGAGAACACCACACCATTACAAGACCATAGTAATAACAAGTACCCAAGTTGAATGTCATCCGTCCTGTCTGGTTCTCAGGAAATTCACACATAGCCCTGAACACCGCTCGAGATGAACCAAGAGCACTGATCCCTCCTCAAACCGCAGAAAGTCCAAGTACGTCCAAGGGGTATATGGCCATTGAACGTGACCGTGGTCCGACGCGACCACCTAACCATAGACGGACTATGGAGGCACTCGCACCAAAAGAAGCCATGGGAAGGCGGCGCGATTCATCCTTGCCCAACGCCAGACATCTGTCAAAACTCCTTGGTTCCAACACGCAAAATTACAACAAGAGCAGATCGGCGCCCTTCGTGGTCCAACAAGAAGCTATCGCGGAAAGCTTGGTGTAGTCCAGGCTGGGTAGAAGCCGACTAGCCCGCAGAAATTGAAATGTATCGAACGCCGTAACGGGAATATGTAGCCCACCGAATGAGACCCTGGTCCGTGACGCCTGATAATGAGTCCCCTAAAAAGGAATGGACTGGTAATGAATCGAATGACTCTCCTGGCACGATAGCCAGTCATGGCTTAAATTTTAGGAGCCGCGGGGCATAAATAAAGTGTATAGCAATCTGATACGTGTCGTCATACGTCGTGAGATAGTCCTCGAATCTACGAGGCACTTGAGGGAACGCTCCGGGGCGCGAGATCGCCGCTCCGGCTTCGGGGTAGACCCTGTTGTTGGGCATTGGCGATCATTTGCATCTTCTTTCGAAGGGCGGTAAGTCTGCCAGTAATCATTTGGATCACTTGATTGTCATTAGTCTCAGTATGTTCGGACAAATCACGAGACTTACTCTTATGAACCGCTTGTTGATCGTCCTGGTTCATGCCCGATGCGCCTTCTCGAATCACATCTCGCTCCGGCTTTGTTCCAGACAGCCTTCGCTTGGTGAAGATATCCTCGTCATTGTCAAGCACTGCTTCGAGCATCCGGATCGCGGTGACGTATGAGATCTCGCATCCGCTCAGGTCCTCGTTTGCAATCTCGTTAATAGCAGCTGCGCGACTCATTTCAAGGGCTCGTTCGTACATGAGTTTCTCGGCGCTCAATCCTGCTGTCAACACGATGCCCTCCGCACTAGAACTGCCCGGCGTAACGGCTTCTAGCTGATTGTCATGCGAATGACTTGAGTGATCCGCAGGTAGCTGTTTTTGAGCATCGACCAGCTTGAGTCTGACAACCTCGGCCTTTTCAAGTGTCTCGTTAAACCGTTTGCGAACCCATTGCACAGCCGAATTGACCCTTGTCACAAGATTTTGAGTGCTAGTTGCGTCTCGTGGTACGACATGTTGTGTCGAGGTAGAATCACCTCTGGCCTTGCGTGCCCACCAGACGCTTGCGATATCCATAGACTTAGCGAGAAGAGACAGAGCCTTGACGTAGAGGACGAGGGCCTCCTCCGAAAGCACAACAACCGCCTCTGTGGTGAGTCCATCATCTTCTTCCGATGGCATCGTCTCCGCGGGTGTGCCTCCGAGTCCGTGATCCATGGATGGCGCAAGGGGTATGAGTTGTTTGTACTTGACCTCGGCGAAGCCCCAAACAACATCACTTCGTGTAGCAAAGTCCTCAATACACTGGGCAACTCGCATATCCTCATCGACCGGACCACCTTGACGTCCATCGGTGATGAGGCCATCCGGGGTAGTTGCGGTGGGATATGCAGGAAAGGCGCCGTACATGTGCGGGGGCGATGCACCTTTGCCAAGCATGTGCGACGGATATTTGAAGCCAAACAGCCTTAAGCTGGCGTCTTGAATGGCCTTGGAGATGACCGATGTCGTGGAATTAGGGCTGCCAGAGAGGTTCTTATCGTACGATCCTCGATGCTGTTGCTCAGGACGTTGCTTGCCTTGCGCGATCTGAAGAGCGTTGGAAGGTTGTGCCGGAATGGCCCCAGTTGTTGATGTCGGAACGCCTTGTTGGGTGGCACGACGAATGACTTGTCCCGACCTGGGAATCATGGCTTGCGCCTGGGCTCCTTTGGCAGCCAACTCGTCGGCAAAAGCGTTCACTTCGACGTGCTTCTTCTCCACAACGACATAATCCCGCTCAAAAGCGATATCCTGAGCAGTCTTTTCTCGCTCATCGGCAGCGGGACGTGGAGGTCTGCCTTTTCCATTGCTGGCGTTATCGTGGACGTACGAAGAGGGAGGCAATGGCTCATCACGGGGATACTTGGTAGCTGAGGCATTGGAATAGCCACGTCTGCGCCGACCTTCAAGGAGAGCTTGCCGTGAAGGCGCCGACGTAGATGGGACCGGTTGGGGTCGCCGAATTCCCAGACCAGGAGTAATGTCATCTCGTGGCGACTGCGTATCACGCGATGCGCCCTGTACCGGTTGATCCTCGTTTTTAAATTCGGGCGTGGTGGCCAGAGGCGAAGACTTCATGGGCTTATCGCGCGGTGATGACGAACCAAAATCCTGGCGCCCAGACTCTGGTTCGGTGCCGTAGCGGCGATGGGTCGACAAACGTCGGCCTAGTCGAGGTTCATCCGTCTTTGACAGAGCCCGGACTTCTTTTGATGGCTGTCGTTGGATTTTTGGTACATCGTCTTCGACCAAGCCAGGAATGGGATCTGCAATGACCTGATGGTTGAATAAGTTCTCAAAGCTCAATCTCTCGACTGGATTGCGCTTCAACAGAGCACGTATCAGTGCTTTGACGTCGGGAGTCGCTTGACATTCTTTCGAAAACCGGATTTGGTCCTCGGAATTCTCGATCCTTCGCAGGAGTTCGACATGGTTGTTGGCTCGAAACGGTGGTTTGCCGGATATCATCTCATACCCGACAGTCCCAACAGACCACAGATCGGCCTTGGCATCGTATCGTTCGTAACGCAGTATCTCGGGCGCCATGTACAATGGTGACCCACAGAGCGTCTCGGCCAACGACGTTGACGGTAAAACACGGGCAAAGCCAAAATCCGCCAGCTTCAACATCGGTAGCGACTGCAGGCCAACAGCCGGTATTAACGAATCCTGACTGGCGCTGAGGATAGGGCGGCTGTCCTTGTTGGTTTCCCGGTACGCAAGGGACGGAAGCAGCAAGAGGTTTTGTGGCTTGATATCTCGATGGACGAAGTTGCTCTCTCGTAGGAACTGCAAAGCACTGACGAGCTGCTTCAGAAAATGGCGGATAACGACTTCGTTGAGGCCGGCACCGGGAACGCTGGGATATTTCCGGGCCATATCGCAAGTCGCAGGGTGTGTAACGAGCTTGTCTCTCTTCTTGATGAACAACGACAGGTCACCCAGCTCGCAGTACTCCATCATCAAGTTGATGTGGGTTTTGGACTCGATGCAGTCATGGAGGGCAACAATATGAGGATGCCGGAGCTTCTTGAGGATCTTGATTTCGCTGTAAAGGTTCGCCTTCAACTTATTGTTCAATCGACCGAGCTCGACGGACTTGATTGCGACTGCAGCACCTGATACCTTCAAGATGTTAGCCCACTGATGGACATACAAGGGTGGGTCAAGTCCTGCGAGAAGCTCCAACACACGAAGAGGCAATGGGAACAACACAAGGTAGATTGGTGGCTGTTGCGAGAGCTAAAGGAAGTACAGAGAATAGTGATAGTTGTGTTGTCAAGGAGCTCGAGGATTCCGAACCTTGTGCTTGCCCATGTAGACCTGGGCAAAGCTGCCTTTTCCTATCTCGGAGCCGATAATGAACTGGCCGACGACATCGTCGCCAGCTCTCGCACGACGCGAGGAGGAGGAGGAGGAGGGGGAGGAGCCGCGAGGATCAGCCATGGCTTCCTTCCTGTGTGGATTGACGATGGCAGGAAGTTCGGGTGTTGCAGCCCGGCGGCCTATAAGGGAATCGGGGATCGGTGGGCGGCTTGAGTTGTCGTCATGTACGCAGACAGAGGCGGCTCGAACCTATTGGCTTGATGGTGGAGGTTCGGGGAGGGAGGGAGAAGGGGGTAGGGTGCGCAAGGCAGAAGTGAAGATAGAGAAATAAAGAAAGAGAGAAAAGAAAGCTTGAGATTGAGTTGAGGTGAGGTGAGGAGCGCGTCCCTGTGCTCTGTGCTCAAGCTGGTGCTGGTGCTGGGTGGACGGGCAGACGGGGTGGATGGGTGGATGGATGGACAGGCACCCTACGACAGGTACCGTGAGGTAGGCAGGTGATCCGATAGGTCGCCTGGGTGGTAGCAGGGTAACGGGAGGAAGCTCAGAGGCGGGGATCCAACTCAAAATGAAGTGGCTCCTGTGCCTGTGTCTGTGTCTGTGTGTTTTCTGATTTCTGATGCAGCGCAGCCGGCGAGACCAGTATGAGTGGAAGTCACAGAGCACCGTCGAGTCGAAAAGGGTAGAACATAGAACAGAGGAATAGACCGGATCAGGACGAGGTATGCTGATACGGTAGAGATCAGACTACAGTTCGTTATCCGTTATCATGCACTGAAGAGTCACAGGGTGACGACTGATAAGGAGAAAGGCGCTGAAGCCCAGTCCTGAAAGTACCAGCCGATTCCACTTACAGGTTGGGGCAGCAGGTCCAAGGGCCCACTCGCAGCTGTGCATGTGTTCTAGCTGTTTCTGGCTGGCTCGCAGGTACATCCGTGTACATGCATTCAGTGGGTGTTCACCGAAATGTACACCTGCATTGCATGTAGGACTCGGTTTGACTCTTTGCGACTCCTACCATCTAACAACCTAGTTATTATTCATTATGAATTAGAAAGGCAACACGGGACGATACGAGATGACACGAGGCACGACTTCGAATGGATTGGATGACAACTTACAAGAGCATTCATCCATCTTTGTTCCCATCCATGCGATGATGTGATGCGGTGGCTGGACTCGCTAAAAGCACCAGGCAGCATGGGGAAGCATGCTGCCTCCATTGACACGTCTGTTCTCCACAACCTTGTTGTCGCCAAACAGTACGTAGTTGCATGAGTCCTACTCCAGTAGTACATGCGAATTAACGATGATCCCTCGTGGCCTACATATCACCATGTCTTCTTACGTGCATACCTGGGACAACTGAGGCGAGGCGGACTACCTATTACGGAATCCATCACGCAACGACCCATCCAACCAGAGTCATGTATCCCGTGTGTCAAGTTGTAGGTAGTGCACGGGTACATGTAGTAGTCTTCCAGCCCTTCGCAAGACACCTGTTCCATTGCATCACCACCGGTCCTTTGTTACAGAGGTTGCTCATGGGCAACTAAATTGGCACAATCAGACTACTCAAAATACCAAAAGCGGATGGACTAAATATACGTCTAAACTCGTCATCATGTGCAAATCTGAGGTGACCGCTGACCGCTGACCGCGCCCATGAGGCTCAGCTCGGTGCCAGAACGAGAGCCGCGAATGTCATCCAATCCACAGTCCTCGTGGCGTAGGTAACGACAATCATGAGGTGATTGATCGAAGGGGTCTGTCCGTCTCCGTTAGCTCGACTTATTATTATCAATATATTCCCTAGTGGTGGACTACTCGCTAGGTACCTGTCTAGAGCCTCGAGAGATCGGATGGTTTGCATTTGCGCGCGAGAGACAGAGAGGGGGGGGGGGCGTCGTTGTTGGTCACAAGGCTCTCACGACACGCAGTAAGAGCCGTCTCATGGAGACCGAGCGCGAAGGATGGATGGATGGATTGGACCCCTGAAATGATTGCAGTGGTGGTGGTGTGGTGTTGCATCTTCTTATCTTGCCCCGCGATCGGTCGTCGTCTTGGCCTCAGCCTTCAGGTGTCAGTCGTAAGACCCTACGTGCGTATCTCTGCCTATCTGCTTATCAGTGAACAGCCACTGGATAGGTAGAATATACCCGTGTAGATAAAATAGATCCCGTAGGTGGGACGGACGGGGTTCGCATGTTGCCCTGTTGTGTGGTGAGGCAAGCGTATTTTTATTCGTCTTATCAAGAGTCAATGTTGCGTGAGAAGACGATATCTTTGACTATGTTGTCCAGTCTTCCAGACATGGCAACTCACCATATGTCTTCTCCTCAGGATTTTCCTACCTCCATATAAAAAATCTGGTAACTTCGACGAAATTCGCCTGACTTTACCGAGAGGAGGGGAAGGATGCAGAGAAAAGCCTTCGATCTCAACTCTAAATCCTATGTTGCGTCAGAGGCCCTCTCGTTGTCACCGAAGCTCTTCCTTATTATTAGAGCAGAGCGCACTTCACTCTTCACCGAGCCTGGACAGTGCTGAGCGCGCCGTAGATACCAAGACTCACTCACAGGCATCATCCATTGCCCTGGGAACAGACAAGCAGTTCACCGGAGCGAGCTAGGTCGCCGTCTTGTGGCGATGTCGAGTGCTCGCACTGCGATGGGCCTGAAACCTACTTGTGGAGAGTGGCAAAGAGCCTCACTCGGATCCGACTGAGTGTTGCCAATTTTGGAATACAGAGCTGGGTATATCTGTCGTCCTCGTCCCTACAGAGTCTGATCTCGTCGTTGTTTTTGGTGTTTTCCGCGCACCACGACTACAACCTTCACCATATCACCACCAGTGTACGCCCATAAACCCAGCCCGCCGACGAAATCAGTACAATTCTTTAAACGTATCCCGCTCGCTCCGCCATGAAGCACCTGGCAGCTCTGCTCGTGGGCCTCGGGTTAGCCGCTCTCACAGCCGCCAAGGACGTCACGTTCACTGTCTACGACAACTCCGAATGCAAGTACGAAAACAAGAAGTTCGAAAAGAAGAACTACATGGCCATTACGGTCGGTAGCGGCGATCACGAATGCAAACCCATCGACTTCACCGCGTGGTACCATCTGGTGGACACTGGGCCGCGGCCCGCATTCTCCCTCGTTACCGGGGACCATATCGAAAAGGCTACCGGGGACAATATCGTTAAAAGGGACGATGTCGATCTCAGCCAAATTGTCTTCTTTACCGACGTGTCGTGCAAGGATCCTCTGGATACACTCGAAGATGCCATGAACGAGTGGCATAGGGTCGGCGGCGAGGCCGACTTGAACTGTCTTGATGTCAAAGATCCCAGAGGGATTGCCGCTTACCAGGTTGCAAAGAAGAAGGATACCTCATGAACATGTATTCGCCAACATGTCGTACTAGAGGCATTCTCGAGAAGGGGTGGTGGATAGCTGCCTATATCACTTTGGTATGAGGCGGCTAACAGATGCGACACTAGACCACACATATGCACAACACAACAGATCGTTTATAATAGACTGCATTGCCTTTATATTTCTTCATCTGTCGTCAATCAGTGATATGTATCAGGACCAGAGCTACCTGGCCTAAGACCAGCTCAGGCTGGTGTGACTTATCAAACTGCATCTCAGACTCTTGTGTTTCTGGCGAACCGACGATAGGCCATCCCAGCTTCCTCTAACACGGCAAAGGCTCCTAAGTCAGAACAAGATCGGCAATCGTGCTGCATCATGGCATAGGAGAGGCGTCAAGCTCGCGAATCCGCAGGCTGCATAAGGTGATCTATCAGCTTAGTAAGTACCGTAGGGCGCCCTGCACATCACAGGCACGCGCACATAGGCTGCAGCCGTCTGCGGCCGCTGGCCACATGGATTGCGAGGCACACACACTGCATTGACACGGCATTGATTGAGATGTCTTACTGGATGCATAAATACCACCCAGCCGTAGTCAAGCCTGGTGGTTATCTTGATCAATGGATGTCCAATGACCTAGGCAGTCTGGATGGACAAGCCAAATCAAAATCATGCCATGCTGCCAGCTAAGCACTCCCGCCGCGTGCGACCATTGAACCCCGGGAAGTCAGCCATGATATGTGCTCCCTCGATCGCTAAGAAGTGCCCGCAGCCTCCAGGCAGAACTGTCTCGGCCTATGATAGGTACGCAGGAGACGCCACCCAAGAGGGTGAGTCTATCAGGGTTGCAGAAGTGCCACCCACCGTCTCATGCTGTAGCCGAGAACCCTCGCACAATGTTTCCGCGCTTTTTCCACTTGCATCCAGTACGCCTTGCCGAAGGACCTTGAAGGCCCTCTCCAACTCCAATGCCGTCCGGTCCGTTTCAATGTCGCACAAAGCTAAGGTTATGATGCGGGGAACTGAAAAGAGGTCGCCGTGGACTTTAGCGAGACAATCAATTCTCCAACTTAGGGTGGGCATCCTCGTGCTTCTTCATCTTTGGTAGTTCTTGCAATGCGTCGCCGATGATCCCCATGGCTTTCCGAAGCTGTGTTTCGCTTATGACCAATGGTGGTGCGAAACGGATGATGTTGCCGTGTGTCGGTTTGGCCTGTTCTCGATGTGAGCCGCTTGCGCAATCGTGTGTGAAGTGACATGTCCGAGACTTACCAGGAGACCCTTCTCCTTGAGAAGAAGGCAGAGGTCCCAAGCGGAGTGACCGTTGGTCTGTGACTCATCAATCACAACAGCATTTAACAACCCCTTACCACGGATGGTCTTGATGGCTGGCGATTTGAGCGAAGCCAGTCCATCCCTGAAGATGTTACCAAGTTTCTCGGCCTTCTGGGTAAGCTGCTCCTCTTCCATGGTCTCCAGCGCTCGAATAGAGACGGCACAGCCTAGGGGGTTTCCGCCGTAGGTCGAGCCGTGCGTACCAGGCTCCACGACAAGCATGATCTCCTTGCTGCTGAGAACACAGCTGACCGGATACATGCCACCAGAGATGGCTTTACCAAGGGTAACCATATCTGGCTTGATGCCAGCCCACTCGGAACACAGCATTCGTCCTGTTCGGCCAATTCCGGTCTGGATCTCATCACAGATGAAAAGCACATTGTGCTTCTTGCACAGCGCCTGGACGTTGCTCAGGTAGTCTTCGTCTGGCACTACCACTCCTGCCTCTCCCTGTATCGGCTCTACGATGAAGGCGGCGGTCTCTTTGCCGTGCGCCTCGAGCGCCTCCTCCAAGCTGGCGATGTTGTTGTATTCAATGGTCTTCCCAGTGGAAGGGCAGACGGCACCAACATTCGGTACGTACGGGCCATAGTTTTCCTTGGACTCCGCGTCGGTAGACAGGGTGACGGCAGTCATCTACGCAGGGCGTTAGAGTCACGGCGAGCCAGAAGTGACATCCATCCTTACCGTTCTACCGTGGAAGTTTTCCCCGGCCCCGAAGATCAAGGCCTTGCCCTGTGGGATCCCTTTGACCTTGTATGCCCACTTCCTCGCAATCTTGATAGCCGTCTCAACAGCTTCGGCGCCGGTGTTCATGGGCAGGACCATGTCGTACCCGAACATCTGCTGAACCTTCTCGGCCCACTTGGGGAACACATCGTTGTGGAAGGCTCTCGAGCTTAGCGTCAAACGACCGGCCTGTTCGGTGAGGGCCTTGACCAGTTCGGGGTGGCAATGGCCTTGGTTCACGGCGCTGTAGGCGGACAGGAAGTCGATGTAGTGGTTGCCTTCGGGATCCCAGACATCGACGCCTTGGGCGCGCGCAAAGACGACGGGCAGCGGGTGGTAGTTGTGGGCGGCGAACTTGTGCTCGGCATCAATCGCGGCCTTCGTCGACGAAGCGTGGTAGCGGGCAGAGGTGGTCGAGCCGTTGCTGGAATTAGCAGCTGGTCCTTCGGCGTGGGGGGCCATGATGGCGGGGTTGGTCTGAGGGATGGCGGTTGGTAAGACTTGGCAATCAGTGGCAGCAAGGCAGGATAAGGTATGTTACGGTTATGCCTGGACAGATACGACAAGTTGCAGAATTATGAGAACGAGAAGTATGAGAGACGGAAGAGAGACGGAAGAGAGACGAAAGAGAAACGGGTAAAGATGGATGGTTGAGTACAAAAGACTCAAGTCAAGTCATGGAAAGGCGGGGCGACGTCCAGCTTGAGGTCAGATTCCAATGTTGGTACGTAATGTGAAAGAGCGGGCAAGCATTGATTGTACGGCGGCCACTAAACCCCTAAGTGCAAGTCGATGCGGCTCTCCCCAGTCGTGACACTGCGGCGATGTCAGATCTGGCTCGATCAGGAGGTTAGGTATCCAAGAGTTCGACGGTCACATGTGCTCTTTTGCGTGTTCAACAGTTCCACACCCTGCCGAAAGAAAGCGGTGGGTAATAATAAAGGCGACTTCATACGATGCTGCTTGCTTGCTGAGTGCCGACCGCCCGATTTGTCTTCTCTCGCAAGGCCTGCTGTCAGTCCCTGCTCATTATAGCTGCCGTAAGATGCTCGTCGGTGCAGTAAAAAGACTTTGGTAGCCCGCCGAGCCCGGAAGAGGCTGCGGCGGCCGAAGAATCTTCAATCGCAAGCCAATCAGACGGGAGGTTTTGACATACTCAGCACAATGCAGCGTGATGGTGGTGACCTGGATGCAACGTGATGAAAGCGGTTGGGAGCTGGGAGCGGGTGGCCAATCAGCCAATGATCAATCTGGGCGGGTCCCATAGAATGGTCCAAGGGTCAACCACCTGGCACCGGGCTCTTGTCAGCTGCCGGCAGAGACCTACAGCTGGCCTCTGTGATAATGCCCCATACTGCGCTACCTCAGCTCAAAGCGGACAGCTCCGAGATGTGCCAAGTTGATGCTGGACTGGACGAATAGCCAGTTCCAACCCGCGACAGGCCAAGTAGCCTCAACTTTGCATCGTCGACACATGCCCACATGACCCTCCGAACTGAGAACCAGTAAAAGGGTCACGTAGTGGTTGAACATGGCTCCCAAAAAGAAGCCCAGCGAGAAGACGCAGAAGACGCCCAGTCCGAAAGAAAAGGGGGTTGAGACACTGCGTCCCTCGAACCGCAATGACATGGCTGCTCTGGTCGCCACCCAGGCGCGAGAGGTCCTCACGGCTATCTTCGCCTTTCGTGTCGTCAACGCCCTCTGTGTACGCACCTTCTTCCAGCCAGACGAGTACTTCCAGGCCCTCGAGCCAGCATGGCAGATGATATTTGGAGAAAACAGCGGCGCATGGTTGACTTGGGTATGTGGTGTGCTGCATTTACTCTCGATTGTTCTAACCTGTACTCGCTATATGCTCATACATATGCTCATAACACCTTCGCTGACCATCGATAGGAATGGCGACACAAGCTTCGTTCATCGATACACCCTGCACTGTTCGCTCTGAGCTACTTTGTCGTGGATAACTTCTGGGCGTCGTATTCCGTCCCCGTGATCAAGACCCAATGGATTCTCCTTGCGCCCAAGGCCATGCAGACCGGCTTTGCTGCCTTGAGCGATTGGTATACCTGGAGACTGGCCGAGAAGCTGTTCGGTTCGAGCAGTGCTGCTGCCTGGTCTGTCGTAAGTGAACTTGACCGTCGAGTGCGTCTGCTAGCACCATGCTGATGTGGTGGCACAGCTTGTGATGACGCTGCTGAATCCCTGGCAATGGTATACGTCGACGAGGACGTTTTCAAACTGCTTCGAGACGACGCTGACAGCTATGGCCCTCTACTATTGGCCATGGGAGTTGCTTGGCGTGGAGGCCGATGAGAAAGACGATTCCACACAATCGCCACCTGCTCTGTTCCAGACATGGGGTCAGATCAACAGGTATGTCCCAATCAATACCAGTGAAGGACCTCTTGCTTGAGCTCATTTACTGACATCTCATTACTAGCTTACGGTACTCTATAGTGCTGGCTGCGTTCGCAGTGCTTCTGCGTCCGACGAATGCCCTCATCTGGCTGGCCATTGGTACGCTTGTGCTGACCCGAGCTACTCTTTCCGGGAAGTCACCACTCACTCAAAGAGTGTTCCTGATCCTCCTTAGGGAGGCCATGCTTTGCGGGTAGGTCAAGCCATTACATCCACGAATACAGTGACCTGACTTGCGCAGATCCTTCGCCTTGGGCGTGTCACTCTTAGTTGACCGTCAGTACTTCGGAAACTGGACATTCCCTCCTTTCGCATGGCTGCACTTCAACGTTGCCCAGGACCTCGCCGTCTTCTATGGACAGAATGACTGGCACTACTACCTTTCGCAGGGCATCCCTCTCCTCTGTACCACCATGACCCCCTTTGTTCTATACGGCCTCTACAAATCACTGGACGCAGAAACATCCGGATGGCCAGTCGCCACCTCAAACGCCCTGAAAGCATTGACCTTCATCGTCCTGACAACCATAGCGTCTCTATCGTTCGTGTCCCACAAGGAGGTCCGCTTCATCACACCCCTACTGCCAGCCCTCCACATACTCGCCGCACCACACATAACCTCGTTCTTCACAACCGCCACGAACGCCGCCGCCGCAACCTGCCCCCCGTCAGCCCTCGCGTGGAAGCGCAAGCCCCTGCTCGCGGCCAGTCTCCTCGTCAACATCGTCATCGGCGGCTACCTGTCATGGTTCCACGCCGCAGCCCCTATCCAGGTGATGAGCTACCTGCGCAGCGAGTTCGAGACCATCTATCCAGACCACCTGGCCCTGCGGCGCCCCGCCAACGCCACCGACGACACACTGCCCAAGGAGCTCTTCGCGCTCTTCCTGACGCCGTGCCATGCGACGCCCTGGCGCTCGCACCTCGTGTACCCGGCGCTGCGGGCGCGCGCGCTCACCTGCGAGCCGCCCGTCGGCACCGAGCCCGGGTCCGTCGAGCGCGCGTCCTACATGGATGAGACGCGCCGCTTCTACGCTGACAAGATCGGGTTCCTGAAGCAGGAGCTGTGGCCGCGCGACGCGCCCGGCGAGGACATGGCGCGGTATATCGTCGGGTTCGAGGGCCTCGAGCCGGCGCTGCGCGAGTATTTCAACTGGTCGGGTCCCGGGGGTCGACACCGCGTCGAATTAAAGGAGGTGTGGAGTGCGTGGAATGGATTGTTCACTGATGATGACAAGAAGGCGGGACGCTTGGTGGTCTGGTCGACTGGGTTTTACGACGGGGAGGAGAAGATAGAGCCGTAAGCAAAGTGTAGTATATTCGTGATATAGCTGGTATAAAAGAGAATGTAAAGTGGTTAAAACCCGAAAAATATATTTGTGGCACGGTCAGGAGTCCAACTTGAACCTCTGGTCTCTCTTTCGCCCATCCTCTTCTCCTACTCTTCTTTTCCATTACCGTCTTAGGTCACGACCTCGCGGCCCTCGCCGCCCTTCTTCCCTCAACGCTGTATGCACCACTAACCAGCGTGCCATTGTGTTTGCGACAGAAATTTTCTGTAAAGCAATACATACCACTACAACTCCTGCCCCCGTTCCCCTGCATCAAGTGCGCACAATCCTCATTGCCATTGACCGTAGTAACTACCCGCTTTAGTACGCCAACCCCTTATTCCCCCATTACACATTGGACGCAGTGTATACCACGCATACCTATCTGAGCACCTACTCCTCCTCCTCTTCCTACTCCTCCTCCTACTCCTCCTCCTACTCCTCCTCACCCGCAGCATCCGGATTCCCTACAGACTTCGCACCACACGCCAAAGCCTCCACGCCTCGCATCTCCCATGACCGCGGGTGAGAAGGAGATAGTAGCCGGGCAAGACTCGGCTGAATATTCGCGGGTGTTCGAAGTTGAGGCACGCCTGGGAGAAGTGGCCGGAGAGACAGAGTAGAAGCCGAAGATGACAAGATCATCTCAGCCCGAACAGCCATCATCGCTTCTCTTGTATACCTATCTACTAGGATGAGAGAAGAGCCTGCTCACATAACATCTCTGGTAGGTAAGCAAGCTGCCTGCTACAAACAAGAGTCCAAGCAGCCGCGCACAGTCATTGCGAGATGGTTTCTTGATAGACTTCACCGCAGTCGTGCATGACTTGCCTGTTAGGCATCATCCACAGTCTCTTCATGTGGACAGGAGGTAGCTGCTGTATACAAAGATAGCAATTCCAGACCCACGAAGCTTACAACTTTGCTTCCTAATCTATACCTTGACAAGCCCTTCCCAAAGAGCACATATACTCTATGCAAGGTACGAGTAGGAGTTTCCGTCCCGTTCAAGATATTCCTTTTCGATCAGTCTAGTAAAAGTTAGTAGGTTTTCTGCAACAATGGCTCATGCGATGTGATCATGCAATGATAATTTCGACCTCCTGGCGGGGGGTCGAATTGGCAGACTTACTTCTCGATGTTCTTCTTGATCTCCGAGGTATCGACGGCACCACGCTTCTTCGTCTGGTTGATGACCTCGGCAACGAGATTGGCATGAGTCAACGTCTTGCGGCTCTTCATGATCCTAACAATTGCAGCTTGCGTTTCGAACTGTCTGTCCTGGGCGACCTTCTTATGCGTCTCCTGGTTCTCTTCCTTGGTCTCCTTGAGTTGGATCTGGTTGATCTTGACACGGTATTTGGGATCGGCAAAAGCCTTGTTGACAGTAAACGTATCTGTGGGCTTGACATCTCTTCCCTTCGGATGCTTTGTGAGAACGCGCACTTTTCCACAGGCTAGTGACTGCAGAGTTCGATCAAGATCCGGTCCGCTGAGGCCAGAACACTCAGCAATCTGCTGGTAGGCAAGGAACCCATCTGGTTGGTCGTCAACCTGGTTGAACAGAGTCAACACGACGGCCTGGTACGCGCTGACAAGCAGCTCCTTCGGAGCCTTGTTGAAACGTGCTTTGACAACGCAGTGGGCAAGAGAATGCTTCCACGTGAGCCGTCTACCCGTATACTTGTTAACATAATACGCATCAAACTGCTCTAGCTGTGATGCGACCTCATCGGGTAGGGTTATCTGGGTATCCGGATACGTTGGCCAAGCAGCCGCAGATAGGATGTTCACGGCCAGATCCAGACTGCTCTTATCACGTCCAGTTCCCTCGCGCCAAGCTTTGTATGAGGCCATCTCGTCACGGCCAATTTGCTGATCCTTGAACATTTGCTCGAGGTTGTGGGTAAAGTTCGAGCCGCATTCGCTCTTAAGTTTTGCAAGCATGCTCCTCTCGGCATCCGCGCTCGCGCTGCGTCCCATGAGGAGTCTTCGGGCCAAGTCCTGTTTGTAGAAAGCCTCGAAGACATCTTTACCTTCAATAAACCTGAACAATTCGAGCGCCTGGTCCAGCTGACGGTCCAACTCAGCATCTTCGTCGCCTGTACTCGCTTGTCCACTCTTTTCGGCATCGACCCGGTCTTTGACGTCAGACATCAGCGACTTCGGCAGTGTCTTGAGACCACCCCGGAGGAGCATATCGATGTACTTCGCAATCATCTCGCCAACCTTGGAGGTGCCTGTCTTCCACGAAGATAGGACTTTCTTGTCGTTGATGAAGCTGTCAAAAGCCTGCCTTAGACCATGGTGAAATTCGTCGTTCTTGTTGAAGGCATCCCGAACCATGACGTCCAAGGCTCTTCTGAACTCAAGCAGTCGAACTACCATCTCGTCTCCCCTGACGGTATCGTTGACGATTTCCGAGCCTGCCCCTTTGATGTATTCTTCCCACGGCCCTTTCAGTCTCTGCTGGAGATTCGACAATCTTAGAAGATCGTAAAGTGCTTTCATGGGATCGACTGCGTTCTCATCTATGATCCTCCCAATGCTTCCGCTGTCAAGTAGCTTCTCCGAGTAATTGTCTATCAGTGTCGAATGCGCCTCATTCAACAGCTGCCGCTTTGTTGTACTGTCGAAGTTGTAGGTGTTGCAACGGTGATCTTCCCGGCTCAGGAGGGTTTCGCACGCAGCGATATACGACTTTAGAGACGCTGTGCTCTGCTCTTCGGCAAAATCCTTGAAATATGCACTAGATGATTTCAAGAAGCGCCCCTCGAAGGAATCGTTGTATGAGTTGATGATGTGCAACATTGATATGGAGTCGCGTAGCAAGGTAGCATCGAACCGACTGTCTCCTCTTCGATCGTACTCGATCAACTCCAATATGCCACCTATCGATCTCATGACCGCACTGCTGTTAGAAACGGTTGGAGGCTTGTAGGCCATTCCCCTGAACAGTGTGATGCCCATATCGTTGATTTGTTCGAGACCCCGACTGCCGAGTAGGTACGATCGATCGAGAAAACTGAATATCGAACGAATAGTTCTCTGATGAGAGGTTAGTCTGGCAGGCAAAGAAGAAAATTCGACCGCTTGAGGGGTCTGATGACGTACCAACTGGCCATTCCAGATGCCCCAGTACTTGAGGAGGCATTTCAATGCGTTTATTTTGGAGGAAGCACACTCTTCTGTGACGGACTTGTACACAGGACCAGTCAAGTACGATTGACATTCTCTCCGCAGCATGTCGTGGAGGTCATCGCCCTCTCCATGTCGACAGATATCCTCAACGCCTCTGTAAAGCTTCTCAAGTGGTTGTCGGGGCGGCTTTTGTTTGAAGATGGTATGGAGCGCGTCCACCAACTCCTTCCTCGAGTTATCGTAGTACTTTTCGAGCTCGGCTGCTCGCGAAGCGGTGCGGAGGTTCCTGATGATCAGTTTCTTTGCGCCGTGGTTCGGTTGGAACGCCGGTCGAGATTGCGTCCCGAGCACCTTACTCATCCTGGCGGCTTCTCGATCGAACGGATCGGTAAGCTTAGCACGCTTGTGGTCGGACGCGGCAGCTCCAGTTGACTTGCGCTTTGACGAAGCCAGGAAAGAGTCGGACGGTCCGTCGATGGGCGAGATGGTGGGCGGAGGCATGGACCTGGCCTCAGGAAAGGAATTCGTAGTGGGATGAGCACCTGCAGCTTCGCGGTGGTGATCCCATCCAGTGGTCCCTAGAGTAATCTCTTTAGTCCCGGTGATGACGCGAATATGATCACAGCCGCAGGCCAGCCCCTGTAACGTATAGCAGTCAGGGGTTGTAAGTATGTTGGACGAGGCGAGATGCGTGGGAAGTTGAAGAGCCGTTCGTGATCGAGAGCTCCAAGTCGGACATGTCAACATGCACTTCAATGGAGTGCCCGCAGGTGGAGGTGGTGATGCAACTGGAGAAACGGCGCGGGGGTCGATGGCGGGACGGGGCGGGGCCTAACTCCGGTGTGTACAGTGCCAGAGAGAACCTCACTTACACCGTACCTGCGGCCCAAGGGCTTGGCTCGTCGGAAGCCAAGTACAGTGCAGCTCCGAGCTCCGTCATGTCGGGCAACGATAAACCACGATAAGGGAAAGCTTGGTGAGCAGCGAGCAGCACAAGCGCATCTGGGCGGTGGGGTTACGGATGCAACGGCGGGCATCAGGCGCCTGCAGCCGGCTAGTCGGGACTGAACCCACTGGCTGGCATGGTCAGAGTTCGTGGCAACAAGCGCTATTGGAACAGGCGCGTCTCCTCACTGTCAGAGGGTGGATACCAGGTAGGTAGGTACGCAGCTGGCGCAGCTGGCGCAGCTTACAAACGCCTGGCGCTCGTGTGGAATACCATGGACCTCAGCTTACCCTCCACTAGAAAATCCCCAACGACATCATCACGTCTGCGCGTCCGTCTGCACATATTACTAATTTCGTCCCTTCTCTTCTTTCTTCCGTGACTGAAGCCCCCAATCGCGCAATCCCTTGGGACATATTATGATCTGTCGCATCACCCATTCCCGCTAACACGGTCATGCGGTTCGGCGACCAACTCCAGCAGGTCCTCCAGTCGACCGGGTCCTTCACGGGCTACCGGCCGCCCTTCGAGCTGGGCCATGGCTACCTCACTGCGACAAAGTACTTCAAACAGCCACTATGCGGTAACGAAGAGGGCTGGGGGCCCCTGAGCCCTTTTCGGTACGACTTCACGCCATGCTTCCTCGATGTGTGGGTTTGCACTGTGGCTGTCTTCGGCATCGTCTGCGGAGCTCTGGCAATATGGTACGTTCTACGAAGACACAAGCCGGCAGAGATATCCAAAGATTGGCACTTTTGGACGAAACAGGTATGAGCAAACAGCTCCTGCTGCGAATTCTCGTATATGAGGCCAAGTGATGCTAACCTGTATTTGCAGTCTCTACTCGTCCTCATTGCCGCCGATATCGCTGTCCAGCTTGCTATCCAGATTGTCAACCTCCCCGGGATATGGTTCGGCGATTTTCGATTCCTGACAACACTTCTGACGCTCCTATCGCTCGGTGTGATCTTTACGATACAATGGCTTGAACATTCCCGCATGAGGAATGCCAATGGCGTGGTTTTGTTCTATTGGCTGCTTCTATTGATCGCATATGCTGTCAAGCTTCGATCTTTGGTCTCTCAGCAGATATACGAAAAGAATATTCCGTACTTTGTGGCATACACCATTGGCTTCGGTCTCTCGACGATTGAGTTTCTCCTAGAATGGCTTTGGCCCAAGAGAGCAAGTGCATATGGAGCTCTGGTGGATGATGAAGGGGAGGAATGCCCTGTCGAATATGCGACGATTTTCTCCCGCCTCACCTTCTCATGGATGACTCCCATGATGAAGTTTGGATACAAAAAGTTCCTCGCCGAACAGGACCTATGGGGACTTGCCCCAGCCGACAAGACGTCTACCACAGGAGATCAGTTCGAAAAGGCATGGCAATACGAGTTGGAGCACAGGAAAAAGCCTTCCTTATGGATTGCCATGTTCAAATCATATGGTGGGCCTTACTCAGTTGCCACGCTCTTCAAGATCATCAACGACTTGGCGGCTTTTGCGCAGCCGCAACTGCTACGCTACCTCATCAGCTTCGTGGATTCCTACGGTAAGGGCAAAGAGCCACAACCTCCAGTCAAGGGCGCTGCTATTGCGATTGCCATGTTCGCCGTGGCCTTGTTGCAAACTAGCATGATCGTAAGTACACCGTTATGAGACCTCCCGTGGTACCTTGGTAATCATGACGTGCTGATATTTATAACCGTAAAGCACCAATACTTCCAACTGGCCTTTGTAACAGGCATGCATATCAAGTCAGGCTTGGCATCAGCCATTTACAAGAAGTCGTTGAAGCTCTCGAACGAAGGCAGAGCGACAAAAACGACGGGTGACATCGTCAACTACATGGCTGTTGATGCGCAACGTCTCCAGGACTTGACGCAGTTCGCCCAACAACTTTGGTCTGCCCCATTCCAAATCACCATCTGCATGATCTCACTGTATCAGCTTGTTGGTTGGTCTATGCTCTCTGGAGTTGGTGTGATGCTTGTCATGATTCCCATTAACGGTTTCATCGCAAAGCTCATGAAGCGTCTGCAGAAACAGCAAATGAAGAACAAGGATTCGAGGAGTCGTCTCATAGCAGAGATTGTCAACAACATGAAAAGCATCAAGCTCTATGCTTGGAGCACAGCCTTCATGAATAAGCTCAACTATGTCAGAAACGACCTCGAGCTGAAGAATCTGCGCAAGATCGGTGCCGGACAAGCCTTCGCCAACTTCACTTGGTCTACAACACCATTCCTGGTGTCGTGCTCGACTTTTGCTATTTTCGTGTGGACACACGATGTTCCACTGTCAACGGAGATAGTTTTTCCGGCACTGGCACTGTTCAACCTGCTCACTTTCCCGCTTGCTGTCTTGCCCATGGTCATCACGTCAATCATCGAAGCAAGTGTTGCCGTCGGCCGCCTGACGGAATACCTTGCCGCCGAAGAAGTACAGTCCGACGCAATTACCATCGGCCCTGCAGCCGAAGAAGTTGGAGACGAAGTGGTTGTCATCCGCAACGGAACATTCTCATGGAACCGGCACGAGCCAAAGAATGTTCTCAAAGGCATCGACTTCACTGCTCACAAAGGAGAGCTTACGTGCGTCGTGGGTAGAGTCGGTCAAGGTAAATCCTCGCTGCTACAGAGCATTCTCGGCGACCTATGGAAGGTAGAAGGAAGTGTCCAGGTTAACGGGAACGTCGCATATGTGGCTCAGCAACCATGGATCATGAATGCAACCGTAAAGGAGAACATCATTTTCGGGCATCGGTATGACTCGAATTTCTACGAAAAGACAGTCAAGGCAAGTGCGCTAGTTGATGATTTCGCACAGCTACCGGACGGCGACGAAACTGTGGTTGGCGAAAGGGGTATTTCCTTGAGTGGTGGTCAAAAGGCTCGAGTTGCTCTCGCGCGGGCTGTGTACGCCCGAGCCGACATCTACCTACTTGACGATTGCTTGTCTGCGGTCGATTCTCACGTCGGGAGGCACATCATCGAGAACGTGTTGGGGCCGAAAGGTCTACTGAGCTCCAAGTGCCGAATCCTTGCCACCAACGCTATCTCGGTTTTGACAGACGCGGATTATATCTGCCAACTTAAGGACGGTGAGATCGTTGAAAGCGGAACTTTCCGCCAGCTGATGGCAATGAAGGGAGGGATTTCGGATCTTATCAAGAGCTCCGGACAGGAGTCTGGTCCAGCATCCTCGTCTCCCAGTCCTGAAGGATCAGGAAGCGAAACGTCGAGCTACACTGAGCCGGATCGCAGCCAAGATAAAGAAGAGATGGAGGAGGCTCAAGAGGGCCTCGCCGAGCTGGCTCTCATCAGGACCGGACCGTCTTCGGGCGGGCAGAAGCGGGCGGGCAGCATGTCGACACTGAGGCGTGCCAGTGCTGCTAGCTTTAGGGGGCCCCGAGGCAAACTGACCGATGAGGAGGATCCTAGCGCCAAGACCAGACAGACCAAAGAACACTCGGAACAAGGCAAGGTCAAGTGGAATGTCTACGCCGAATATGCCAAGACCAGCAACCTCGGAGCTGTCAGTATCTACCTGTTTACCCTGGTTGCGGCCCAGACTGCCCAGATTGGCGGCAGTGTGTGGCTCAAGAACTGGGCAGAGAGGAACAGCGAGGCGGGAGGCAATCCAGAGGTTGGGAAATACCTTGGCATCTACTTCGCTTTTGGTATTGGATCCGCCGCCTTGACGGTTGTGCAGACTTTGATTCTGTGGATTTTCTGCTCCATCGAAGCCTCGAGGAAGCTACACGAAAGAATGGCAACCGCTATATTTCGGTCCCCTATGTCGTTCTTCGACACAACACCAGCCGGAAGAATCCTCAATCGATTCTCGAGCGACGTGTACAAGCTTGATGAAGTCTTGGCCAGGACATTCAATATGCTCTTCGTGAACTTTGCACGCTCCGCTTTCACACTGGTTGTTATCTCAGTCGGCACTCCAATTTTCGTCGCTTTAATTGTCCCATTGAGTGCAGTGTATTATTGGGTCCAGCGATACTACCTTCGGACGTCACGAGAACTCAAACGATTGGACAGCGTCAGCCGCAGTCCAATCTATGCTCATTTCCAGGAGTCATTGGGCGGTATCAGCACCATTCGGGCATACCGGCAGCAGGAGAGGTTTGAGCTCGAAAACGAGTGGCGTGTTGATTCGAACCTGAGGGCTTACTTCCCATCCATCAGCGCCAATAGATGGTTGGCTATCCGTCTAGAGTTTCTTGGGGCCGTCATCATCCTCGGAGCTGCAGGATTCGCCATCATCTCAGTTACGAACCACAGTGGTTTGAGTGCCGGCATGGTGGGATTGGCCATGTCATACGCTCTACAGATCACGACATCACTCAACTGGATTGTTCGCCAGACCGTCGAGGTGGAGACAAACATCGTATCCGTGGAACGAGTGCTGGAGTATGCTCGCTTGCCAAGTGAAGCTCCTGAAATCATTCACCGACACAGACCCCCGGTTGCCTGGCCCGCGAACGGTGCGGTACAGTTCCACAACTACAGCACCCGCTACCGCGCTGGCTTGGATCTGGTTCTGAAAAACATCAACCTGGACATTAAATCGCATGAGAAGATTGGTGTGGTCGGGCGGACCGGGGCGGGGAAATCCTCCCTGACGTTGGCCCTGTTTCGCTTGATAGAGCCTGATACCGGAGACATCAGTATCGACAATCTGAACACCTCCACAATTGGGTTGCTGGATTTGCGAAGGCGCCTCGCTATAATCCCTCAGGACGCGGCTCTTTTCGAAGGCACAGTTCGGGATAATCTGGATCCCGGCCATGTCCACGATGACACAGAGCTATGGAGTGTGCTAGGTAAGCGTTACACACGTCCCACCCTCCTTCACTACACTGCAAGACGGAAAGGGCACATGCTCTTGCGTAACTCTTTCCAGACCACTCGCCACCCCCCTTCTTAACCCAGGCTAATCCAATTGCGCACGCAGACCACGCGAGACTGAAGGAGCATGTGTCAAACATGGACGGTGGCCTTGAGGCTAGGATCAACGAAGGAGGTAAGTCGAATATTTCCGCTTTGTCTCGGCTTACTATGTTCTTCTGGTCATCGTTATCGTCATCGTCATCGTATCTTCGGGTACCCGCAAGATCGTGTTATGGTACACAGCAGCGAGCGAGTCCAATTTCAGCATGTCAAATTTTCATCGTCGACTTGTGCCCCTGCTCTCCCAGTTTGCCTCTCCAATCTACACGTATACTCTACGTCGTCATTGGCACACGCATCTCAACGAAAATGCAGCCGCAGATCAACTTGAATACCTATTATCGATCTATTGATTGTGTTTACATATCAGCTAACACATTGTTCTTCCCAGGATCCAACCTTTCTTCAGGTCAACGCCAATTGATCTCCCTAGCTCGTGCTATGCTTACACCATCCAACATCCTAGTCCTGGATGAGGCGACTGCAGCCGTGGACGTGGAGACAGACGCCATGCTGCAGACCACGCTGCGGTCCGACCTGTTCTCACACCGCACCATCATCACTGTTGCTCACCGTATCAACACCATCCTTGACAGTGATAGAGTAGTGGTCCTCGACAAGGGCGAAGTGGTCGAATTCGACACACCTCAGGCACTTCTCAAGAAAAAGGGCGTGTTCTACGGCTTAGTCAAGCAGGCTGGTCTCGACACGGAGTAGGTCGACTGTGGACCTGACCTGTCCGAGGTCCCAGGTCAGTCAAAACGCGCTGGAAAGATGAAGGCTGTATTAGACGGAGCAACGGAGTGCGGAGTTCTCTGAAAAAAGTGGCTTGTTTTGTTTCGAGTAGCCATCTGTGGCCTGTACAAAGCGCATTTTCCCGCACGTTGATAGAAGTAATAAATAGCACAGCGAAAACTGGAGGTTGACAAAGACCCAGTGCACTACTCACCGTCGATGATCCAACTAGAGCATACTCTACATACATATCTTTCTCTTGAGTAGCGAGTACTAGGTTGATACCTGCAACAAGCAATGTCGGCTGGGTAACACGGCGCCCCAGCTCGGTAAGTCATGCCTCAGCTACAATTTACTCCGTGTGCGCCATGGCGGCTGGCTCGTCCGAGTCGGATCTGAAAGCAGGGTGTGTCTACCTACCTGGGCTCGATCGATTACATATGTCGGCGCATGATGCATTCATGGGCCTTGGTACTTACATGGCGTGGTAGGAAGAAAAAAATCCGGTCGATCCATGGAGAGAGAGAAGAAACGTAGGTAGGTACGTCAACGTGCTACACTGACCCTCCAAAAGTCTCCGAGCATCCACCACGCTAGTTTCAAAACGCGTCTACGCGCTCGCGACCCCCTTCCTTCTTCACCTTTTATTTACTCAACACCAAAACAATAGATTTACAAAAGGTTGATACAATTCTGACCGCAAATCGCGGGTCAAACCAGGAATTTACTTTCGAAATTCGTGCAGCTATTGTGGCTGCCAGGGCGGCAGGCGCAAGGCGCGACGATGTCGCGAGCGCGTTCCATCTGGATTGGCCTCAAACCGTGACCGACATTATCAACACTACTAGAGAGCATAACACCATGGTCTCTCGACCTCGAGAGGGAGCCACAAGGCCTCTAAACAAGCACGAAGAAGCTCAGCTAATTAAAATAGCACGAAAGTACCCCAGGGCCACCTACAGAGAGCTCAAGAAGGAGAGCAGGGTCCTCAGCTCCTATACCACTATCAAGCGCGTTCTTCGCACTCACGGGCTTCGCAAGTAGAAGGCGGCGAAGCGGATCAAGCTTCCGGAAGATGACGCACGAGAGAGGCTCGCTTTTTGCAATAAATACGACTCCCCGGAGGCTCTGGAGGAGCTGATGCGAACGCTCTTCTCAGACAAAGTCATGGTCCAGAATTCATCCGATAATCCGGGCGATTGGGTCATCCGCCTCTCTTCTGAACGTTACAGGCAGGATCTCGTGAACCCTCGGAGCCATGAGAGACCCCGTATCTCCATTATGTGTTGGGCCTTGATCTGGTTACGCGGCGGAGAAGGTGGTCTAGGCAAAATCATCTTCTGCGAGCCCGATGAGGATGCTCCTCGCGGAGGAGTATCTTCAGCTTCATATCAAGACGTCCTTGAGAAAGGGCTCCTTCTGTTCTACGAGGCTGGGGATCCTTTTATGCAAGATAACGCTCGCATCCATCGATTTGGAGGCACTCCAGAGTGGCTAGAGGAGCACGGCATCTGAACGATCGACTGGCCTGCTCACAGCCCTGATTTGAACCCGATCGAGCACGTTTGGGCACTTCTAAAGAAACAGATACAGAGAATCGAGCCTGGTTTCGCTGATTTGAAGGCTAATATTGCCCACGAGGCATATGCCAGACAGTTAATCGAAAGGCCGTGGTCAGAGATCGATCCTGAGGATGTACGCGTTCTCGTCGAATCTCTCGGCAACCGAATCGCCGCAGTGAAAAGGGCAGGTGGTTGGTACACACACTATTGAATGGCTTATACAATGTAGTTTTTTTCATATTATTACAGTGAGAGATGGGTGCGTGGTGAATGCTGAAAGTTGGAGGGTGTAGGCGTGTAGGGCTGCTCGAAAAGTGGGCTCGAAGACTTCTGGTCGGGGAGTGTACTACGGTACTGCTGCAGTGTTTTGTTCCATGTTCACCAGAGCTCGGCTCGACTCGACTCTAGTATGGCGAGTTACGGGTGGCAGTGAGTGAGTGGTGTCTACTTGGACAGCATGTCTACTTGGGACAGCATGTCTACTTGGGACAGCATGTCTACTTGGACAGCATGTCGCATGAGATGGGCGTTTGGGATGAGGTTGTCAAGGGGTACGTAGCTGCGTCAGTTGAGGCTCAGTTGGGGTTGTTGTCGGCTGTCACATAACCATCGCACACAAGATCTGGCGTTCGCGCCGACGCCGTCGCTGGCGCCCGGGATCGAAACTATTGATGCTACTGCTACGAGCTATATACGGGTGTGTTGCATATGTACAGTGCTGTGGAGAGAGCGGCGGCGCCTTTCTTGTGTGTGCATGTTGGGGCTTGTGGTTCGTCGCTTGCATGCCGTGTGTATTGTCCTTGAGATGTTCGTGTATACGTGCTTCAGGTATGTAGGTATTGATTTGTATCACCTACGCCTTCAGATGTGGGAAGGCAGACAGCTAGCTAGCTCGGTTCAAGATAGACACGAGCAAGAACAACCCGTCGTGCTACGCTAACGCTGTGTTTCGGTCGCGCAGAGAAGTGTCGATGCCTTGTCCTGGCCCTCGACCTTGTGTTGGATGCATAAGCTTCCTCCTGGTGCGTTGTCAAGTGTCTCTCTCACACGAAGCCTCGGGCTTTCGGCCTGCGTTGCGCTACACACTTCGGAGCAGCAACATGGGCGGAGGTTCTGTATGGGACATGCGTGTCTAAGAAGGCTCCAGGCGGTCTGTCTAGCCACGTTGCGCTATGGCTATGATTGTGTGCAGGTAGCGTGTGTGGTGTGCGGATGTGACTGTGCGCCATGCTGCCTTTAGTGCAACATGGTTGGCTGGCCCGGTTCGAATTTGTGCCTTTTTTTGGCCCGTCTTACTACATATACATGGACGATTGACGGACGCCACGACGTGGTTCGGAATGCGGGGACGAATGAGAGTCTTGGAGGTTGATTAGTATTGGGAATGATGGCGATGGGCAGCGGGCTGCTGACGACGGGTGAGACTCTCCGTCGCTATGAAGAGGAAGAGCCCAATACGCCCCCGAGGTGGTCGACAGAGCACGAGTCTTACATGCCACAGCGTCTTTGGGCGATCGCTAAGAGCCGCGATCACCCGTCTCTAGTTCAGCCCGTCATACCCTCAAACGGTGTATTCACATGAGAGAATGCGAGTCATCGTGGGAGCTGCTGTCACACGGCCCCTCGGATAAACCTGCGTTTCGACTCGTGGCCTGGCGAGAAGGGTTGGGCGGTGGCGTCCCATTCGTATCGCATATTGTTGCCTTCTCCTGATTACCCAGGCATCGCAGCAGGTCTGGCTCCGCCGAGAGGTTGCTGAATGCAACCGCGCCGGCATCCATCTAAGACAGTCGATTATGCAGGCAGAATCGAAAACGGACCAAGCGCGAGGCGTCGTCGGTAGACTCATGCAGCTGTCATGCTGTGTAATGTCAAGCAGCGAGAGAGTGAGGGGGTTCGGACGTCAATGGACGGCGGTGCTCCAATGCCCCCATTGGGAATTGTTGGGAGCTTGTAGGCAGCAGGGCACGACAGGTACTCGCCCATTGCCTAGCTGTCCCAGAGTGGAAAAACCCCCCTGAGCCATCATGAACATCAAGCAACTGGCAGAAGGATCTTCTTCGGGTGATGACCGCTCAACGATCCTGGCAGCTTGCCGCGTGGTTCCGAGCTTGACAGCAACGCCCACCAGGGAATTGCCCCTGCTGATCTGGGATCGACGGATCTGCTTTGACTTGTGATACTGTGTAGTGAAAGGTGTCGGAACAAGGCTCCTAAGACCATGACTGGCCCGGTCTCCCCAATCGCCATAGGCTGGCTCTCACCATATTGTGGTAGCGTGACAGGGGACATAAAATGCAGGTATCTGTGAGGTATCGGGATCGTAAATGTGATTACCCCTGTGATATCCGGGTGCTTGGTACGACTGCAGTAGAGACGTCGGAGATATTTCCCTATCTTCGGTCCATCGTGGACATGTGTGACTGGATTAGCGTTTTATGGCCAGGGTGTGCTTAAAGGACGCCCAGGGTAGGGAGGGGGTTACAACATTCGCATTGGTGCTTTTCTGGCATCGCTTGCCTGATGAGAACCTCAGAGCTTAATGAGGCCGGGTGCATTACGCTGACGCCCAGTTAGTCACCGTACAACAGTGGTTGCTGTGTGGCCATGTCCGCTTATCCAGGTGTGATGGTCCATGGGTCGCTGTTGGTTACGACTTCACCAACGCCAAGTCGGCTTAGCTCCGAGGTATATTCTGGTCAGTTAAGGGGGTGGATTCCGACGAATGAGAGCCTCCAGCTGTCAATAAAGATGAGAGTCTTGCCCAAACGACGGGGATCTCTAACCGCTTTGGTACCCCGAGTTGGACACCATGGCCACTGACAGACGCAGTTCACCCTGTTGCGCTGGTTGGGGTTCTCAGGCTGCGATTCGTACAGCGGCGCTTCCTCATCTGGTGCATGTACACATACCGTTCGGGACCGAGTGGTAGATGCTGAGAAGTCACTCACCATATTGTATCACGAGACGCTCGACATATGCCGCAGGGGTCCCATGAGAACCATAACACACGTCAATATGGACCCGAACGGCGCAGCCAGCTTGACTGTTGAAAGGAAGAAGGCGTTTCCATCGCTGCTATATGTAGGTAGTAGACGGACTTGGCTCCCGCCCTCGAGGGAAACCGGTTGCGTGGGGGCGCCGAGTCGCACGGTAGATCATCGCGGACGAGGACCTCATGGCGTGGCCGTACCTTGTAGAGCGCGTATGAAGTAATGCTACTTGGAATTACATCCGTGGTGGACTAGAGCAAGTCGCTAGGTCGGGAAGAGACGAGGGCAGCTCCAGTAACATGGTGATGGGCTCTACGCAGGGGCAAAGGCAAAGGCACATCTCCAGCCACCGTGCCTTGCTTAGAGAGGGTAGACCCGACAACTTAGTAGCAGCAACCAACAACAGCTTGCTGAGCGTGTAGGCGGCACCACCGAGTCCAATCCTGGTAAGTGAGACCAGATGACAACCATTCAAGAGCAAGGCGCCTATGACATGGCCAGAATATTGGATGCTGTGGTATCGACCACGAGGGAGGAACTGCCTTTTTCGAGAGGCGTTGCGCATCTCCTGCGGTGGTGGAATCTCGAATCCCACCCATGATATGACCTTCGGCTCAGGAGGCGAAGGTCTAGCGGGCCGAACGACGGGCATCGGGAGAGCATGGTTCAGACCTTTGTGACTCTGGTTCACCAATCTGCCAGGACGGGGGACCCCGGTCTTCAGCTGCGGCGTGGGGGTCAAGAGTGGCTCGAGATATTCCAGACTTGGGAAGGGCCGGGACATCTCATACGGACACGGCTGGTTCCGACTTGCCCTCCCGCCTTTCAACGTTGTCGTGGACAAGGAGAATCACTCCTGGTGCAGTGATAGTGATGCCCGTGCATCTCGTTGCTTTTCTCTCCTTCCTTCCAGTCGAGTGACTCGAGTCCAGTCGACCTCCGAACAGCCCCAGGCTTGGCGTAGAAGCCTTCCGCATGGTCAAGGGTTTGGGGTAACATCGTGACCAGTAGATGGCGGGGTTATTGACTCAAGACTCCAATCTGGAGGTGCAAGTGAAGCCGGTGCTGTCAGTGTCACAGTGCTGACAGCTCTTGGCAATATTCGCGCTTCAGAATACTCCATCTAATAAGGTAAGTCAATGTTGCCCCTGGATCGGTCTTCTTGCTGGTGCTAGATATGTAGGTAAGATGAAGAAGACGTCCATGTGTGGAATACATACCCAGTGTCCGCGGCGGCTAATAACGGCATGCTTATTAGATAGGTAACTTACTGGGCAGGAGTGCGATCAGTGATCAGCAAGCCACCGCGATTGCATACATGCTTACTCGCATGGTCAAGTAGGCACCTGATAGTTATCACCACTCTCGTTGGCGGTCAACATTGCAGACTGATGACGCACGTACAGGGAGACAGGGTGCCAGCCGTTGGCAGCTTGTCCGATTCATGCGGGACGTCAGTATCATAGCATCGCCCTGCAGCACATCTCCAATCCAAGCAGTGAGCACCTCCAACAAGGGCTCCCTTGCTGATCAGTAATGTATACTGTATCTTGCCCTCGTGCTGCTGGTAGCTCCACGCGCCACGGGTCGCCACGCTCTTGTATCCGCTGAGCTAGACTAGATGTCGAGCACCCGTGGGCCTGGCCCATGAAAATGCGCCCATCGTGGTATCGTGCAGTATCTGTCGGAGTTGGAGATAGAGTTGGAGATGGAGATGGAGATGGGAACAAACGGGGTTTATGACATGTTACCAGCGATCGTCGTTGGGAATCTCGTAGTTCCGGATCAGTCCAATTGCCCGCTGGCGCTAATGGAATGTGCCGAACTATACCCAACTCAGACGGATTAGTATTGGTTCGTTTCCGAGGTCGACAGCTGGAGCAGCTTGCAGGTATCCTACTTTAGGTACGGTACCTACACTGAGCTTCGCTACCGTATGGGCATCTAGTTATACGTGAAGTACGTACATAGTAGTCAACTGTGCGGCTAACTACATGTATTAGCAAGGGCTGTTGCTAGTCCTGGCATGACATTGTATACTTTAGGTTAACTTTGAAAGCAACAAATCATCCACATTGACCCTATTCTAACCACACTCGGGACTCGTTTCCAAGACCAACATGAACATTGACGGGAAGGCCTGCAGACCACGGCCCACAAACCACAGCCCACCTGAACCCGCTGTGCATTTTGGCATCCCACCGCTATACCACCAAGGCTCAAGCCCACTAAAAGCAGCCCCTGAGATACTTTGGGAGGGTCCTGTCACCCCCTTGTCACTACCGGGGTGAACTCTCACACACAGAACACATCATGGACATTGTGTTTTTTCTTTCTTTTGCGGCTTTCTGCACCAGATTACTGTTCGCTTCCACTTCTCATTGGTGTCAAAGTCGCTCCCTACATCGCACGTAGGCCCAGTTGGTCGCAGTGGTCGAGGCGACCCCAGCGGTGGCGCCAGCAGTTAGGTACTCTTATCCAAATCGCCAGCGAGAGGAACTCCGTACACGGCCCGGTGTAGTTCGTGATGGCTTCACCCCATTGGCACCCAACACAGGTAGGATTGCCGCCAGATCACTTCTCGTCAACGGCAGTCTCGGAGCATGTGTACGAAGTACAGCACTACCTATATGCCTATGCCTTACCGACGTACCTACCACCAGTGCCCTTCCCCACTGTGCATCGGAATATGCATCCAGGTCAGTTGGGGATTTATCCATGCACACGGCCGCTACCACCTCGGCTTTTGGGTATTTGCGAATGCTGTGGAGCGAAAGTTTCTCATCTATCTTCCTCTCTGCCTCATGTCATTTGGTCATACCCCTCCCATACGGTAGTCCGCGCCCCTTGATTGCTGCCATGCAGACTGCGGTCCATGATCCATCTCCAAGCTGCATTCGAACACCACCGCATGCTCGAATCGACTGATCGGGGACGTCTTGACTCTTCACACCCTGAGCTTATCATAGAAACGAGGGACAGGGGTCGCCAGCTCTCTGCCTAATCCTTGCCCGCCCATCGACTAGTATTCGACAACCACACTGTGTCTTCTCCATAGACCTTACCTCTTTCTATCTGCAGACTGCAAGATCCGTTCCTTTTTTCCATGTCCGTGCTGGATTATTAACGGGAGCCACGGTGGTTTCGTGATCGAAGGGGACCATCATCTTGCAACGTCATGTTTTCGCTGCTGGGTCGTTAATTCTCTTACGAATGTCCAAACCCGCTGAGAGCTCCGTCACACACTATACTTATCCGACTTCCTCCCACCACTGCTTCGTTTGTCCTTACTCCACGGGGACCACGAGTTTGTACATGCTACTCATCTATCACCGTGTTGGGGTCCCTCAGCTTCAACTAGTGAGGACTGTGACATTGGCCATCGGCCAGCCGCCCACTCTCATACTTCAGCTGCAACACGCATGACTCTTAATAGTTTCAAGGTGTCGTCGTTGATGTCGGATTGACATTACCATACTGAGCGTCGCCCGCGAGAGAGAGAGAGAGAGAGAGCTAGAAACTGGTCAATATCAGGGAACCGACACACTCTCTCTACATACTGCCGTTGCAGCTGCTACTGCGTCATCTACCTCAACGTGCCCGGCCTGCCAAGGAGACCAGGACGAGGCTCCTCAACCAAGTGCAAGGACTACTATCCAATGTCTCACGACTGTGCAAAAGTGGAAAAGGACGTTCACTGTGCCTGCGTGTGCAACCTTCACTGCTAGTCAATGATCTCGCTTGAGCCCACAACGAGGCTCCTCAGCAATCTAATCTGCACACACGCCTATTAGGCTCTGACGACTATCATATTGGCGTTCTTTGTTGTTCTGGCGATACCCATGCCCAGCTCGGTCTAGTTCACAGGTGTGTGCCCATCTGTATGTCATTCTCCTCCCACAGCTTGATATCCTATCCGCTTCGACCAGCCTCCTAATCAAGCACGCTCCCGCAGACGTGCTTGAACAAAGAAAGACTGTCTCGTCTGAAGACACCCAGCTTTCGATACTCATTTTGCCTTCCCGTCCGGTTCTCCACCTCGATCGCTACCGCGTTCCCGAAAGCTCGTTTGAACCAGTCAATACGAAGGAGTCTTCCCAAGGCCATCCTACACCTTTCCACCTAGGCCCACCCCGCGCACATATATTGGGACTCAACGCACCACCTTCGTCTCAGCTGCCACAGCGTACAACACCCATGCAAATTCTCCTGTGCCTAACCCGGACTCTCTTGCGCAACCTCAAGCTGCACCTTCCATCACTGCCCTCCCAAGTCAGCATCATTACTGTACGATCCAGTCTTGTCTCACACCACCTAGCTGTGAGACACGTCAGTACAGAACATAGTCGCTGCAGATCCCGGTCCCAGGTAAGCCGCCAGAGCCATGAGCCTCCGAGCCTACCCATGCACATGTTGAACTGACAAGTCATCAGGAAGGAGGTCCACAAGCCTTTGGGCCAACTACATTCTTATCTTGGCTCCCTGAAGACCCAGCACATACACAATCACCACGTCTGCTTCAATACTTCCACTAACACCACTCGTCACGCTCACACTTGCGACTATGGGCAACGGAGCCAGAAACACTCCCACCCGACAAGAATACTGGAATCCGAGCAGCATGCAGATACGATTAGGAGAGGTTGGGCCTCTTCGAGATCCACCAAAGGTAAGAGATCTTATGTTTAACCTACACACTGATGCTGAAATTGTGGTAGCCAATCGACGTGGCCCTCCGTGAGGATTGTCGGATCCGGGGACGGCAATACTTCGTTATAGCAGTTCAGGACGATAATACGCCTTTGATCTATTCGGCTCCTCCTCAATCGGGAACGGTCGCTTTCGAGAAGTTCGTAAACATTGAGGGATTGATGCAAGAAGTGTCTCTGCATTCCCAATCAGGTATGCCATACGACCTCACTCAGACCTGATGACTATCCCAATGAGAGCATACTGATCATTCCAATTTAGCTTCGAACCCCCCGTATGCTGGACATGACTATGGTTTCGATTCGGAGGGCCGCTACTCCGCTGACACCGCCAAACGACGGGGGCAGGCTCGACGATATGAGCAGTCATTTAGGCTGAATGACCTCGAGGATGATGAGCGTTATCCGACAAGGAAGCGGCCACGGGCATCAGCGGTGCGACACGCTACCGACAACCTCATTGGACTACCCCCTACTCCTGTCAATCCCAAAAGACCCATCGTTATCAGTAACGAGGAGGAGCTCCGCGCCTTCTACGATCTGCGCTTCAAAAATTGCCAGCAGAACGCATGCAAGCTGATAGCCAAAGCGTGGGTAAAGGCCGTGGAACCGAAGAAACAGTCTACGCACCCCTACACGGGCGCAGATGAGAAGGCCCCCGGTTGGTGGCCGAAGCCTTGGGGACTAAACAGCACTGAGAAGGTGAGACACAAAGAGCCAGATCATCTTCTCAAATATGGTAAGCTGAGTGTATCGTTGCCTCTGGAGTGTCACTACTGACGCAACATTTCAGAGAGAGTGAACCTTCTCAACCACATTCTCGGGTTGATCATAGAACCCAGCGACCAGCAGCATCCGGACATCCGGAATTTGCGCCTCAATGTCAGCAAGCTGGAGGAAATCACGATGGAGGCGCTGTCCACCTTCTTCGGAGACAAGGATCATCCAAGCAACCTGGCGAAGAGGCCGTTCTTGAAGGAGATCTTCAAGGTAGCGAAGACCCAGGAGCGATTCAAGAACAAGGAGATAGGTGCGCGATCACTATATCGAACTACAGTTGAACATGTACTGATATTTCTTCAGACAAAACCACCGTAATCCATGTCTCATCCGATGACCGGCTAGCCCAAGGTTACGCGTCAGACACCGAGGACACCGAAACCCTGAATGACGAGACGGACCAGGACCCGATGCCAATATCCGTATCCTCCAGCACATCGCCTCAGAGGGCCCTTACGTTGATGTCCGAGACTCATGCCGACCAGAGCCCACCTACTCAGCTACAGGACGACAACGACTCCAAGTACACTCATCTGACGTCTGGCTCAGGACAGGCGTCAGAGCAGGCAGGCTTCATGGGAGGGTCTGGCATGACTGGCCAAGGCCTTCCGCAATTTAACAGCCCTCTGCCAATTTCAGAGGTGCACTACGGTGGTCCCGATTCCAACAGGAGAGCCGGCTCGTACGCCTCTGCTGAATACACCAGCCCGCCAACAGCAAATGTGTTCTCGCAGCATTGGCCGGCATCTGGTAATTCGCAAGTCTATCCATACCAGCCACAAGCAGGTGGCAGCTATCACTCCTTCATCGGACACAATGGCCTTCCGCTGCCTCACGTGCCTCAGAATGAACCATTCAATGCGGCACAGTTCGCCGATGGCCTGGTCGGAGAAGCCCATCATGGAAACCACGGGTACCTACCCCGGAATGATCCAATTGACCGGAGCCCTCTTCATCCGTCACCGGACTACCGGTACATGCACCAGGGAGGCGATGAATGAGGGGTGGCCTGGTGACCGGCTTCATTAGGGAACCAAACCCGCGCCTCGCTCGACTCCTTGGCGAACGCGGCTCCGAATTGACCTCCCCTAACATACGATACCGAACTCGTATTGCTCTTCTCTGTTTCAGCGCCTTTCGGGGGACACCGAGACTCAACCATCACGCTCATAAGTCCGGCTAAACCGTCGGCCTTGCACTCATTTCATGCAACCGACTTCCCCGGTCTCGGGTCCACTCCTCTTCAAAAGCCCGGTGTTGGCGGGCTTCTATAGTCCCGCAACCTCTAACTGACGACAGAGGATCCATACCAATTTTCGATGGAGAGGTAGTCTGTCTTCCAATATTTCTTCATTTTTCTCGAGGCAACTCCACGTTTTAGCGTGCATTTCATTTTTACAAGACCTCTCATCAAGCCATCAGTGGCAGTCGGCAATTTGAACTTTACTTCACGAAGCGAAATGACAGAACGGCGAAAATCACGGCGGGCATGGAAGACTCCCAAATGGACTGGACGGGACGGTGGCTGAATGCTTCTCAATTCCGATACCAATACATGCAGGTTCAGCCCCTGCCGTTGCATATACCTGGCGGCACAATGTCTTTGCATCAAAATCCAAGCGATACCGGGATGGCTCTTTGACCTTTATTACGACTGATGGGACCTTGTTGGGCCTATTAGGGCTCCATTGCACGGCGAGGTAACCCCGGCGAGGGTGTGGGATGGTGGTGGTCTGTTTTTTTCTACATCGCGAAACCCCTGAAGATCTCCTTATCATGTCATCACAATGATGTCTATTCATTTCACCTGTCTTTCTCTCCGTTGCCGATAGATGGTACTCATCTGCACGCTCCGACATTGCGATGTCTCTCTTGGATGTGGAGCAAATAGGGGCAGGGGTCGCGAGGAGGGGCCTCACTGGGCGAGAACAAAGAGAATGCCAATATACGCTTGCCCAGAATTTGTTTCAGGACGTTTGGTCTGGTCAAAGGATGTCGGTTATGGCGTGTGAGCAGCAGATAGGGTCAGAGTGCTACACAACCACTGGGGCGGAGGAGCTATGGTCACATGAGACGTCATACCATCTCTCGCCAGGACTTAATTGATTACGAGTGCGCAGCAGGATACTTCTGTCTACATCTTGGGCACCGTGAAGTAGATGGTATCGCCGAATGAGCATGTGCATATGGTAGTCCAGATCAACGAGTTCACGATGTTGATAGTGGTCAGTCGCATACCGAGGCAGTTTGGCATGCACCTGTTCACGAGATAGCTGTACGCCGGCATGCAAGCAAACTCACGAAATTGGAGACAGGTACTTGCATCAAGAGATGCGAGCGAGCCTTCACGACCTACCGCATTCGGTGCCGCTCACCGCAGGTTCCCAAGAAATCCAACGCTCGTCCGAAACGCGTGGCGTGGTCCGCCTGCTTCCCCACGATCAGATGGATGGATGGGGTAGATCGATCCGCGAGATCTTGGGTCAGACAGCAGGGACAGGTACGGTAGTTACTGTACCAGTGACAAATGTGTGAGACGTGACAGGACACAGACACAGGACCAGGTACCCGGGCGGGGCCCCTTTCTTTAACGGTTCCTCTCAGATTGCACATGCCCCCTCATGAGTACCGCCGTCGTCCTCCTCTTTTCCCGGGAAGGATACCCCCCACAGCACGTAATCACTAATCACGGGCCGCATGATGAGTGTCACGCGAGGCAGAAGCAAGCTTATGTGGATACTCACGATGCCTGCTTGTCTGCAGCTGCGCCGCAACGACGCGCTGGTCTGTCTGCCAAGGATACCCACGCAGACAGACAGACAGACAGACAGACAGACGCAAGAGCCAAAAGTAGGGCTGGGTCTCTGCCGGCCGCTGGGAATAATTCCATCTCGGACTGGGTTACTACCGAGGAAGATCAGATCCAAAGAGACTAACTTATTTGGCAGGGCTACCTGGCAGGCAGTAGGCAGGGCAGGCCTGATAAGAACGGCGTCTACGATAGGAAATGCATACGACTGATCATATGTCAGATTCTGCGATGAAAAATCGCAGGAGGAGGATTGATGGGATTTTCTTCATCGGGTCCTCCCCCTCCCCCACTTCTGTGCATGGCGAGTTCCATACCTCATTTGGACTCCAGACAGATGCCTCCCAGGCCCGCAGTTCTCTCGGTGCTTGATGCTTGATGCCTGATGCCTGATGCTTCTACAGACGCAACTCAACCGCACTGCGAGGCCGCCACGAGGGGATTGTGACTCTGTGAGACCATCAGCGTGAGACGCACTCCACAGATCAGCGGAGATCTAATATCTATCTAGATCGGGAGCAGATCCCGGGGTCTCGATCGCCCCCCATTTTGCCCCCACAATCCTTTTCCTGCGGCCCTACTTGGAGAACCTGTCATGGTACGACGATGTCCAGGACCCCAGCCACGCGCAGCAATCAGGCCATGATGATCTTCCCGCTGGCAGGCAGGGGACAGGCCTGCCGGCACGGTCTCGATGAGGGGTTTCCGGATTCTGCCTTGGCCGCTTGGGCTGCTGTCGTGGTGTTTTTTGCTTATTCCTGGAGGACGTGCAAGCCGCAGTGACGATGCGACTTCTTTTCGCAGTGCAGGGTCGAATATGGTCAGACGCGTCTCAGGTGGTCTGAGAACCCCCATCGCTTTGACCTGGCAAAGTGGAAAACCCATTCAGCTAGGATAACATAGGTACCTAGGCAGACCCTGAGAAGAAGCCCCCTGATCCCAGTGCGGAAGTAAAGTACCTAGATATCGTGACTCCCCGATGTTAGCACTTGATACGCTCTTCGCTCACGCGCCCCGGTGTTTCGACGAGGCACACGCGCACGCACGAACTGGCTGACGGGGCATCCACCGGCCATCGTTACGCATCGGCAGGCCGCATCAGTCCGACCTCTACCTTCTCCATTCCATCTCATCCCTCCCCTCCACCCACGTTCTCATGTCCTCGACCGAGGCAGGTATACCCCGGCGTAGCACCGCACAGTGGAGTCCGCGCGGCAATCCGCACACCCCCCATGCAGCCGGCTGCCTCCCCCGGCGGCAGAGGCAGCGGTCTGGCAGCGGGTAATCCCCTTGGTGATCACTGATGAACGGTGGATGGCATATTGGCGTGGGGCGCAGGGGGGATATTGCCGTCGTCGCACCGCAGCAGCGGAGGGTAGCTACAGTTGCGTGGTGTGGGGGCGGGCCCCTTTTCCTTTGCAGACGGTGTCTCTCTTTTTTGTTCTGCAGACCCTGTTCCGGGTACCCGGTTCTCAGATTCCGGTTACCTCAGATGAGATGGACGGAAGGTTGTTTGCTTGCCGTTCATATGGGTGGCTGGCTAACTGGCGCGGGTTCACGCATAGACCGCGCTTGGCTCGGAATGCGGGATTTCGGTTTCTTTGTCGTCGTGTATTGGGTTTCTCCAGCGCTTCGGCAGCCGATGTGGCAGGCAGGCAGGCGCTGGGATGGGCCTGCCGCCTGCATGCCTTTCTTTGTTCATGTCGTTTGGATGAAGCAAGATGAGCCACTCTCATCGAAAGACCTCCGCCATAGCCACTCTACCACTACGCAGGCGCGGCGGACACAAACGGGACAGGGGTAGAAGAGCCAGCCAGCTGTTGCGCTTTCCGTCTGTTGATAAAACCTCCTGCCCTTGCTCAGCGACGGCATGACCGGAATTGCCGCGAGCTCCCGGAGCCTGGGAGCACCCTTGGACGCATGATCCCGGACCGTTTGACGTTGACTTGAGGCAAACTGCCGTCGGGCGGGCCAGGCGTGCAGCATCCCCGGCTGCAGGACCAACTGTCCTGTCCATTCTCGACCATGATGAGAAAAAGAATAAAGCAAACATCAGATTCGACTATGCGAGGCGGTTATCCACCTCGAAGGGGTTGCATACATACCTGTTACAGTGTTACTGTTGCCATTTGGGGTAGCTCGGTCGGTAGGTCGGTATGTAGGTTTGATATACCGCTGCTCTTCACGTGTAACGCGCGCAGAGTTACGATTAGGTTCTGATGAAGTCATGCCATCGTGGGAGGGATGATGTGTGGCACGGTGACACGGCGCGAGGATCACACGCCACACACAGGCTGCAGTACCGGGCGGCCTGCATGCCTCCCGGTAAACACCCTGGTAAGTCGCCGATTGCCAATACCACACCTGTTATAAGGGCATGGGTTCGGACTTCACGTCTGTCGCGAGGCTCCTTCACGACGTTGCTTGACACCGCGCCATGAGATCTTGCTTGGCCAATCATGGATGGGGTTCTCGGTGTTTGTCAGAGCTGCGTGAGATTTCTGTGCAAGGCGCGCGGTTTCCGCGACTGTACCTAGCTGTCTCGTAGGCGGTGGTGGTTCGTCGTTGGTCAGCCTTGCATCATCACCATCGAAGCTCGTCGACGAGGCTGCGGACACAGACTCCTTGACTCGAGAGACAGCTGAATAAGGCGCTTTGGTCAATTTACGAATCAAAGCCCACGTGTTTCTTGGGAAGGCTACTTTCAGATTCGCTATGGACGTGAAGCAGTCTCGTCATGGAGATATCGAGGGTTGACAGTGTGACTACTTACGCTGGAACCATTCCATTAGTGACTGTCCTGGTTTGGGACACTATCCTGCTCTTCAACGCTCTTGACTCGGCCCAGGGAGCTTGGTTGGCAATCGGGCTTTCACATCGTGACATGCATACCATTTTCTGCTGTGCTCGTTGGGAGAGACCTGGGAATTATACGTGACGTTTGAATGCTTTTGACCTCATTGCGATGGCTGGGACTTGTCGAGACTACGCGGCAGCGACGGACAGCGAAGCAGACCAGGATAAACTCAATCTCACATGAATTTGGTAGTGAACACAGTCATCGTTCACGACTGAGCCCGGCCTCTTCAGTAAGAAGACTGGGGTGTATGGAATATGAGGTTTGCTCAATCCGTGAAGCTGTATCGTAGGATGTTGGCAATTAACACGTTATAGTGGCGCAATGCTTGACTGTAGACTTTGGTGAGACCAGGCTTCACCGCAGCATCTCACCACCACGGAGTGGTTCCAGCCGCAAGAGACACTTCTTCGCCCGTGGTTGCGATGATATCAACAAGTCAGAGATCTCCATGTCCTCTTCGGTCATCGACCCGTCGGGAAGGGTAGTGTAGCGCGAGTACACGTCAATAAGTAGGGTCTTCATCTCTGCCAGAGCAAGACTACGGCAGGGTTCGTTAAGACATTCGTGACGACTCTTGATAGGGGCTGTCCACTTACTGTTTCCCAATGCAGCCTCGTCCGCCGCTAGCAAAGGCGAAGAAGAGCCGCTTCCGGTCCAGCTCCCCCTTTTCCTCGAGCCACCGGTCCGGGTTGAACAACTCGGGTTCGGGAAACACGGCCTGGTCGATCCGGTGGGCGGAGTAGGCCTGACAGCTGACTATCGTCTTCTCCGGGATGGGGTAGCCGTCGATGGTGCGGCCTCCAGGGGGCACGTATCGCGGCAGAGACATCGGAATCGCTGGGAAGCACCTCAGACCCTCCGAGACGACCGCATCCAGGTACGGCAGCTTGTCAAAGGCCATGCCGGAATTGGCCAGGATCTCCTGCTGCAGCCGGCGCTGGACGGACATGGAGCGCGGCTGTGATAGCTTCCACATGAGGAAGCATAATGCGTCGCCGGTGGTGTCGATACCGGCAGCCATGTGATCTAAACATTCTGCCGCCATATCCATATGATCCAAGCCGTAGCTCTTGTCCTGCATACGGTGCAGGAGAGTGAATTGGTCCGATCCTGTTTTCTGACAGGCCGATATCACCAGGTCGTCTGCTAGTGGTGTCTCCCTCGGCTTCGCGAAGACGGATAGGATATTGCCAATGAGCTCATGGAGCGTGGGATTGTAGTATTCCACAAGACGATCTAGAGTCGTCAGGGACAAGCTTTGAGGCATGGTCTTTGGAGCATCCACTCACTCTGGAGGCTATCATCGAAAGTGACCTGCTTCATGACCTCTTCATCCTTTGGGTCGCGGAGGGAATCCGAACCATAGGGATGGAACAAGTGATGGGTAACCCCATCAAATGCGTAGTCGTGTAGACCTAGACGTTGTCAGCCCCGCCAACACAGCGCTTTACGTCTCTTGACCTTACATATCTAGGTGCGGATTAGTGACTGATCGGCTGAAGAGCAATATGCATGCGTAACTCACAAACACATCTATACTTCCGCCAACCGATCTTGAGCATCGCTCGATGAACCGTCCCGAGCGCTCCTTGATTCCATCGAGCGAACTCGATTTCATGATGTTCGTGTTTGCGTACCGATCCGCAAGGATTCTCTTCCTCCGAGCATGCTGCTCATGTCAGGCCTTTGAGGGAATATGACGGGTATCATGGATGGTCTCTCACATCTTCCTTGTTCAAAGTGCTGAACATAGTCCTGGGATAAATGTCAGCCCATCTGAACACCCCAAAGGACAGGACCGGGTGAGAAGGCACTCTTCAAGCAACCATACCTTCTGCCATATACCATGAACAGGTCGTAAAACTCGGTCTTGTCATAACCGCTCCCACCCGATCCATATATCTCTTTCACACCCTCCAGCGAGGCGAACGAGACCTCGTTCGGTGCTATCCGCACTACGGGTCCATACTTGAGGTGAAGACTGTGGATATATCTCGTGCGATTGGCCCGGAACTCGTGGTACTTGAGCACCCACGAAGTAAACAGCGTCAAGGTCGGACCGGGAAGCTTGCGCAGGGGAGAAGAGATGCACTGCCAGACGTACACGGCGCCCAGCACGAGGCAGGTCGACGCCAGGAAGAAGGGGTTCAGGAGCAGCATGTTGTCTGATTGACGTTACACTGTTGCTTCTCAACACTTCAGTTCCAACTCACTGAGAGGGAAAATACTACTCAGTGGCTCAGATGGCAACGACATTGTTCAGACGAGATGGGTTGAAGTCGGCTATCTAACCTTTGACGCTTGAGTTTTGGTGGTTATCAGTGTGGGGCTTCAATTGGGGGGTTGCGAAGTCGGCAATAGTGAGCACAGTCACTAAAACCCATCTCGGAATCTCAATCCCTCCAACCATTGAAGCTTTCTCATCAATCAAACTAAGGTCTTTTCAATCCGCCTAGCTGGTGCGATCTACAGTTGTAAAGGCTCATAGAATTACAGAAGAGAATGACATCTCATCGAAGCTATTTGATCAAAGCTCGTCCTTGCCCTTGGGACTGCCACCCTTCGCTGCCCCGCCGCCGCCGCCGGCACCACCACCAAACCAGCTCGTCAGCCAAGAGAGCCCGGGAATCTCGAAACTGGCCGCCGGCGGGTAGGCTTTGCCGTTGATCATGACTGGCGGTTCGCAAGTGCACCACTGGTCCTCCGGGACGCCAGAGAGCGCCGAAGGGATGTGCGATCCGCAGCCGCGCCAGGACTTCTTCGCTGCCAGCTGTCAGAACCATGATGAGTTTGCGGGGGGCCGGAGGGCGGAGGGCGGAGGGCGGGTCACCCACAGCAGGTTGGGCACGTTGCCCCGTAGCACATCTCCAAGGACAGAGGCTTCGATTCCGTGGTGTTGATTATTATGCTGGGTATGATGATTGATGGATTGGTGATAAAGAATTGAAAAGTGCAAGAGAAACTGTCCGAGGAAAGACGCGGTTTTGAGCTGGGGGTCGCTGGTGGTCGCCGGCGCACAGTGACGCGGTCAGCGATGCGAGCACTAACGAGGTTGTCCGATCTCATCCAGTCGCCGACCTCACTCTGACCGGCCACCGCCCGGCTCGCAGGTCCAAAGCCCGAAAGCTGGCCGCTGACTTGAAACGCGATTCAGCATTCCGAAGTTCGCCGGTCCAACAGCCCCCAACAATCGCGCTGTAACGTTCTGTGCAGATGTACTTTTTTGAATCCCCCAGCCTCATCGAATCGACTGACGAAGACATCAGCAAAGTGTCCACCTTCACGACCTCTGGCTCCTCATCCTGAGCTCCCATTCATCGCGTTTGGCGGCGATGCGTCTCGCATCCCACAGGTCTTGTACAGAGCGCAGAGTCCCAATGCCACCAACCAAAAACAGAAAGCCTCGCGATGCTCGCAGCACGCCAGGCCGGGCGAATTTCCTGACGACCAGATAGACGACGCCCATAATCACCGGCCATGTCATTACCGCTACGCGCGGATGTTTTATGAGGGACAGTTCATCCTTTCTGGGCTTCCGTGGAGGGATGCGGGAGGCGTCGGCGAGGGACATCTTGACGCGTCGCGGTGAACGGGCTCCAGCCGATGTGTTCTGGCTGTCCGAACCACCAAGTCAGTCAGGGGAGTCAGGGGTGTAAATCCTCAGTTTATTGTAAACTATACTATCTTCCCGATTTGAACACAGTATGCACAGTATGTTCGTAGCCATTCGTTCGCAAGCAAGGGAGAGTTGAGACAACCATGCAGCTAATAGTTGACTGTCACATCAGGCGGGTCTTCCCGTCCTGAGTTTTACCTGACAGGTTGGGATAATTGCGCCTCATAAATAACATCTGTCCCAATCCCACAACACCAGCATGCTTCACTCGTGTCCATAGGTACTCATATCCGAAGACAATATCTAGGTAGATAAGCCTCCAAGTCTTCTGGTGGCCCAACTGTCCAACAATAGAAGCCATGCCTAAGGACTACGGAATCGACATGCCTCCCAGCCTCATGTGATGCTCTGCAAGAACTGCACAACCGTATTTGCCAGCCATTTCTCCGCTTCCGGCTCCTCCACGCGATGGCCAGCTCCCGGAGTGATGCCCGACAGCTCGCTGGCGATACCCGGCCGGCATAGGCTTCTCCAGTGCTGCACAAGTCCCTCCTTGTCCACGGACTTGGGCACATACTCGTCATTGCCCGAATGAAGGATCATGATAGGCTTGTCCACGCGTTGCCAGTACGGCCCAGCCACGTCGTCCGTCAGACTGGGCGAGAAGTAGTTGTCCTCGCCGCTACCAGTCCAATGTCAGCAAGCAGACTGACTAGCAGATGAGAGACTCAACATATGATGGAAGACCTACTCGATTGCAGCAAGTGCGTACCATCGCCACGCAGAAATTGGTGTTTTCGCGAACGAGGCCGGGAGGTGTTCGAGTGGCATCCGCTCGTGCCCCTTTCCGGCGGCAAAGAGATCCCTTGCTGCCTTCAAGCTCTCCTCGAGTCTGGCTTCGCCCATTTCCTCCGTCAGTGCGTCTCTATCGCAGACGGGGGCTTGCAGGATGTAGCCGTCTACAGGCGCCGCATTGTGGTCGGGAGACGTGTATTCCATGCAGTCCTGCCATTTTGTTAGCCCTTGCCCCATACATCGTTGGGAGCAATAGGGATGGGGGATTCGTGACAACCGACAAAACTCAGTGTATCGGAAACAGCAAGGAGCATACCTGAGTACCGGTCGAGTGTCCCATGAGCACGACCTTCTCCTTCCCAATACTCCGGAGGTACTCCACCAGTGCCGAGATGTCAGCGACATCGTCGACCAGGCGTGCGAATCCGAAGCCCAGAAAGGAGCTCTTCAGTCTGAACTCGAAGACGGAGAAGCTGAGCTCGGGTCTCGCCTCGAGGCGCTTGGCGATTGCTCGCGGGTATGGCACGGTGTGAGGTCCGTCACCGAGGCCTCCGATGAAAACGAGGGCGTTCTTTGCGTTCGCCAGGCCGATCTCGTATGAGCATGCGTGAGGCGTGGGCGATTGGAAGGGGTGCACCGTTGTGGTGAAGGTCCCCAAAGACGGCATGGTGAATTGTTGTGCAAATCTTGCCTGTAAAAGTAGAAGATCAAAAATGGGTGATGGATTTTTCAAAGATCGCTGCAGAACATGGCCTCAGTTTTGGAAATTGAGGCCTTTTGTTGGTGCACGATGTCAGATGTTCGGTGATTGCGGCGCTGTAACTGTGGCGAAGGTTTGGGCGGTTGGAGGCCTGAAAATTGAAGCTCCAGCTCATGTCGGGTGGAGGGTGGAGGTGACGTCGGACGAAGCTTCATCTTTCTCCCGACAATTCACGAACCTTCACGATTATTCAGGTAGACCAGAAAGCCGACTGTTCAATCTTGCTTACTGAGCTCTGCAGGTGCTGCATCAACCAGATCACATTTGCCCTGAGAAGAGACGATGGAACGGTGTCGAGATGGCCAATCCTTCTTCGGTCGCGAGGAATGACTTTTTCAAACAGGTACCGTCAGCCCCTCCACCGTTCACCATCAAAGTGGTCCAGCTAACGTGAATGCGTGGGACAAAGCTCAAACCGCGATGCGTCTCCATCAACAACCTGGCTGTTCGCGAACGAGACAAAAAGGCGAGCGCCAAAGACCTGATCAAAGTGACCGATGACCTCTCTGCGCTGTTGGACCGCCAGGTCGCCCAAGATGCATCGGTCCTGGATGAGAAGCTGGCCGACTACATCTTCTTCCCGCTCTCCAACATCCTGCGCGCCCAGCAGGAGTATCCCATCCGCCTGACAGAGGTCACCATCAAATGTCTGAGGGTCTTGATTGAGTATGGCTGGAAGAGCAAGATCCCGAAAGAGCTCGCGCAGCAGCTTCTCATCTTGCTGACCTTCATCATCGGCGGTGTACCTGGCCAGGAGAGAAAGGATCGCATCCCCGAAGAGACCGAACTGGAAGCCTTCAAGGCTCTCATCGCCTTGACCAAAGCTTCAGGCTCGTCGCTTGCAGGCGCTGCAGGTTTGATGGAGACCAATGCCATTCCCGCTCTGGGCCATGCCATTACGGTCGTATTGGAGGGGGTCACGGACGGCAGGACGCCTGATCTCCAGCTTGAGGCACTGAACGCCCTGAATGCTATATACACAGCAGTCAAGGACCAGACAGCATTGGCTACGTTCCTGCCTGGAATAGTGTCTTCTCTAAGCAGACTGCTGACACCGCCAACCGCCCTGAAGACCCAGAAGCGGATTCTCATACGGGGGTTGACTGCCCTTAAAGATGTACTCACGAGGGTTCTGGGAGATATCAAGACCATGGCCATCCTCAATAAGCCGCCCGGAGACAAGACTGAGAAGGCCACCGAGGGCAAGGTACTCACACCTTCGTGGTTGAAGGCCACTGTGGCCAAAGTGAAGCTTGCTCTTGCGAGTGTGCTGAAACTGCGGTGTCACACCTCGGAAGATGTGCAGTGCGCTTTGGAGCGACTGTGTATTACGCTCTTGGATGAATGCCACCGATCACTGTCTGAGTGTGCTTCGATTCTGGTCGAGACGGCAATGATCCTGGCTAGCGACGAAGACGAAAAGTCCTCACTCGAGACTAGTCTGACCGATCTGGCCAGGATCTATCCAGAACTGGGAGACACAATCAAGAATACAATATTCAATTGGGTCACCAGCCTGCCGCGGATCGTGCAATCGAGCGATGAGAAGGTCAAGCAGCAGGCCATTCGAAACCTCGTGAAAGGCCAACACTTCATCACCACTCTTCAAATCGATTCATCTATCCTGGGTGACTCGATGGCTGCATCATTGAGGGACAGCACAACGGCACTTGTCATGGCAACCAAGCCAGGGGGAGGTGTCATGTCCGAGATGCCCTCAAACGCAATTGAGTTGAAAAACATGGACATGGCTGCACGCGACCAAGGCAACTCGTTCCGGCCTGTCCTGATCGCCCAGGAGACAGAACGCTCTACACGGTCAGCACTCCTCGACTTCATCTCGAAGTATGGACCTACTACACAACAAGTCAAACTTGCGAGCGACATGCTCAATTATGTACGTGAGTCGAGTGGCCCAAGCCAGATAGCTTCGTACTGGCTAGCATTTGAGCTCGTCAAGGCCACCTGGTCCCAATCCTCAGACCTGGATGATTTTCTCGATCTGAGTTCCGCTGCAGACGCCTCAGATGGGAGCGAATCTGTCTTTCAGGAGCTCTATTCCTTCTCTGTTGCCATACTGGACTCGCAAGCTGAGGCAGAGGAAGTGGACTGGCGAATGCAGGCTCTGGCCTTGGAGGTCACGACCTTTGCTGCAGTGAGGATGCAAGAAAGCTTCCGCCCGGAACTCATAGACGTGCTATATCCCATAGCAACGTTTTTGGGTTCCGACGTTCCTCAGGTGCGAGAGCACGCGATTATCAGTCTCAACAGCATATCAGCCTCCTGCGGCTATTCCAACGTCACGGACCTCATTATTGACAACGTCGACTATATGGTGAACTCTGTGTCGTTACGTCTGAATACCTTCGACATATCACCAGCATCCACCCAAGTCCTGCGCATGATGATCAGGCTCACAGGTCCAAAGCTGATACCCTATCTCGACGACGTTGTGGCATCCATCTTCGCAGCACTCGACAACTACCATGGATACACCTTGTTCGTCGAGAATCTGTTCGGTGTGCTCAACGAGGTCGTGCAACAAGGCACCAAGTCTGAGAACCTACTCGTTGAGGACGCCAAATCATCCAAGGTCGACCACAGAAAGACCATGTCAAAGCTAGCCACTACCGAGGATCTCAGCGAGATCCTAGACAACCGGGCGGAACGCCAGAAGAAACGACGACAAGAAGACCTGGAGCGCGAAGCAGAGGTCGAGAAGCACCCGCAGAGGCCGTGGAAAGTGCCCAGGACGACAGAAGTTTTAGAAGAAGGGGGAGACGACGAGCCCAGCACCGAGGCCGAGAAGCCGCCGCCACCCAAGACTCCCACATTCAAACTGCTCTCCCGCATCACGGACCTAACGCAGCACTATCTCACCTCGCCCACCCCCACGCTTCGCAAATCCCTCCTCGACCTTCTCGCCACCGTCTGTCCCGCGCTGTCCCCCGACGAGGACGCGTTCCTGCCCCTCGTCAACTCGATCTGGCCAGTCCTCGTCGAGCGGCTCTACGACCCCAAGACCTTCGTCGTGGTCGCGGCCTGCGAGGCGCTCTCGGCGCTCTGCGAGAGCGCTGGCGACTTCCTCAACACGCGCATCAAGGACGAGTGGTCCGACAACCTGGGCAAGTGGTGCCGCAGGACGAAGGCGGAGGCCACGGCGGCCCGGTCGCGCGGGAAGGGGACGGGTAGAGCTCCGATTGGTATTGGTGGAGAGGGCAAGGGGCTGCTCATCCCGATCCGCTCGCGTGACGGCGGGCTCGAGGGCATGGAGTTCTCCTCCCGGGCTACTGTCGAGGGAGCCCCCACGAGCGCGGGCGCAGGCGGGAACGGGAGCACCAGCACCGGGCTCGGCAGGTTCACGCAGGCGGCGCAGGCGTGGGAGGCGGTGCAGGGCCTGCTGATCGCGCTCGTGTCCCACGTCCAGGTCGACGACGACGTTTTCGACCAGATCCTGCTGCTGCTGGCGGACTCGCTGGCCTCGAACGCCGAGGCGCGGGGCGCGCTGGAGGCGGTCGATCCGGATGCGGTCTGGTTGGCGATGTATGAGCGGGGGATGCTGGGACCGACGGAGGTGGCGGGGCGGAGGCCGGTGATGGAGGGCGTGAGGTTCGTGGAGGTCTAAGTTAGGGAGTCGGTTGGTGGTGGTTTGCTAGCTGCCTTTTAAATACCTTTGGTGGGGAGTAGTTAGTTACTGTCTGAAATAAGTCGTGCCTGGTGAGAGAGACTTTTGTACGCTTGAATCCTGAGTCTGAAACTCCTAAAGAGGATTAATCATAGTTGGATGGTGACTTTGATGGTTCTTGTTCCTATGTTGGTGCTTAGGTACGAAGTTGATATGCTTGGAAACTAGGCGACCAGTCTAGACGTTCGCTCTGGTGGTTTGAAATGGCGTAGTGGCATTGCGCCAGCCTCGCTTTTGTCCGCCGTAACCCCTATCCCGGACCTGGACCGCGGGCCGGGAATCACAACGACGTAGATATCATGAGTGCATGCCTAATAAAGCTCGGGGCTTTGATTGAGCCTCGCTAATTTCGCCATCACCGGCGCGGCAAGGGGCATCGGTAAGTATCACATCTGGCCATAGTATGAGACGCGTGTGCGCCCAGACATGTTCATCTCTAGGTTTTCTTCCGTTCGGATCAGGTATGTACCATACCGGTCTAGTCTATGACCTTAGAGACGAATGAGGAGAAGAGGGGGAGGGAGAGAAAGACGGTACAATATATCTATCTACGCACCTAATTTTCCCTTCATTTTTTCGCTAAATGCGCAACCCAATAACTAGGTATATTGCCCAACAGTGCTGCAGGCGCAACACACCCACCCACCCACACACCAGCCTTGCTCGACGGCTCAACGTCGTCCAGCTTGCATTCATACATACCCACCTGTTGGATCCGCCTCATGTGAGGTCCTTGCGACGGTTATGCAGCATGTCCAGGGGCGGCGGCGGCGCTGGCTTGGTAGCTAGCTGGGCGAAACGGACCTTGAGAATTCGGGTGGTCGTCGATGCTCTCGTCATCCCAGATCAGCCGCCGCGTCGCGCGGATATTGTGAGCGAGAGATCCTGACTCCCGAGGCGCACATGGTCAGGAACCTCGTGCAAGATCCACGGCGCCGCAGCTGGTGACCTCGTAGCTCGTCAGCGGGCGCTTCGATTACGATCGACGCAGCGTCGGTCCTGCGGCGGCGGTGGTGGAAACTGGTTGAAGTTCCAGATGATCCGCAAGTTCGCTCGGGTGCTGGGTCCAGCACGATGGCACTATGGCAGCACATATCAGCAGAGGAAGATGAGGACTCGTGTTTGGCAGGACAGCACTCGGGAAGCACGAGACAATTGTAGTTGGTGTCCACGTACATTTTCTGCATAGTCCTCGTTGGCGCTGTGGTGTGGCACGGGTTGCCTACGTCAATGCCAGACAGTCGGAACGGTTGTCCGAACAGCCGAAGTGGCATCGCACCAGTCCAGGGTATCAGGTACGCTCTGCTCGTTATGGCAGATGCTACGGTCGCGTTCGACGCGGCTGCCCGGAGAAGAACTTGACAAGGTCTTCCTTCGAGCTACATGTAGCGGCGGCCGTGCAGCTTTCCAGGCCGCTCGTAGGTCGAAGTGTTCACGATCGTACCGGTACGTCAAAACTCGGATTTCGGCGTACACGAAAACGGAGCGATTTGACGAAATCAGGCGTTTGATGAGTCCCCGTCAAGAGAAGAACGACTTGCGATCGTGAGACGAAGAGAGTGGCGACGGCGACATCTTCTGTCGGGGACCTCGGATGTGGTGAGCTTCTACAGCCTGACATTTGTAGTCATGGCAAAGACATTATTGATTATGTCCACTTTTAGGTGTCAGTAGCGACATACCTACTGCAGCCCTTCTTCTTTCTCCTTTCTCCACCTCCTCCACTCCTACTCAGGCACCTTCTTGCCCATGTTCCGCCAGAAGTCGCAGCGAACACCGCGTCCACCCTCCCAAGTGTACGCATCAGCCAGCCGGAACTCGTTCTTCTGCGTTGACCCTGTGCAGTAAGGCAGTCCACCGATTTCGGTGGTCTCCGGGCATGTCGTGTTGAAGTCCATCAACAGAGGGTTGTAGATGCTGTATGGCGGCCAGTCGCTGACAGGGTTGTAGGTGGTGTTGCCAGTGTTGATGCCATTGTCGTATAGGCTGGAGACTGACGGGTTGTCGTTGACGATGAAATTTCCAAGCATCTCCATAAACGCGATTGGTCTAAGGCAATGGTCAGCAGCGGTCAGTTTATTGATAATGCTTTTCAACAGTCAGTCCCATTACTCACAAAGTTGGCGTTGTGGTAGGTACCAGAGTACGGCCAGCTGAAATACGCTGCACCATCGGCGCCATGCTCCGCGTTCGGGATTGAGAACTGATACTTCCAGCCTTCTCCACCATGCTTGTTGTTGTTATACGCCTCCGTGAGCCAAAACGACGGACAGATGAATCTGCTCTCGCCATAGATGGCCTCCGCACGTCCTTGCTGGCCAGTTGCAACCGTGCTCTCGTTAACAGTCGTGGGGTCGTAGCTGCCCCTCGGTAGCGAACATCACGGCATTCGGATAGGTGGAAGCATTGCTGGCCGGGTACTAGTTAGAGCAGAATCTTGGCGATGTCGTTGTTCGAGAAGTTCGGGAAAGTGACTCGAAGAAAATCCACGAGATCATCGACGGTATTGATCGCCCCCGGTTGGACCCATGAAGCACCCTCGAACGCATTGGAGCCTGCGAGATGGTTGAGTCCGTTGACCTTGCCGTCTGCGAGCGCCTTGCTTGGCCGCTCTTGAATCAAGTGGCCATCAGTCACAGGCAGGAAAGCAAAGGTGCCTCATGTACCGCTCTGGGACACATCTACGTTGTCGTTCATGCGCGTTGCCGAGTCTGCCGCCTGGAGACAGTCGAATATTGGCTTGGAACCGTTATGCAGATAAGCACCCCGCACATCACATCCTGCTGCAGAAGCGAAAGCGTAGTACGCCTGGGACGGCTGCCGGTCTTTGTATCCGTATTGGAAAGCAAGGTAAGGGGATGCGGTGATGGGGTTTCTGAACAAAGAGGTTCCAAGAGTACCACCGTAGGCAATGTCATGCAGCATCACACTCCCAGCACCAGCACTCTCACCGAAGATGGTCACCTTTCTATTGTTGCCTCCGAATAGGTGGATGTACTGCTGGATCCACTGGAGGGCGAGCTGTTGGTCCAGCAGACCGGCGTTGGGGGTACCCTTCCGAGCGAGCTCATCTGAAGACAGAAAACCGAAGGCTCCAAGCTGAGGGCTGTGTTAGCTCACTGTCATGTACCGACTTGGCGTGGCGAAGGATTACCCGATAGTTCATGTCGACACCCACGAATCTATTGTTGTTGGTCGTCATAAGAGCAGTCAGTCAGGCCATACGCTCCACTTCCGGCTGCATAGCCACCGCCGTGAATCCACACGAGGAACGGCAAGCCAGGCTCGTCAGTCGAGTTACCTTGTGTAACAACATTGGTACCAGCTGGCGCAAGAACATTGAGGAACAGGCAATCCTCGCTGCTCGCGGAGTTGTCGACCGACGAATACCTGCTTGCTGCGTCTTCAGCTTGAGGACACTGCGATCCATAGCTGGTAGCGGACTGCACGGAAGATCGAAAGAGAGTTGCAACAGCGTGCTGCGAAGAAGGATGAAGGAGAAGGGCCCCGTACAGTCAAAGGTGAGGTGGAAGACGAAGCAGAGCCAGCAGAAACTGTTGTTCTTGTTGCATCCTACTTTTACCCCTGATCAGTAATAGGAGAGGGTCATGACGTGGTCGCGTCGGCTGTTACTACCGGTAACCGTGAAATTGCAAGGTCCCATCCTTAGTGGTCGATCAGGGCCAAGTGGAGGAGGAACTTGGCCTTCTTGGTCACAGAAGTCAACCTTCAATGGTCAAGTCCATCGATTTTGTGTGTGTTTGCCAAAGTAGCATGGTCATATAATCATTGTTGGTGGTAGTGGGGGTCTCGATGTTGTGAGCCTCGTGGAGGGTCTTACTCAGACCCGCTTGTGACGACCCCAAGTGCATGGGCCAGGTATTCCACGAGCTCCCGACATATAAAGCATCATTCGTGAGTCGTACGATTTGATGAGTTGTAACCTGAATAAATCCATTCCGGTAGAGTGGTCGCCCCATGAAGAGGTACAAATTAGTTGTTTGAGCTTCCCGCCCAGAAACTCCAAGAGATTGGCAGACGCGACGGCGAATTGGCACGCCATTAATAACAAGCTTCACGCGATTAGGCTTTCACTAGGAACTCCACGCGGCCGTTTCGATTAGGCAACGTCCAGTCTTGCCAAGGGCTAAACTTGGCTAGCAGTATGACGTTTGCTAACACCGACAAACTCCAAAGAGCCTCATCAAATTCGACTTCACCTCGTGATACTACCAGTTGTCGTGTCAAGGTGCTCTATCTGTCACCACTCCAATCGGGCGTTCTTGGACAGACAGACTCGAAGCCCTTCCATGTGGCTGACCTACTAATCATTGATCAGTAGGGCACACAGCTGAGCTGACAGCTCAAGAACCTTGTTATCGCAGTCCACTGAGGGGCGATACTGTTTATCGGTCGAAACGAAGAAATCAGGCACGTCAGGCCACGCGACGGATTCTTCCGAGGGGTCTCAAGGGTCTTGGGTACGGTGAGATTCATCATTCTGGGTGGGGACAGAGGGGTAGTCGCGTCGCGTCTGACAAGGGACATGGGAACCAGGGCATCCGCTTGGGCAACATTTGAGATGATGACGGGCGAAAAAGAGCTTGTCAACCCTTCTGGAAGCGCCATCTACAGGTAGGTAGGCGATGACTGGCGGAGTGACTTCCGACCTCCCTCCTGTTCGCGAAGGTGGTGGTGACCTTCACGCTCGAACACTAATAAAAGATGGTTGCACCTAGCAGGCTGCACAACGTGGGATGAATCCCTCGGATACTGCTCAATCCAGAGATGCGAAAAGGGACGCGATGCTTGCTCCAATGGTATTGCAATGGCCGGCCCAAGAGATGCAATGCAACGCCCACCTTCCCCATGCGTCCTTCTTATCAGCTTGGCCCCGGGCAGCCTAGAGATAGCAGGATGGATCGTTGAAAACAGGAGTCTTGACCGAAGCTAGACGTCTGTCTGGACGAGCTACCTCCTTACCTACACAGGGACCTAGCCAGTCAGCTCGCTACCTTACCTAGGGTGATCAACTCGACGAGCTCTATCGAACACCGAGGCCCTGGTTGGACTAATGCTGCCAGGCCTGGCTACATATGCACGTGTAGCTAGGTACCTACATACTGCCAGTTGAGCATCGAAAGGGGGGAGGGCATGTGTGCATGGACCCATGGTACAGGGCGACGGCGATAGGGGTGCAGGCATTGCAATTGGCTGCAGACAACCTTACCTTACCTGGTTGCCAAGTCTGCACAATCTACATATCCAAGGTACCTGGGTACCTTGCCCCCGGCAATCATGCCATGTTCTAGAATCTCCAAGCTGACAATTGGAGGTGAGGTATTCCTAATACCTTTCCCTTTGAAGCCACCGACGGCGAGCTGCGAATCAGCCTCTCGAGTCCAGAGTGGCATGCAGCAATGTCTCACCGCCGCCTGTAGGACCTCGGACCCGATGATTGGGGTAGCTATACCATGGGGCATTACCGGTACACGAGGGCTACACGCTGTATGAGAAAACAGCCAGCTGAGCTTAGTGGATGTGCATGTTCGTACGAACATGGACAATGCAGAGGAATATATTCAGAGTGGGCAGACCGAAACTCCAAGACTCCTCGAGTTAGAATAAATTTCCTTAGACAAGACTTACTCGACGAACATGGATCCTCGGGCGAGGTATGGTAAGGTCGTACCAATCACGGCGACCTCGATATGGCATCAGGATCACACGGGTGCGACGGGTACCCATACCTGCACTTTCCAGTATCGCCGAGTACCTCTATGTGACATCGGATGCCATCGAGTAAGTGAGCAGTGCGACATTCCCATCTCGCCCGCGTCTAAAGGTAGGTGTTCTGTAATTATCAGCTCGGGCTCACTCGCCCATTTGCTCACTGCAGCTGGCCAGACAGGGTGACTCCAGGTCTACCAGCCTTCAGATCGCTCCATTGTCTTGGACCCTGCACAGATAACGAAGTAGGTAGCAATCGAATTTAGTATATATCGTTGGCACAACTCCCACATCCGCCGCTCCTATCACGAGCCTTTTTTCTTTTCTTTCTGTTTCGCCCCTTGAGCGCCAGAACCTCCCGCTGGACCGTTCGAGTCCTCATCCTGCCATACTACAACCGCCGGGAGAGAGAGTGGGATATCATGGCCATGTCCGACTCGGAAAAGCACGATCACAAGGCGCCCGAGGTCAACCCGCACCTCTACGCGACCAATCACTCCGATGAGGAGGTCGGCGTCGTCGCGAAGGGCGCTGCCCTCAAGACCGATCTGCATGGTCGACACATGCAGATGATTGCGATTGGTGCGCATTCTTCATGTTATACCGATACGTATAATAGTGTTGCTAACGGGCCTGCTCTCAACAGGTGGTGCCATCGGAGCTGGTCTGTTTATTGGGACTGGAAATGCGCTCTACAGCGGTGGCCCTGCTTCCCTGGTATGTCCATGTCCGACTCTGAGATACCGAATGCGCGCCGTGTCACCGTGTCACCATGTCAGCCCGAGACTGACGGTTCCCGGCTTCCAACCTTAGGTCATTGGCTACACCATCGTCGGTATCATGTTGCTCTTCACCATGCAGGCTCTCGGCGAGTTGGCTGTCCTCTACCCGGTCAACGGCGCCTTCTACACCTACATTGTGCGCTTCATTGACCCTTCATGGTGCGTTGCCCGCATCCGGCCCGACTCTATCATATACTATTCCGTCAATACTGACTTGCACTTCTAGGGGTTTTGCCGTGGGCTGGGAATACGCCATTGGCTGGCTTACCGTCTTACCATTCGAGCTGATCGCCGCCGGTGCCACCATCGAGTACTGGAGGAGCGATATCAACGTGGCCGTCTGGGTCACTGTGTTCTTGGTCGTCCTCACCATCATTCAGGTCTTCGGCGTCCGGGGCTACGGTGAAGGTACTTTCTCCTCATCCAACGACTCTGCCATGGAAACGTCTAACAGTGCGCAGTTGAGTTCGTCCTCAGTATGATCAAGATCGCCGCCTGCATTGGATTCATCATCTTCGGTATTGTCGTCGACTGCGGTGGGGTTGGCGACAAGGGCTATCTGGGGGCGAGATACTGGTACGATCCAGGTGCCTTCCGGAATGGTTTCAATGGATTCGCAGGTGTCTTCGTTGTTGCGGCTTTCGCCTTTGGCGGCACCGAGTTGGTCGGTCTGGCAGCCGCCGAGTCCGCGAACCCGAGAAAGGCAATCCCGCTGGCCGCTAAGCAGGTCTTCTTCCGAATCGCCTTTTTCTACATCGTCAACCTCTTCATCCTCGGCCTCATCTTCCGCGCAGACGACCCGCGTCTTGAGCATGCCACCGGTTCAAACTCGAGGTTTTCGCCCTTTACGCTGGCCATCCAAGACGCCGGTGTCGCCGCGTTGCCGTCCATCTTCAATGTCGTCATTACCATCTCGGTTATCAGCGTCGCGAACTCGTGCACCTTTGGCTCGACCCGTACTATGCAAGCCATGGCTGAGCGCGGCATGGCGCCCAAATTCCTCTCGTACGTTGATAAAGACGGTCGACCCGTGTGGTGCATCGTCATCCAATTGGTTTTCGGTCTTCTCGGCTACGTCGGCGCGGCGCCGAACGGAGGCGTAGCTTTCGACTGGCTTCTGGCTCTGAGTGGTCTGGCATACTTCTTCGCCTGGGGTTCATGTTGCCTGGCTCACATCCGGTTCCGAATGGCCTACAAGGCACAAGGACGAGACTTGCGGGAAATTCCCTACAAGGCTCCCTGGGGGATCTGGGGAAGCGCAATTGCTTTCTTCCTCAACATCGTCTGCTTGATCGCCACGTTCTACAATGCTCTCTACGTAAGTCGAGCCCCGTTTTCATTACAGCGACTGAAAGATAACTGCGTGACTAACGTTGATACTTTCAGCCCGACCCCAATGCCACTCCCGACGCCGAAGTCTTCTTCCAGAAGTACCTGGCAGCCTTCATCGTGCTAGGCTTGTACATATTCTGGAAGTGCTACTCTCGCGACTGGAAGATGTGGGTCAAGCTCCAGGACATCGATCTGGTATCCGGCAGCCGCCCGCTCGAGCCGGAGGAGTTCGACAGCATCGAGTTCCACGAGAAGCTGACCCTGAAGAACTTCCCCATGCGTGTTCTCAGGAGCATCTTCTAAGCTTCTCACAGACGCTTGGAAACGAGATTTCTCACGAACGGGCGTACGGGCATTGTGGTATGCGATCTAGACAGCAGAAAGAAGGGTCTGCGCATATAACGGCATCTTGACATGCCGATGGATATGTCCGGTCCTTCCCCACCATGAAATACTTCGATATAGATGGTAAATATCTTCATTCAAGATACAGTTGCTCTTATGATATGCTCATCAAATTACCTGTATGAACAAGTGGAATCATGTTGGTTGCAAGGGCCGACCATGACCCTCCACCTCACCACGCTGAACTGACCTCTGAGCAGGAATATAAGGGTGGGAAGTCGCTCAAATGGTACTAACTTGAGTCCTATAGCAGTGATTGAGTAGCGACGTCCTGTCTTTCTACCTAGAAAGCGCGCGATCTGCTACGAATTACTACATGCCCTTGAGTGGCCTGAGCCAGAAAAGATCCCCACCGATATTACTAACCTAAGCAGCTCCATCCTTTCGGAACCCTCTCCCCGGCCCCCGAACCAATCAGAAGCCAGGAAGTAGGCCCCCCCCATCCCAGCCACCACATCCATCCACCGTCCCCCTACATTCACCACACGCACATACGGACTTCTCGAACGAACAACCTGCCATCTCCAGGACACCCATCTATTGTGTCGCGATTATGCTCAATCGCTTCAGCTCGCCCAGGGCTGCACGGGATTGTCATGGAAGCCCCGAAAACTCGACATATAAATGACCCCGGAATCCAATCAATTCACTTCAGTTCGCGAGGCTCGAAATGAATTGCAATTAATCGTCAAGGTCCGAATTGAATTGGATTGGATTGTGATTGTATAACTTGGCTTCAATGAAACGCAGGTGATCACCCTCTCCCTAAGGCATTTGCCTCCAAATGTCCACCTACCTACCTTCCAAGGTGCCTGGCCAACACCGTCGCCTAGTAACCCAGATACACCCCCATTCACCTACCACCACCCCAAAACCCCAGTCGTTCCAGACCTCACTTCACTCACCTCAACTCCTTCGCTCTCACAGCGAGAACTTTCCTTTGTTCTCCTGCTCTCCTATACCAAACACACCTGCGCCAATCAGATCTTCCTGGACGTCTCTTACCGACATTCTGTTTGATGTCGAGTCGGTGTGTTGCAAACACATACAGAAACTTGTGGAAGCCTACTTACCTTAAGGGTTGGAAGGCGGTCGTTCCTACACTTCTTCCGGATCTTTTGACAGCTACCACTTCGACTCTTCTTGACTACTGGTGCAATCAAACTTCACGAGTGGGTAAGGTGTTCCGCAAGAGCGATTATTGGCAGACCGGATACCTTGTCCAGCGAGAGTCTACAAAATACAACCCAAGCACACTTTCCTTCGTTACATGCGAACGGGGCGTACACAACTTCGCTCAGCATTGAAACCACTGAACGGCAATCTCGCCTACGACAGTGGCGCATCCAAGAGCCTGGGGAAACAGCATTGGGGAAACAGCATCGGCCAACTGGCGCCGCGATAGTTGATCTCTATCACCATATCGTCAAGGTCGGACCTTCATGTTGACAAGTTGGTCTCTAGTACCGTCTTGGGCAACTGCGCCCGTGCGTATTTCAAACCTTGGTGCATTGGCATAAGCAGCTTCGATGTCGGGGTTTTGCACGTCATAGATGACACTGACACTCAACTCAATGTAGGGATTTCAACACGGTTTATTCTTTTCGATCGCAAGGGAAGAGCCAAACCAAAATATACCCTAAGATACAACAAAAAGCAGAGCCGCCTTGCTGTACGGCAACTCGTTACCATGACACCTTTTATGGAGTCTTTCAAGTCCGAAGAGCAATATGGCCGCCCTCTGACACTCATGGGACTGCCACTTGAAATACGTGAGATGATCTGGGAAGAAGCATTGCCCCGCCGAGTCATTTCCGCGGATCACAACGAATCGACGTTCCTGCCGGGCCCCCCTTCAATCGCCCAAGTCTGCCGAGAGTCCCGCGCCTTTGCCATCAGAAGCGGCTCACCACGCACCTTCGACCACGTCGACGGCAGCCCTCGGGGCACGTGGTTCGATGCATCACGCGATGTTGTGCTGGGAAACCACGGTCCGTGTTCATGTCCACCATCACCGGTACCCCAAGGTCGCCCGGAACCCCGCTGCAGATGCTTCTGGTCATCTCTTCGCTCGATCACTTTGCAGAGCAACTGGCTAGACTCACGCCCTTTGGAACGCTTCACATTCAAAGACCGACTCGATAATGAACCCAGAAGACCGCTCAGACCGCTGTCCTCAATCATGCTAACAGCACTGGGATGGCGGCACAAGACACACAAGTACTCCAAGCTACAGAAAATCAACATCTTCCCCGCCCAAGACTGTCTCAGGGACTTCTACCCCAAGAACAGCTTCCCCTACTGGCCCCGCGAGGTCCTGGACCTGCTGTTCGAGAACAACACCATCCGCCTCGTCGACCTCCGCGACGCACACGAGGTTGCCGGCGTGGTGTCGACCCTCAGCGCCCACTACTGGAGCGAGCCCTGCGGGCGCTTCATCCAGCGCGCCCACGAAGCCGTCGTGGACAAGAGGTGGAACCGCTGGGAGGAGACCGTGCACGATCTGAAACACGAATGGCTGACGAGTAGCTACTACCGCGGCCGCGCTGACGATGTGCTTGCTCGTGTCTTGGTCAATCACCGGTACGAAGACTGGGACGTCAACGACCCCTGGATCAAGGAGGCGTTGGCGAAGATGCCGGAGATCTGTCCGGTGTATCCGCTCATCAACTACGACGAGAAGGATTGGCGGTCTGGCACGCGTGAGGATGAGGGGGGACGACGGCAGAAAGTGGAACGCATGGTCGTCCGCGACGGGGAGGCTTGGACGTGGGCGGCTCCCGAGGTGCACACCGAAGACGATGGCAACCAAGAACAGCGGGAGTCGGATCAGGGTTCAGACACAGACGTACCTCCTCAGCCTGAGGTCATCCAGACCAGGGTTGAGCATCGTCACAGAATAAAACGACAGCTTTAATAAAGCAAGCCAAGAGGGCGGGCTGGCTGAGTGTCTAAACACCAACGTCAACCTTTGCTGCTTCGAGGCAAGTTTTCGCGCTGTGGGCCTTTCGCATACTCGTATGGATCTAATGTCGACTCCCTCCAGTCCCCACCCCCCCAATCCGTTAGCCTGAAGGCGGCCACCACACCCAGACGAGTAGCTCGATTAGTAGATAAATGTCTGGATTAGAAATCAGATATAACTCGTTGAGTCTGCGTGCCAACCGTACCCCAGTGAGTCGGTGACTTCGTGGAAATCATCCTGTTGTCGAGGACCCAGTACAGATCACAGCTTTTACAATCACCAGCCTTCCTCTGATTACATGTATAACATCGCCGAAGCGCTCTACGTACTCAGAGGCGTATCCCGAGGTAGGGTTCGACAATCACCCAAGAGCCAAGACTGATACGTGCCATCAGAGTAAGGGGAATAGCTTCGGGCAACCTAACAGGCAGCTTCTCATCAATTATAGTATGAATGCCCAGGATCTAAAAGGCTTATCTTACCTGAGAAGAACACTGCCTCGGGTCCCCAAGGAATGACACGAAGAACATGACTAACCGACCTAGCTGACCGCCTGCGAATCACATGTGCGTTCTGAATAATGGTGAGTACAGTACAGCAGGTCAGTGCCTTTAATAGCCTACCGAAACCCTTGAAGGGATCGATAGTTACTTGGACGAGACCGAACTATACAAAGGGGCTATACAGCCAGGAAACACCGTCCTTCTCACGCTCCACGAGGACAGCGATACCAACGCCTGAACTCGATGCGAAAGCGTTGTTCAGACAAGAGATCCCTGCCTGGAACCTCGACGTATGATCAACCACAGTCCTTCGAAGGACTCACTGACCGAGGCAACAAGCCATCGTCCCACACAACGACACCTTAGCAACCCCGGACTAGACGAAAAGCACAGCACAACCAGACCACCCCTGTTCGTCACTTCACATGCCTCACCTCACCATACAGACCGCTTAGGCTCACACAGAGCGCGAAAAGCAGCCCCACGAGAAACTCGCTCCCGAAACCCGCCCAGAAGCAGACAAAAGCCGGCGGCAGCACACTGCGGCCACAGAAGTTCAAGAACCCCAGCGGCTCCTCCCCCTCGCTCAACGACAAAGAAACGAGCGCTGCATCTCACCCCGCCAGTCCGCCAGGCAGCGGATAATACGTCCGCGCCGGCCCATGCCTATACAGCCGGCCGCCGCCCACGGCCGCAGTATACAACAAGCCAGAGCCCCAGAATTCCCACGGTGACTGTCAGTCCGAGGCATAATGATTCCGTCGTGCGCCCGGCGGTGATGCTCTGGACGTCGTAAAGTCGGCCTTGAAGAACTTGGACTTGGTCTTTGAAGTTTCGATCCTGCGCTGGGACCTGGCCACGAGCAGATTCACTCTGTATACAAGCAGACGAAGAAATAGGGGACGGATGGCTTGACTCTAGACCACAGAGCCGGCTAGACTTGCATGAGCTGATGGTGTGAAGCACGAAGGAAATTTACTGACGAGAGAAGTAAGAGGGCGTCGAGATAGAGATACTACTGTTGTCATCGGCTGCGTTAATGAGACAGATGGGGGGTTACTTATACGTGCCGAATCCATCAGCATGAGCAATTGAGAGTTTGCGACGAGGGGCTCAGATTGGTGTCATGAGGACGGACGATCGACGTTCACAAAGATGACGATGCGACTGAATACAGTCACAAGTGTAGAGTGGCAAGTTCCCACATTGCCACTTTCCTCTACCAGCCTGCCGTCCATGCTGTACGTTCGGTGTATTAGGCAGGCAAAGAGCATGGGCTCCTGCTGAACGGACTGGCCGGCTGGTATCGAAGTCGAAAAGGACCATCGAATCTTACGCATGCAGCACAGCTCCTTAAAGCCCATACCTGCTTCCTGACGACCCATGTCGCATAGCGCTCCGTACTCGTGCGGGCATGCGAAATTCACGTTGAACGCTGCCTGTCAGGTCAACTGGCGACTATGGCAGTCTGATCCTCCACGCTCGGCATGGCAGACCGCGGGGTCTGATCAAGTTGATGTCAGTATCACTGCATGCAATGTAGTTACTTTCACAGAGAATTAGCTCACTTACGTGACTGGTTGCCATCGGAGACATACACCAAGGTATAGTGCCGCGCCATTACGCAGCTATAGAGACGACTGGAACAGATCAGCACGATGACATGTATCAGGACAAATATAGCATGAAGTAGATTCACTCACATTCTCATCTTTTGCGCTGCCTCCTCCTTATAACCCCTCAGCCCCCCCAAACGTCCCTTCCTCACGCCCGCGCGTCAAAAACGACAGTAATCTCCTCCAGCCGCCGCTCCACCTCCTCGACGGCCCGTTCCTCTCGCATCTGCTTCCCCATCTTGGCCCTGTGGGCCTTCTTGCGGTCCTTCTTCTCCTGCTTCTCCAGCGCCGCCAGTGCCTCCTTTGCCTCCTGTGCGCGACCCGCCTCCAGCAGCCGCTCGTGGGCCCGCTGCTCGGCGCGCGCGTACCACTCCTTGCGAGGCGTCGGGGAGGAGGACAGCGGCTCGCCGGTCGCGGCGTCGCAGGCGGGTGTCGGTGCGAAGCGCGGACTTTTCTTTCCGGAGGGCGAGCGTGATGCAGACGACGAGGAAGGAGTTCGTGGGTAGAAAACGTCGTAGCTGGCGTTGATGTCCTCCACACTGCGCCTCTTCTGCTGCTGGGCAGCGCATGCAGGTGCGTTGGTAGTGGTAGAGAACATGTCTGCGGTTGAGCGGAAGATAAAGTGAGAAAATTGGTGGTTGTAAAGCTGATGTGGGTAAATCAATTACCTGCAAGGGGAGAAATGGAAAAGTTGACAGTGCAGAATGGAGAACTACGACGCAGTCGTCGTTCCGGATAGCTTTGATGTAACGGAGATGCGTGTTGGGAGTTGTTGGCTGCGAGGTATAGTTCTTGCGATCAGACGAACCGAGTTCCAAACGTGACTCTTATGTAGATGCAGGTGTGGAAAAAAGCGTCAATCGAATTGTCAAATTCCCTTGTCTTATGTCTTTGAGCAAAAGCCGACCACTGCACCTCTTTGGCCCCCACCCTTTCAAAATGTTCCTTGTGCTCTAAGAATTGATTGTTTCCACGTTTAAGCATGCATCGCCGGACAAAGCAAGACCTAGAGCACCCGGATAATCTGCCAAATGAGCGGCCGATGGCGAGTGCACCAGGGAACGACCAGTCTGAGGCGAGCAGCCGCTCGAGGCACTCAACGACAACTTCTCCATCGATAAGTTCGGCGACTCGGCTACGTGACGCCGAGCACCAGGGCGACCATCATCGGGGCCACGGAGACCAGCAACAACGAAGATGTGGCGACATTCTACATCTACGGCGCAGCTGCGAAAGGACCCAAGAAAGCCTTCGGCGGCACCTATGCCTTCGTCCGGTGGCGACGCGGTGAAAGCTTAGGGGGCACGCGTTTCGACCGTTGACTTCGGCTCCTTCGCAGCTTGCCTTATTTACAAACCGTATGAGCGAGAAAGTAGGGTACCCAACGGCGCGCAAATCAACAAAACGCATCATGACTGCTCTCTAGACATTTCCACAGGATGTTTGACCAGGCTCTCATACAATTGTATTACGCTGCCAATCAAGAACGCCCATGAGCCTAGGATGATATTAGCTGGTGCCATAAATGACCAGGATAGACGGTCACTTACCCCAAAACGTAGAGCAGCTCGCCTGGTACTCCCTCCAATACGCTGTCCCGAAGCCAAAGATGGGGCATAACGTGAATCCAATGCCACCGATCAGATTCCACAGTCCAATATGCCACCCCAGCACACCGAACGCCGGCTGCCACCAATGCTTCTGCGTCTCGATCATGAACAGCGTTCCCGACACGACGAAGCCTGTCCCGCCGACGACCTGCGGGACCCAGTACACGCCGTTCAACACGCTCACCGGAGACAGATGGTCGTAGATGCCCGGCAGCGCGGTGAACCCCGAGATCCAGAAGACGGTTGCGCCGAACATCTGCGCACTACAAGCGATGAAGCCGAGATCGTGGAAAGAATGGGTACGGAGCTCGTGCCACGAGGGCCACCAGACCCAGGACTTGTCACCTGGTGACATGCCGTCGGTGGAGACTGTCGGATTCTTCTCGCCCACCGCAACACCTTCGCCCTGAGGCGGCTTACCAACGAGATTACCTCTGTTGCCGTGATGATGCGTACAACCGTCCGGCTTGACCCGACCAACGCCATGTTCGACGCAGCCCTCGTATGCCCTCTCCAATGCCCAGCCGAAGCAGCCTGCCCTGTTCTCGTTGACAGCTTCGAGCATGAGGAGTACGGAGCCGATCTCGAAGACTGTAGCGCCGATGAAGGCTGTGATACCGCCACCGTAAAGCGTCTCGCCTGGGAACTCGGTGCTTGGGTTCGTGAATGGTAGAAAAGCGAAAAAGGCGTTGATGACCCAGATGACGCTACCCCATGTAAAGACCACAGCGACAAGGTAGCTCACGTCCCAGACCGGGTAGTAACAAAGCATGCGGCCGATTGTCCTCGTGATCTCTTTCAGGCTGGTGGTGGGCGGTGGTGCAGCATATTTCGCGTCCGCTGCCTCGCTTGGCTTGACCACAAGTGCGTGCCTGCCTTTGCGGTTATCGCGAGACGTCCATTTATATCCCAAATTTGACGTGTCCGTTGGCTGCTCCGTGGCATCTTCTGCTGAGGTTTCGGGTGCGGTGCTCGACTTCGCGCTGGGTACGTGGTCATAGTGTGCTTGCGTCGGGTTGAGGAAGGAGATTGGACCGTGGATCTTATGCTTGTTGAGTTGTACGTCTGGACGGTTGCGCAGTGGCTCCCGCTCGGGATTGAAGACTTTATTACGGCTCATGATGCTAATTAGGTAACAGTTGGAAGACCTCGAGTGGAAGCAACGATGCTGCTGAACTGGAAGCTGCGCAACGACGTCAATTGGCTGATGGGTCTGGAGCAACGGCGCTTGCATGTGTTACGTAATACGAATCTATCCGTCCATACAGGACAAAGCCTGCTTGCGGCCAAGCATTACCAAGCTTTTTAGCTCCTTCCCCCCCTTAGACATTAACTGATCTGATCCGTATGGCACACCATGATGTGTAGCATTAACGACTATTTAGATATGTACATGATCTCGGAGAAATATCCCCTTACATACACACTATGCTCGTCACGAGCCTCACGCCTTTTATCGTTTTGGGGTATGCACTTAGCCACCAGCCGCGGGGCTCTCTCATCACGCCCATGAGATGTAGAAACAACACAGAAAGGCCACATCATTCGGGTATTGTAGGTGGTATCGCAGTGCAGCCTAGAGGTGTATCGAAGTTTGGACTTCCAAAAGTACAAGAAAATAAAGAGGATGCTGTCAAGCAGGTGGTCCTTCCACTTATGAGCCTTGAGGAAAAGGTAAGAGGGAGAAAGCAGGCAAAATGCTGCAATGGTGAAAAGGATGGGTCCAGACTCTCGGACCGTGGAGGCACGAATGAAAGTGCGAGCCTGCACCTTCCGTCGAAGAACGAATCGGGTCTGGGGGTTATCTGTCATAATCAAGGAGAATATTTGGTGTCGGGGTGGTGTGGTACTGGGTGGAATGGTTCATGACCAGCCTCCACGAAACTAAGGACCATGGGAAGCTTGACTTTGGTGTGCGTCTTGCAAGGCTGCGTCCAGGTTAGCGGACTCGTAAATACAATACAACCGGCATAGCTGTGTGTTGTAGAATCACTTACTGTGTAGCACGCTCAGTTGGCCGGCTCGGTCCTCACAGGCAACCTGTAGGCACGAGCCTTCCATAAGATCCAACACGACACTGTTTGGCAACTCCTGAACCTCGACATCGGGAACGTATGGTGTGCGGAAGTCGCTCAAGTGGTAGCGCTTGGTGCCGACACCAGCCGTCTTCTCCTTTCCGTTCGAGCCCTGGATAGCACTCAGGAAAAGGAAGCCTTGTGAGTCTAGGCACATGCTTCTGCGCTTCCACAGTAGATTGTCTGGGAACTGAACATTGACATCACCCATGTATGCCACAATCGTAGGCTGGGAAGCGATATGCGGGCCCGTAGCGGAGAGACTCGCGAGCTGGTCTGCGTCTTCCTCTGCTAGAGTAGGTGAGATATGAGCGGTCCCGTTCTTGCGACCACCGACAAAGGAATTTGACAGCCGGCGCATGAACCGCGATGCGCGGTTTTTGGACTTCTTGTCGTTTGTGCCCTTGCCGTCATCCTCTGAGCCATCGCTGAATGCAACAGGGGACAAGGGTGTTGGTGTGGCTTCATTGTCTTGTTCGGGGGAGAAAGATGAACGCCGACTCGATATCGACAAGCGACGTGCGAAGCCGCCTGAGTTGTGGTGAGCTGAAGGTGGTCGGGCGGGTGACTTGGCCCAGCTTGGAGCAGGTGACATGACCGCCAGATTATCAGCTGACTTGCTGGAGGTGGATCGATCTTTGATGAAATCTCTCATGATATTCAAGGATGATCGTCTCTTGGCTTTTCGTTCACCATCTTCGGACGTCGTTTTACGTTCGCGTCTCTCCTGAATAGTTTCCTGCGGTGTCTCCACTGGGGTCTGTTCCGCTATGGGCAGTTGCTCAGGTAGCTCGGCCCTCTGTACGTCGACCAACAAAGGTGACTGTTTCAGATCGAGAGTTGACGGTTCAGCGGGGTCCTGGTATTGTTCCGGCTTCTTACTGGTCTGATTCGATCCGCGGATGATCCGAGCTGTGACCTGTATCGACTCTGGACGTCCAGGAGATGCGCCTTGACCTTCAAACTTATTGAGTCTGCTGGCTACTGACCCGGATCTCTCCCTGCGCCCGTTACCTTGTGCATCGGGAGTCGACTCTCTTGAGAAGTCAGGAGTAGGCGTCTGACGAGTCAAAGAACTCGCCCGATCCACCACAGAAGGTGAGTTCGACGGCTCTCTTGCGGTCGGCTTACGCACAGTAAAAAAGGTCGAGGAGGGCGTAGCTGTTCTAGGCCGGCCATCCTCGCCACCGGGACTGCCGGATAGAGCTTCTAGAGCCTTGATACGCTGGGAGATGCCCGACCCGAGATTGTTCTTCTTAGATTGTAGTCCAGCACTGGATGCTTGGCGAGTGATTGTGTGTAGATATGCTGCACCGCCTGATGAAACACTCCTTGCACTGCTCTGAGATACGTCGCCAGGTACTGGTACTTGAAGTGTTCCGCGCATGGGGCTTGAGACGGTGCGAGATGGCTGGACCCTTAGCTTCAGTGGGTTGTGATTTGGGAAGACTGGAGTAATGGGCGATTTGGACAATGGCATGGGTCTTGCCTGCTGCACTGTCGCTGATTGGAGTTCCTCCATCAGAGCATCGTCGTCGAGCAATGGATCGGAATACTCGGAGTGAGGTGTGCTTTTGGCTGTAAAGTCAGTCCGAATGGGCTCAATACCAGTCTTACGCCTAGCCGACTTGGGTGGTGTAGGAAGTCTGAGCTGCGGATTCGTCGCCTCGGATGGCTCGCTCTCATCTATCACCGGGGTTGCCGTATACCCTGTGACCGGTACAGCTGGAACAGGATCGGAAGGAATCGTAAGATCTTGTCTGGAGAACTTGGATTTGAGACTTGGAGTAGTCGGTGACTTTGAAGACGTCGACGTTGGTGACCTCTGATCATTCGAGGAGAACTTGGACAAGGGTATACCCAGCGGTGGTGACTTGCGAGGTTTACTGTCATTGCCGGACAAAGCGATCTCCAAAGGGCGGGCGTCAGAGGTTTCTCTGGGTCTAGTACTGTCGACCTCTATAGATTCCTTGACTTCAGATTCCCTTGTTTGTAGAGGCGGTTGCTCAATCTCTAGAATCTCATGGGATTCCTCAGCAACTTTAGTAGTCGGGTCGTCTTCGCCGTCTGAGACATCGGTCTCCCCTGTTACAGGTTCTGGGCTTTGAGCTGCTTCTGGTGGGTTATCTTCCGGGGTTTCAACGGCGCTCATACGCAGCCCGGCCTCTTCTATGATTTCTGAGAGCTCCTCAGGTCCATCATCAGCGTCCTCATCGTCTGTCTCTGCACCTGTCCCTTTGGACGCTTGGATCGTTTCGTCAGTCAGCTCCGACAATGATGATGCTTTGGTAGAGTCACCAATCTCTGATGAAGATGCAGCTGTCGGGGAAGGTGGGTGTGAGTCTGAGATAGTATCGTCTGAATGTGTGTCAGAGTTGATAGTTATCGCAGTGGGCAAGTCGGCAGCCACACCGGAATCTGTGTTTGAAAACGACCGGATGTTGTCACTCTTCTTGTCATGGAAAGGTTCCTCGGATCCCTGCTCGTCAGGCATTTCCTTTTCTTCCATTATTGGCGGGCTCTTATTGCTCGCTGATGGTTGTGGTGACATTGCGCTCATCATCTTCTTTTTCTCTCTTAGCTTCATAGCCTTCATAAGACGCGCCTTCTCGGGCGTCACCTTGCTTTCTTTCGTAGACGTAGCCATCGACGACGTCATGGACTTGATAGAAGCTCCCGAGCTTGTAGCTGGCCTTGGTGGAAGTTGGTTCACTGCAGCTTCATGCAATACGTCCGGTGTATTGATATACGCTGGCGGACCGACGTCCGAAGCGCTATGCCCGTTCTGTCCAGACTGCTCGTCCACTTCTTGATCTTGCGATGTGCCCTTTTTCGACCCTCTGGAAAAGAACTTAAAGCCGGCCGGAAGCGCTGCGACTGGGCGGAAGTTTCCTGCAGTGGATGGCCTCTTGCTGACATCTAGCGACGGGCGTGGGCCAAGCTTCACCTTCGGTTTACCGTATGTATAGGTTGCGGAGCTGAAAAGTTCGGGGCGCGTCGTTTGCGAGGACATGCGCTGGTCGTATTCGGATTGTGCAGCAGGCGAAGTTGGTCGTTCTGCTCCTGCGAAATTTGGGACAACGCTGGTTGAGGCGAAATTTGTTTCTTGCGGAATATTTATTTGTTGACGATCAAGGACGAGGGGCTCAGGCAGCAAAGGCGAACGTGGACGCTCTGAATATATCGATGATGCCGGTCTTTCTTCTTCCTTGACGACCGATTGCCTCTTTCTATCTCTTTCCTCTTCTTCCACCTCTTCCACGATCTCATTTAGCCTCCGTCGTCGTAGTGAGCTCGAAGATGATGATGACGAGCCCGAAGCAGCATGGAGCGAACAAGCTGACGAAAGTTTGCTGTCCTTGAGGTCCTTCGCCGTTGTAATGTCGAAAACGATGCTGTAAGGGGTAAAACGTTCGCAGACCGCATTGAAGTGTACTACCGCCCGAGCTGCCCAACCGGATATACGCCCAGTTAGCCACGCGTTTCTCAAACAATTCCAGATCTGCGCAAAACAGGACAAAGGGGTTCAACCAAGCAAGGCCTCATACCTTGAACAAGCCTGGAGCAGTCGTCAGGCATGTACTTCACAATAACATTCCTCCGGCGGTATCTGAGAAAGCCGTACAGTGGCGAGACCTCCTCGTACTTTGCGATAGTGTTGCGCATCTCTATGACGCCACCATGTCCACGAGCGAGGAGTTCGACTTCATCGCGACTTGCGTACTTGAGGAGGAACCTATTCCCAACGAGGTTCCGGTCAGCATCACTCGAGGATAGAGAGGACAAGCGGCACGGGGAACAACTGGGAATAAAGGGCACTCAAGCGGATCGCCTGCTACGATCCGGAGATGATCGCACCACCGAAGCATCGGCAGAAGTCGTAAGGGGGACAAGAAAGGCCGGGTCTTACCATCCTCCGAACTCGGCAGAGACAGCTTCGTAGGCTTCCTGGACCTCCGCACAGTCCAACCCGTTCAACGACATCCTCAGGCAGGAATGTTGCCCTCAGCAGCAGCGGCTGGTATAGGGGGAGGGCAGCAGCTGCCGGACCAGCTTTGGGTTGTGAGTCGGTGGGTGCAGAGCAAACGTCGACTGATTAGGTATCTTCTATTGGCGTTCGAAAAGCATGAAGGGTCGAGTCGCAATCCAGGTCCAGAGCCAATTCAGGGGTCCGGCGGTATGGAGAGACATTGAGACAGGCACGATGCTCGCGCACAAGTGATTAGCGATTACAAGGTCTCTCTTGCTGTCCCTTTCGCCAGGAAAGATTGATTGTCGTAGAGTGTCGGCAACGGCAAAGTAACGGTACACAAGAACGGTTCAGCGGCCGAAACGAACAGGCGGGATATTCGATATGGGGTTCTGGCAGGGGGCCAGGATATTATTGATAGGGGGTCGACGAATATTGTACGGTTAGGTGGTACGGGAGCTCGGTAAGGTACCTAAGCACGTAGACCAGGGGGTGCGTTAACCGGGTCGTGCTCCAAGCGAATTACTTATTGCTCTAGACGAAGAAGTTGAAGTTGGTATGATTCGTGGTCCTGGAGAGAAGCGCCGATGATGAGACGAAGGCGAAGGAGGATGCGTGCTGTGACATGCGAGCGAGAAAAGAATAGCAATCCCAACAAGCATCGAGCAACAGAGTGATGAGCTCCCATAGACAACAATGAGACTCTCGCAAAGGGTGATGTGCAGGTGTGGTGGTGGCAGGGTGGATGGGGAGAGCGAGAAATGCACGAAATGCAATACAAGGATAGCCTGAGGCATGTCGGCGGATGGGGGAGACGGGAGGGATGTGGCCAGCTGATTGGATGAATAGCGTCGGCCAGAAGCGACATAGCGCAAGACGATTGATTGTTGCTAGGTACTTACAGTATTAGTACTATCAACACCAGCTTCATTTAGCGTCCTGAATTGTGCTTGAAGGGGGATGGGATCACGACGAAATCCATCCTTTCTAGGTTTCTCTACTCAGGCTTGGAACGAGGCCAAGTAACAGCCGACATATGTTCACCTCCAACGATCCGATCAACACGCAGCAGCATATATCTCAACGTGGTGCCCTGCAGGTGCGGATGCAGATGGTGAGGGGCAGAGAACTTCAGGATCACTGGAAGCACTCACACTGTCAAACAATTACCCCTTCTGGCCGGGGCCTCCAGTGCGCTAATCAATTGATCTCCCGTCGGCGCCCGTTTGCACCTGCATATGCCTCTAGTGCCTCTGTCCCACCGAACAGCGCTCAATGGCGCCTCAGTCTATTGCCACGATTGGCTAGATAGTGCCCTGGAAGAAGAACCCCCTGCAGGGATTCTATGCAAGTGCAACCATCTCCAGACTCCATCCCGTCCGTTGCGACATGTGCTTTGAATATTTAATAAAACCCGTGTCTCAGGAATTGTTAATAAGCACATTATGAAACATTCCGACTCTGACAGTTCGGGCTTTATTACTTAATTTTGAATGAGCAGTGCATCATTACGGACGGACAGGCAACCTTGCGGCCCTCATGGTATGGTCTGAACAGCCAGACGGATGACAACGGTGATGGCATAACCGTTAGTTAAGTCGACGCACGTTGAAGTTGGGAAGTCCGAGGGCGTCTTGACACTACTTTCATGGACGTCTTTTGGAATGAGCGGCCGAACCTTAATAGCAAGCATCATGCACGCAAGTTGAACCGAGATCCGGTCTCATCTGACCCTGACCAGCAACGCCCGATCTTCAGCCAGTCATCTAGTCTTCGTAATTCAATTCACGACCTTAATATTGATGATTATTCTGTAGATATCTGGGCATTTTCCTGACACCAGACACCACTTGAGATGTCACATAGTCCTACCAGCCGAAGCCTGGAGGATTTCCAGAACATCTTGTTCCCGAATCCCAACCCCACGCTTTGACCCCTCTGACCCCTTGACTACCCCGCTGCAAGCACGTTGAGCCCAACCGGGGAGGGAGTTCACATGCAGCAGAAGCATGCAAACCGAGAAAAATCAAGAAACTAGCAGGCTGATCTTGGTCGAAGGATTTACCGTGCCTTATCACCACATGGCCGAGCCACTCATTGGTGACTTGCCTGCTTGCCTGCACACAATGTGTTTCTCCGCGTCCAAGCGTGCAGACAGGACATTGAGAAATCCCTGATACCAGATACACACACACTTCCAAAGCGATCAAGCTCTTAGGAGGTTGAATTCTACTCCCGTTAGATACACAGTACTTCATAAGCGCACATAGGATACAGTTCTATACAATACATCTCAGACCATGTAGTCACCCCTTATGAGTCTCCGTCCGGCATGCCGCATTTGGTTGTTGGGTATTACTCATATATCCATATTAGGAGACTACGCACTTTGCAATAGGCAGCTTGTATCTAATAAGTTATCTTGAGACTGGGGTTAAGAAGAGTCAACGTTGTACAGTAGAGCTGGGTATAGCCCATGGAGGAGTACCAACGGCGTCCTGACGAACATATTGGGCTACTAGACGAGACCAGGATTCCAGGAGAGTACTAGGTAGCCAAATATAAACCCGTCATGTGTCAAGAAGTCTGACTATCGTTAAAGGAAGCAGTCCGGTGGTTGACTCCTGAGTAACCACGTCGCAGACACCTCGTTCGAGGTGAACCAGCAGTCTACCTATGATCAAATACGCATTCACAGAGAGAATTCGATGTGCAACAACAGAAATCCAGCAAGCCCATTGGCAGCCTCATGTTGCCAGTAATCCACTCAACGTGGGTTTTAGGTCGTCTGTATAACGTACACAGGTCATATGCCCATTCCAAAATGCCTCACGCATTGTGCCAGATCTAGCATCTGTCGTCAATTGTCGTCATCAGCACCGCCCTTCGCCTGCATGCCATCTCCCTGCTGTAGATCCCTTGCCATGGGAGACAGGCATTCGTCAAATATGGCAAGGCATGACTTCGTCTCTTTCGTATGCTTCATATCATCGACGACCAATCCTGCCTTACAACGTCGGAATGCCATGACAACACGTAAAGGCACCCGCCCACGGCAGCACACCCTGCGGCAAGAGAAACAACGCAAAAACGCCTAGCAGTGAGCAAATTGGCCATTGCGGATGTCGACAGAAAGAGCCGACCACGATTGGACTTGTGATCGACAGCCAGCCAACGTGGTAGCCGACAACGGCCCACGCAGTCAAGCGGCCTGGCTCAAGATTTTAGTTTAGATGGCGGCGCCGCGGTGGCCGGGGCCGTAGGCTCGGGAGTTCGAAGGCCACGGGGGTTCGGAATGGCGTCCGAAGTGACCTCTGGGGCATCGCTGTCCTCAAGATGTGATGGTTCTTCCTCCACCGAACCGTGGATCATGGTTGGCTTGAAGGGCTCGCCATCGATAGGACTAGGATCATGGCCTCGACCGCTGTTGCTGGCTGAGACCCCAACAGCTGGAGCGTCGCCTTCAGCGATCTTTCGCTTCGTCGAGCTGACGATCTTTTCGGATTCGCTAACTTTGCCGCCTCCAGTGTTGGCATCCCCTTCCACTCCGATAGGATCATCCTTGTTATTGTGCTGATCTAGTAGAGCCGCCTTGTCAAATCGCACAATCATACATGACAGGTTGTCAGTACTGAAGCGGGCTAAAGCATGGTCGACAAGTAGCTTTGCAGCAGCCACAGGGTCTTGTATGTCGCGAACGAGATCAACTGCCTCCTGGTCTGAGCAGACGTCCCAGAGCTAAAAAGAAAGTGTAAGCAACGACCTTACATATGCAATGAAGGTGGTTGTTTTGACTTACCCCATCGCAAGCGATGATCATGAATTCGTCTACCTCGGGCTGAATCACGGTCTCGGTGGTATATGGATGACCAGTCACGAGATCTTTCATGTACGTATCACCAAGCGCTCTCGTGACAGCCAACACGCCGTTCACGCGATTGTTGAGTATCAAGCCTCCAGCATTACCAATGCGCTTGCCTTCATTCTCATCACTCCCCTTGTGGTCATATGAGAGTCGAAGAGCTTTACCGGACCGGCAAAGAATGATGCGAGCATCACCAACGTTCGCGGTGTAAAGAACTCGTTGTCGCACTGCGGTACCTTTTAATCTTGCGTGAGCTGATTCTGGGACCGCAATGGTGTTGCCATCGTCTTCCGACTTACTGTCCTTGGACTTGGACGCGTCTGAAGCTTTCGAAGCTGCAGCGGCTGCCGGGGCAATAGCTTGGGAGCCAGTTGCAGAATTCGAGTTAGGAACCCTGTCTTCCCAGCGCAGAACGGCGACTGCTGCGGTGCAACCGCTGTTCTTAAGCGGCAACTTTTCGAGCTGCGTATCGACGCTGGTGAAGGTCTGGTCGAGCAGTTCAGGGATGGGGACGTTCGGGTGCCGGCGGATGAAATCCTCGAGGATGAGGTGTAGTTTCTTACCGCACCAATCGGCAGCAAAAGTTCCAGCGTGCCCATCGAATATTGCGAAGTAGCCGTTGTCGGTTTCGATGATGTCTTGCGATGATGCCTCAAGTTGAGCATCATTATCATCTCCAGACTTCTGAGACTTCACGCTCTTGCTGCCCGTTTCCGGGGCCAAGAGAGGGGCGGGCGTATGTAAGAAGTTGTACAAGAAGGCGTGAGTGTCTTCCATGGTGCGACGGCATTTCTTGTTTCTGTCCTCCCAGACACCGACGCGGAAGGTAGATCTTGGTCCTGGAATGGAATCACCTGCCGAGTTGTTGTGCTGGCCCTGGGGCACCGCGAGCGACTGGTCCTGCTTGCCCAATTTTTGCAGAGGCGTCTGTGTACTGAGGTCGCTGTTTGTCCTGCCGCCCTGGGAGAAGTTCAGGGAGTTCTTCGCACTAGCTATGAGGCTGCTTGCTTTACTTCCAACACCACTACTTCTACGCTTCTTCTCTGTGTCGCCGTTGTCCGCGTTCTGTCGTCCGGGCGGGCTGCCATTACCACTGCGCTTCTCGCCGCTGGCAGTTGAGCCGGAAGGGTTTGATGGAGTTCCATCAGGAGCCGAAGCGGGCTTGGAGTCCGGAGCTGGAGTTTTCTTGTCTGGGTTTGCCGAGTCCGTGGCCGCGGCGTCGGATTTGGCGGCGGAGGAGCTGGAGCTGCTGCCGAACATCCTATTCAGCAGACCTCCTTGAGAGGAGAGACTGCGCCGCTTGTTTCCTGCCAGGTTTTCGAAGGTGGAGGTTGTCGCCGGTGTGGTTGATATACGCCGCTAGAAGGTATAAATGCGCCGAAGTGGTCGAGCAGATGATGAGGCGCCAAGATGTTATGTCGCAGGAGAGTCCGGGTGGGTATCGGAATGTGAGATACGAGGTGACGATAAGAGGAAGGTTAAAGAACCGAGCATATAAGGTGGTCAAGCATGTACCGAATCGGCGTCATGCGTGGCGTTGTATGTTTCGATTCGGGTATGATGTCTGACAGAGGCGGGGTGGTTAGAGATAGTACAAAGGCGGTCATACGCGGGTGAACAAAGACGACTGAAGTCCACACAGGTGCAAGAGGCGACAAACTTGACTGACTTGACTGCCTTACAATGACTGATGACCAAGTCAGAGAGAGACAATCAGGCAAGCATTGGAATATGGGATCTGGGATCTCGAAGCTGGGAGATGGGGCACGCAGGGCTGGTATGGGAAATGGCAGGCTACCTCATCACACAGGTGATAGGTGATAAGTAGGTACCTAGGGCAAGAGGCATTGACTTTACTGACCAGTGAATCACGTCCGCTTACCTGCAACATCAGACGGAAAGCCGGATTGGGTCCTAAGGTACGCGAAAGAGAGGGATCCGGGATGAGCCGCGGCGGAAATCACAAACGTTGTGTCGCAGGTTGATATACCCAGGTAGGGTAGGGCGTGCTCGTGGTGGTGGTGGTGGTGGTGGCTGTTGATTTGGGGACTGATGAATGGAATCGTGGGCTGCGTGGGGTCACGAAAGACGGGATGCGATGCAACAGATGATGGTGCTAGGCAGGGTGGCAGGGTGGCGGGGTGGCAGCCCGGTGGCAGGGACGAGGGGAAGTCTGTTGGCGGTTGCTTGGTCCGTGCTAGCATGCCTGAGGTTATCTACGGCGCTAAAGGGAAGCGCTGGGAGTGACGTCGGCCGCTCAACCGGGCCTGAACTGGATCCATCCGTCTGTCAGCTGCCGGCTGCCACTTGGGGTTAGACAGTATTCTTCTTCCAAGGCAGTAATGTGGAAACACTCGACCAGAGAATTATTGGACCAGACATATCTGCGCACGCAATGACAAAGAAGCATTTGCATTTCTAGTTCATTTCACAACGCGTTTGGCTGAACAACGTGGCTATTCTCGGGTCCTCGCCTGGCAGCCTGGATGTCATCATATTGCCTTATTAGTAGCAGGTAGTATAACCCCGGTCCCCGCAATAGAATGCACGATGACCGACGGGCGTGATTCAACGCATCATGTCTTAGTCAGATAGACACGTAGGCAGCTGTACCTTAATATTTAGTTAGACCCAAGACCCCTGTTTTATATAATAACGGTCTAGATGAATACATGGAAATAAATGACATCGCCTGCGTTTCATGCAAGCAGGCTGGAATCTCAAAACGTGAACGGATCAGAGACGTGGAGGAGGAAACATTGCAATGGAATATACGAGTGCGAAGAGGGGCTCCAGCATTTGCGCCTTCGGGGACCGGATGACAGCCGGATATAGTTGCCCCACCCCATCCCGACCGCAGCCGGATTGATAATCAGACGGGACTGGACATAGCGGCTTTGCTGCCGAGTGACATACGGCCTCCAGGCAATCGTCGTTGTAGACTTATCAGTGTCTCGGACTAGGTAGGTAGGGATCAAGGACCACTCTCAGCAATCAGACCCAGACAGACATGCCCGAGACCATCGGCCCCGCGTTCCCAGACCGGGCCACGCCGCTCCTGAGCTACAACATCCCGTTTACGGAGTCCCTCCTCAAGCACGCCGAGTCCACCTTCCACCACGCATCAAAGGTCTACCTGATCTGATCTGCTCGGGCTCGCTGGCCAAGAACACGGGCCATCTGGACGATGTGAAGCGCGAGCTGGGCCGCAGGCTGGCCGGGGCCCGGGTCGGTATGAAGCCGCACTCGCACTGGGACGAGATCCTGGAGGTCGTGGCGGACGCGAGTGCGTGCGGCGCGGATCTGATCGTCACGCTCGGGGCCGGCAGCTTGACGAATGCGGCGAAGGTGGTGTCGTTTGTAAGTCGTCATCGATGTCGTTTTCGTTGCCCCCCCTAGCTATCCGGGTCAATTATATAGATATAGACCAGATATGCCAGGAGGTCAACTCGTGGCTGATCCGGTGCCAGGCCCTTGCCAACGACGTCTCAGCGCACGAAGAGATCAACACCATCTGCCCGACGAGCCCGCACAAGCGCACAACCATCAACCCCTCCGCCATCCCGGTCATCTGCATCCCGACCTCGCTCTCCGGCGGCGAGTACTCGGCCTTCGCCGGTGCCACCAACGAGAGAGATGGGCGCAAGTATTCGTTCTCGGGCGGCGGCATGAGGGGCCCCGCGCTGGTGATCCTCGACCCGGCGCTCACCACCACGGCGCCCGACCGCATCTAGCTGGGCACGGGCATCATGGCCGTGGACCACTGCGTGGAGACGCTGTGTTCGCTCGGCAGCGACGACGCCGCCGACGCGGACGCGAGGCGGGGGCTGGCGAGGCTCGTGCCGGCCTTGTTGAGGTGCAGGGAGGATGCTGGGGACCTCGAGGCCCGCCTGCAGTGCATGCTCGGCGCGAAGGATGCGATGAGTGCTTCCGGTCGGGCGTGCCGCTGGGGGCTAGTCACGGTATAGGGCACCAGCTCGGGCCCGCCGGTGTCGGGCACAGCGAGACTAGCTGCATCCTCAACCCAGCTGTGTGCAAGTTTAACTATGCAAAGAGGTCAAATGTAGAGCGGCAGGATGCGATCTGCAAACTTCTCTGGGACGATCCCAAAGCCGTTGGGGTTTTTGAGAAAGTGGGCTTGAAAAGGGGTTCCGCAGAGCTGGGAGATCCCATGGACGCCATAATCTGTGCACTGTTTATGCCACGGACTCTCAGGGAGTTTGGTATCGGCGAGGATAAGCTCGACGGCATTGCAGAGCACAGCTTGACAGATCGATGGGTCAAGACAAACCCTGCACCACTGGATAAGAAGGGCGTGCTTGAGATCTTGAGAATGGTGCTCGGGTGAGCTGAGCCACCGGATAATATGTATAATGAATCGTAGTACACACAACAGATCTTGACTCCATCGAAGAACCATAACTCCAGTAGCTCTGCACCAACCTAGAACGCCAACGTAATCTCTCAGTGCTAATTCGAACCCAGCGCATCAGTTGTAGGGTAGGTATCTGTCTTCGCCACAAGACCTACTACTTTCTGAGACTATCAAGGCGAGCCTGAAGGTCGTCATCGCCTGGGTCACCGCCTCCGCCGCCGCTGGGACCGCCGATTGCTTGGGCGATCCTGTTCTCAGCGACCTTGTCGGACTGTAGACTAGTCGGTGTCTCGCCGAACTGTATGTCCATTAGGCTTTGGTTCCGATCGTTTATATTTTAGGGAATACTCACGGATTGGTTGAGGTCCACACCGATCTCCTCCAAAACTTGTTCCACAACCTCGTCACCCTCCTCCTCTATGCCTGTATCCATTGCATCGTCGATGGCGTCGTCCATCATTTCTTGCCTCTGTTCCATTACATCGTTCTCGCGTTCGAATTCCATAGCGATTCGCTGCAGGGCGGGTAGGTTCATGGATCGATTCATGCTGCCCAGGGCCATCGTGGCTCCCTTCATGGCTTGCATCATCTGCTCGTTTGTTCGATGGGTCTACAGCGCTTCTGTTCAGCGCAACGTGGTGGGAGGGTATAGAGGCAGGCGACTGACCTGAAGGCGCAAGGAGATCTTCTGCAGCTGACTCCGCATTCCGTAGAACTTCTCGACATATCTTTTCATGACGTTAGGCATGCGTTTCTTCTAGAGCCTGGGGGCGTCGCATGTTCTGACCTTCTCGTCCGCACCAGATCCTTTGCTTGTATCTTGGCTGCTCCAATCTGACCCTTCTGCGCACTCTGCTTGATCTGTCCGACCAGAGTCTTCTCCTGCTTCTCCAGCTTGACTCGTACTTGGTCGAGCTCTCGGATGGCCTTATCGAGCATGCGCTGGTTCTTCCGCAGTCGCTCTGCGGGAGTGATGCGCTTGCCGAACGCCCATTCTAAGATCTGGCCGTACGCCATCAGCTTCTTGCCATCTCCTGGAAACCCTTGCAGAGGTCCTGCCGACAGGGAGAATACGTAAGTAGGTGCTTACATTCATTGTACCGTTCAGATGTATGGCTCTTGTATGGAGTAGGCGAGGTCGTTGCCAATCGGTTCGGCTCGTTTGCTGCTCGTTCTCGCGTATACAATAGACACAACCCTTGGGACGAGTGGAATGTTTGGCGGGTCAAAAGGGCGTTGTCACCGTTCGCTCTCCTGAGGCAATCCGGGTGCCTGAATCGGGTGCGTCTGGGTGTTGCGTCGTCAACGTGTGAGGTTTCCTGGCTGCCTGCGCAATGGGACAGCTTGGCTTGGCTTGGGACGCCGACCTTCGATTACAAGTTAAAGTAGTGGGGTCCTTTCCGCTACGTAACTTTGTGGCTCCTCAACCCATTTTCCAGCCACAATGACGGATGGGTCACGGACCAGGATACAAGGTACCTTGGAGCCCAACGGGTACCCGTTTGTACCTGTTTTGTACCCAACTGGGATGATAGCTACTTCTGGGATGGGGACACCACCCATCCCTTCTTTCAATCAAGCAACTTCCAGAATACAGACCAATAGCCACTTATCGTGACCCTGGTCCTTATTCTGGATACCGCTACCACAAGGCACAACTTGGGGTGCAGATCGCTTTGTCGCATATTCCTCATACCCACATATCCTGCTGCACATATCCTTAAATGAGAGGCCCATGTGACTAACGATTAATTAGCGGGCATTGATAGCATCGGGTGCCGGGTGGGACAGCTGAGAGTCCAGCCAATCACCGTCGGTTTTCACCAAATTTCGCCTCCCAGCAAGAATCGGAATTTAATGACGGGAACAGTCAATGCGAAGCTCCAGAGTGGACTAATAACTCATCAACCCGACGTATTGCGAGAGGGATTGTTGCCAAAACATCACGCCACAAACCTCACCTATCGCCCTTTCCTCCTCCGCCATCGTCCTACCTCGTATCGCCTCCTCTTTCGACCGTACAGGATAACGCGCTGTATCTCCATGGATCCGAATATCTAGCCGTCGCCATGAGCCAGGATTACTTCCCATCCGCGTCCAAGGGCAAGGCTCCGGCCGCCGCCAGTGGACAGGACGACAACCAAGCTGACACCCAACCTCCATCGACATCAGCGCGGCCAGCTTATATGACCGTTGGCACCGGCTCGACGTCGCAACATGCTACGCGACTGCAGTCTATTCTTGACAACGATTCGGGCTATGGTGGAAGCATAGCGGGTGACGAAGCTGCTTTGTCAAAGCTGCCTCTAGGCTCGTCCCGGACCGATCCCTCCTTGTCAGCAGACATGCCGTTGAACCGTCGACCTACTGGGAACCCCGAGACGGATCAACGGAACCAGCTCGCAGCCATATCTCAACTATGGTACAATCAGCAGCGAGTCGCCCTTGGGCGCTCCATCAACAGGGTACTCGAGCTTCTTGAGGGCCTCCAAGAGATGAACGTCACCTGGCCGGCGCATTACCCGTCTGTCCAACGAGCCGACGCCACGAGCAACGGAAGGCGGCCGTCGTCGTCTTCTTCGTCGCGACCGGTCCTTCAACACGCCTTCTCTATGGCACCTGGCGAGCCGTCGATTCCACATGGCCATCCTGCACACCTGCGGCGAACCATGACGAACTTCGTCGACCATGAAGCCGCTGCCGCCGAATCGAGCAAAGACGCTGAGAGCAAAGTTGCCGCCGACGCCCCTAGACTCGTCACCCCCCAGATTGCTCAGGAATTCTCCGTATTGAAGCTAGATCTTAAACTAGGCGCTTTGCATCAGACCGAGCTTGTCCACTCCCTCGAAAAAGGTTCGGTCGCATCCTTGCTCGACGGCAAGATTCGCACGAGCATGAAACATCTGGCTTCACTCAGGGAACGAATCGATGACACTGCCAGCAAGGTTTTAGTGACGGGAGACTTGAATGCGGGCAAATCGACATTCTGCAATGCTCTGTTGCGACGCAAAGTTCTACCTGAAGACCAGCAACCATGTACGAGCATATTCTGCGAGGTGTTGGATGCTAGGGAAAATGGCGGCATCGAGGAAGTCCACGCTGTTCACATGGATGCCGTCTACAACAGGCATGATGAATCGACATACGACGTTTTCCCCATGAAGGATCTGGAAAAGATCGTCATCGACAATACTACCTACATGCAGTGCAAGGTCTACGTGAAGGATGTCCGCAGTATCGATGAGTCATTACTCAACAACGGAGTGGTGGACATTGCGCTCATCGACGCGCCGGGCCTCAACTCGGATACGACTAAGACGACCGCCATATTTGCGCGGCAGGAAGAAATTGACGTCGTCGTCTTCGTTGTTTCTGCCGCCAACCATTTCACTCAGTCCGCAAAGGAATTCATATGGGCAGCCGCTTCGGAGAAGGCATACATCTTCATGGTCGTCAATGGATATGATATGATTCGAGATAAAGAACGATGCCAGAAAATGATCTTGGATCAGGTGTATGGTTTGAGCCATCAGACCTTCAAGGAGTCCACCGAACTGGTGCATTTCGTATCCAGTAATGCCGTGCCCATGGCGCCATCGCCTCCAGGTGGCCCGGGTGGGAGTGGCGGTGGTAGCTCCAGCGGTGGGGGTGGAGGTGACGACCCGAGTGATGATCCCAAGGGCAAAGGAAAAGAAAAGGAGAAGGTTCAAGATTTCGAAAAGTTGGAGCAGTCTTTGAGGCGTTTCGTACTGGAAAAGCGAGCTCGATCGAAACTCGCCCCAGCCAAGACGTACCTCACGAACATTCTCAATGATGTCAACGTTCTTGCTACCGTCAACTCGGAAGTGGCACAGTCTGAGTTGGATCGAGTGACGAGAGACCTGCAAGTGCTCGAACCACAGCTTGAGTCGTCCAAGAAAGCGAAGGCGGAAGTCAGCGACCAAATCGACCAGACTATCGATGAGACATGCAAGGAGATATATGACCACACACGGACGACGTTGAATTCTGCAATCACTCATGCCGGCGACAGCAACCTTGGTGTACCTTACCCAGGTCTATTCAATGCCTTCCAGTATGCCGAGGATCTGAAAGAGGCGATGCTATCCGAGATCTCATCTTCGGTCACCGCTTGCGAGGAAAATGCTAGAGCGCGGACGGTCGGTGGTGTCAATGCGATAAAACAACTCGGCTTATTGCATCTTGGTAACGAATACCATGATCTGAACTTCCGCTCCGATGTAATGTTCAAACGGCGGCGAGACTTACTAGCAAAGCAAATCGACATACCAACTGAGTTCTGGGATTTTGTCGACTGGTCTACTGTATTGCAACGTCAGGAGAAGGTTGCTGGTACAGGTATGGCCTTGACTGTCGCTACGGCCGTCGGTGGGCGTCTGGTTGGTGGCATGGGTTGGATGGACCATGCGTTGAGTGCTGTGAAGATCGTTGGGAACGACAACCTACGGAGGATGATCATTCCTGGTCTGGTTATAGCAGGTATGTCCGCTTTTCTGCAGCCCGATGGTGACTTTTTGGCTAATCATGTAACTCATAGTCGTTTCCGCTACTGCTTACGTCCTTCGACAAATTCCTCAGTCGCTACCCCATCGCTTGTCTACCAAGCTCTCTACACAGCTTGCTGCCATTGACTACGTCCACTCAAACAGTACACGTATTTCAAGCTCCGTCCGCAAGGTTCTTCGATTCCCTGCCGACAACCTTCGAGTTGCCCTGACCCGGTCTGTTGAGCAACTTGGCGCTCGACGCGAAGAGACCGTGAAGGTCCGCAAAGAGAGCGAGGTGGCCCTCAAATATTTCAGCAACCTCGTCCGAAATAGCGCCCACCAACGCGCTCTCGTTGAGGAGGTCGATCTTGAGGCACATCCTCAAGGTGCCCTCGGCATCAGCACTTCCTCCTAAAACAGCAGATTCCCTTTGTGCTTGGCATCGGATGGCGTTTAGGAAATCAGCACCTCCAGATTCCCCGCACACCACTATGTCCGTTCTTGGGCAATGGTACTTGGTTCTTTCCCAGCTTTCACTACGGCCGATGAATGATGAGCAAAGGAAAATAAACTAGATTGGCAAGGGAGTTATGCAACGCGCGGTCTGCGGTCCCTGTCTATTGTACGAATAACAGCTCTTCTCATTCGAGACTGCATTCTCCCCCTCACCCTTCCTGTACCTACTTTTAGTCTGAAATGCGAAATGACACACTACCTCATTACCAGTCACTTGTTTATACACTCCGAGCTCTTCACCTTGAACTTGCTAAGCGCACTGCCTAATTTTAGCGTTATAGAGTTTATATGTCAGATATGTTCTTGATACAGCATCATTGTCCGATTCCGACAAATCATTATGGTCCTTGTCCGGCGGTGAAGGGACTTCGGCACACACGGGTACAGGAGATGAGGGAATCAGCTTTCTGACTTGAAATCAAATATGTTCTTTAAGGACCTACCAAATAAGTACGGACCTACCACCTACCTTCCGGTTGCTCTTTGGTACTTGTATATATATTAGGTCCAATCCTAAGCAGTATCACCCCCGTCCGAACAATCGGGACCAGCCGACTTGTGAATTTCTAAGAGAAACCACCATGTCAAGAGACTTGCGTCTCCGGATGAAAGGACTAGTGTCTTCCATGCCCAGACTACTAGAGGGTTCACGTGAACGCAAGCGCAAGCGTTTAGAAGGTCACACCCGTCTCGTTGATCTTCTGGTAGGAGGGCGTGCTTGTATCTGACGTGAAGGAAGAGAAGGGCCGGGACCACCCCTCAGCCTTCTGTGTTCATTCCAGAGGTCAAGTATGAGGTCCCACTGGTAGTCGTTGAAAGCTTCCAGACTCGGGGCAGTCAATCTGCTCCTGGTCACTCTTCTCCTCAGCATGTACTGGTCCACCAAGGCCGTGGACAGGGTCTTGAACGCGCGGAGGTCCGCAATGCCGTGCAGCCACGCTTCGTCGGATTCTTCGAGTTTGAAGGCGAAGGCTTGGGCAGCTGCTAGGATCTTGGCCTGGTTTGGCTCGCACTGCTCCTGAGCCGGGTCGGCTTCCGCTGCGTCATCCTGGCCGAAACATGTATCCAGTATTTCATCGTACACGCGGTCTATTTCTGTTTGGGGCAGACAGCCGTCCTCCTGCTGGATGAAGATGGCCTTGAGCCTGTTACTGATGGCTTGACAGTCTGGGCAGAGACTTTCGGTGTCAACTTGACTGGATGTGGAAGATGTGGTGCTGTTGGGATCAGCGTGGCCGCAGCCGTACGGGTGAACACTCATTTTATAAGTTGAAATCTGTTGCGTGTGTCTACGCTCGATGACGAAAGGCAGGAGATAAATTTTGTTGGTGAACATCGAGAGATGGGGAGGAATGGGATGGCAGGCGAGCAGCACGATCTGTGTACACTTGAGCTACTTATCAGGCAGTCAAAGCCATTGTACTGCGACATATTGGCGTCTACAATGAGCCCTTGTTTCTGAGACAGAGGCTCTTTCATCAGGGGTGTCTTCCAAGGAAGGAGAACAAAAGAGCTCACTGGCCGAGATGATTGCCTTTCTTGAAGGAACAATCAAATTATTGTTGACGAGAAGCTGTGAAGAGTGCCCCTTGGACGGCGGGAATCGGGAAAGCATACCCCGTCATCAATACTGAGGCATTGGGGTTCCAATTTGCTCCGTCTCGACTCATTTCTCTTCAGAGGTTGGTATCACCAACAACATATCCTCACGATGGCAGCCACCCTCGCAACTTCCTGTTACGGTATTACCTAATACCTCCACATATTCATGTACATATATACCCCTAGCTTCCCCGTTCTCTTCCGACCTTGCCTCTTCTTCCTTAGATATTGTTGAATCTAGATATTTCATACCATTGAATCTAGATATTTCATACCATCAGCCCTGACCAGCGCAGCTGCAGGCCTGATTGTCACACTTCCATAGAGCGATAAGGCGAAAAGAACCAGCTGAGCCAGAATGCTTTCCCTCGTCCTCGTCTTGACAAAGTGATCTTACGCCGCGCGTTCGCCGTCGCCGAAGACCTGGCTCCTGAACATGTATTTTCGGACTATCGTGCTTTGTGAAAGCCCGAATGGATATACAAAGATAGAGACATCTTATATATATCCTGGGACGGACTCGGTAGCGTGACTTTAGTATTTCTTGCGACACGCACACGGTGCAAGCATGAACTGCCAATCTTACCCCGCGGCTGACGAACAGAGAGGTAGGGTCATGTTGTACATGTATATACAAGCAGTATAAGGTTTGTTGCAATCTATTGTCCCTTTAAACTTCGTACACTCCATTCACTGCCACGATGGGAAAGCCACAGCGCACGCCAGCAGCGAAGTTCGACGAAATTCCCGGGGAGTTACCCCATGGGACGAGGACCTGGCTGGAGGGCTTTGATGGCTGTGGGCACCCTGACGTTGCCGTAACAGCAGCAACATCGAATGGAGGCGAGAACTTAAACGACGACTACGATGCCATCGTGGTGGGTGGCGGCCAAGCAGGCCTTTTTACCACCGGTCGTTTGAAGGCTCTCGGCGTCAGATATGTCTTGCTCGAAAGACGCCCAGAGATCGGCCACGTATGGGCGACACGCTACGAGTCTCTACGCTGGCACACATCGAAGCACTATGGCGCTCTACCCTTCGGTCACACGTATCCGGAAGAAGACGATTACATGCTGCCAGCTAAGCGTATCGGAGCAGGCCACAAAGCTTGGGTAGAGAAGCATGGCATCAACGTGCGGACGAGTACTTCAGTTGACTCAGCGACCTGGGACGAAGCGACGAGTACGTGGACAGTCGTTGCGTCGTCCCCGGACGGACAGCACACTATGACAGCCAAGAACCTAGTTCTCGCCATCGGTCCAGGCCACTTGACTCCAAGCAGACCAGATTGGGCTGTGCCTGACAAGGTAGCAGCAAGCGGCTTCAAAGGCACAGTGCTTCATGGATCGGAATATAAATCCAGCCTCGCCTGGTCTGGGCAACGTGGTGTCGTTGTTGGAACAGCAAACACTGGCCACGATGTGGCAGAGGACATGGCCAACGCTGGCATGCAGACCACGATGGTACAACGAGGAGCCACCTTCGTGTTTCCCGCGGAATGGCTACACAGCTCCGAAGACGTCATGTACAACGCAACAATTGATCCTACTCAAGCAGACCGAGAAGCTTTCACTTACGCGAACAAGATCATGCGAGAGATCATCAACCGTGGTGTATGGAAGGGCATTGCAGGCAGCCCCGAAAGATTCGACGACCTCGAGAAAGCTGGCTTCAAGGTCGAGCGGTATGGCGACATCTACAACAATCTCTACGTGCGGTTCGGGGGTCACTATGTTGACATTGGTGCCTCTGCGAGGATCGCCAAGGGCGAGATCAAGGTAAAGGCCCAGAGTGTCAAGGCTCTGACGAAGGATGGACTGCTCTTTGACGACGGGAGTGAGGTACCTGCGGACTTGCTAGTGCTTGCTACAGGCTTTGATCACGACTTCCGGAACGATGCTGCAAATGTTGTAGGTGTGGACGTCGCCAATCAAATGGATGACTTCTGGGGCGTTGATCGGGAAGGTGAGATCATTGGGCATGCTAAGCTGGCTGGCCTTGAGTACTTCCAAGTTGTAAATCAAACAGTTGCGTTCATGGACCTCAGGCTGCCCGTTTGCAGACCCACACTTGTACTATCACGGCGGCGACATACGCATGGCACGTTTCTTTTCGAGATTTATTGCATTGCAGATACAGGCTGATGCACTTGGAAAACCGTTACAGCGATACCTAGACTAAATCCAGCGACGTCGATGAGCCACTAGGTGGTTCGCTCTACTCGGTAACCCAGAGGATGGGGACCAAGGGGATGGGGGATCGGGGATGAGGACATATATTTTCTAATATGATCAAAAACCAGCATCAGACGTTCCCCCCATGTGCGGTAAAGTAGTCGCCAGGACAAACGAACGGAGTGACTAGTCTAGATGAGCTAGCCGTCAGTTTTCCGACAGTATATGCTGATCTTGGCGGACTGCTGTTCTTTTTTGCTATTTGGCACAACATTCTTTGGAGGTCCTGAGTTCAAATAGCATGCATCTATCTATGTAGCAAGGTTTTTTTTTTGTTCTTTCTTTTTGGGTCATGATCTTTACGGCCCTAAGGATGTTTGCTCCACGCATTCAATATCCACCATTCCTTTCACTTTTTCGGTTTCGTGCCGCCTAAGGTCCCTGAGAGGCCTGCCAGGGCTGGGCGTGCAGGACGGGAAGCAAACGAGCCATACATAACATGCAAGCTCGAGCAATACTTGTCATAGTGTTTTATCTCTGTTTATGTTTCGCTCCCTATCTACATCTCGATATCATCACACATTACCTTGACATACCCATGATCTCTTCTGGCCCTGTTGCCGTATACGTCTCATTCTGAAGCGGCACACCACTCGTAAGCGTACCATACGGCTCAGCCAGGTGATCCCCAAAGCAAGACCACTCATACTCAGCCTCCTCCAACTTATTGCTCTGCACCTACATGAACGTATTAAGCGCCCACCCACCCGTCATCGCATGCCGCACTCCGGGAACGATACGCCGAGAGGCAGTGTCCGCTGGTTGAAGATGAAATGGATGTGCGTTGCCGGCCTACCGTTCCGTGTAGTAAGCACCTTCAGCACGGGAGCCGTTGAGAGGTGCCGTGGTCTGTCTGTATGACTTCCATTTCCAGGCGTGCGCCGAACGGCTCCATGTGAGACGATGAGGGAGCGGTTGGATGGGATGTGGGTAGCTGGGCATGACTGGGGCAAATTGGGAGAAACCAAAGGCGGCCAATGTGCTCTATAAGTAGTATCCCATGGTCAGCAAGCGCTTCCGAGTAGGTATCTCAGTCATACCAGACAATCGTATGTGCCAAGTGGCGAATCATAGCCCAGGGGACCTCTCAAAGCCTCGCAATACTCTTTACGTTCTCGCCATCTCGCCTCAGCGGATACGCGAGCCCAAAGCGCTCTTCCATATCAATGCTGCGTTTGGAGCTTTTCATGGCGAGTAAATATGATTAATGCTTGTGGTCGGGGAGCTGAGGGTTGACCCTGCAGCCAGGGGGGTACGGCTTCTAGCAGTGTCACATCGTTGACCTTTCGCTTATACCTCCAAGCAGGCCGTCTGGCTTGTGGCGCTGCCATTCTGCCCCTTTATCCTGTCACCAGCACCCATCGCATCGACCGCGCATCAGACTGATTCCACTCCTTTTCCAATTGAGTAGCACAAATCTCCATCACTGGTGACTATGTTGAGCGATCAACTCAAATTACCAGAGTGACAGGAGGTTTGTGCCCCTTCGATCCGTCTAGTAGCGTGCATACTCGAAATGCCCTGAAGATGTACGCTTATCGACCGGCTATTGCAGGAACTCAGCTCTTTCTGTTGTTGTTGATACTCCATCAGTTTTGACTGCTGGGTTCACCTTTCAATCACCATGAAAAAGGCCTCCAGACTGCTTGCGGATTATGGTCATTTGTTTCTTCGGCTCCCTTCCTAGAGGCTACGTCCAAGTCGAGCCGGTCAACGCGGTAGAGCTCGAGGCACGTAGTTGGGGTTGAGTCAGCCACAGCTGCACCTCAGCCACGATCCCATCAGCCACAAACATCTCGCTAGCCCTGTGAGATCCGTGCACTTTTCGCCCACAATCCAAATTCCATTTTTGATTTTGCGCATCAGCCAATTCTCTCGAGCCTCAACGCCGGCTTCCAACCCACCTCGACCACTCCCTCTCCCTTCCGTATCCCCAAGACAAGAAGGACAATCCGCAATCATGTCGGCCGCCAACAAGATCGCCCCTAACAGCCCTTCGCGCAACAACCCGTCGGAGCTCGAGACCAGCATTGCTGGTGCTCTGTACGACCTGGAGACCAACACTGCCGACCTGAAGGCTGCTCTCCGACCTCTGCAGTTCGTGTCTGCCCGCGAGGTGAGAAGCCATTGAACCTTCAATTCATGCACCTAGGACCGCACTTGCCTCCTATTCCAAAACCACAATGATCGCCTGTCCGCCAAGACTGCCACGCATTCGATCCTCCAAGCAGCGATTCCTGCTACGACTCGTCTACGATATTCACACATCGAGATGGGTTGGCTGTGAGGGGATGATTGCATGAGAAGATCATCATGAAAAATTGATATGAGTGGAATAGGACGGGAAGCGGTCCAAGGAACATGTTTTTCCAAAAACTGTCCTGGAGCTCGCATGCTGACGTTGGGTCTTGAATAGATCGAAGTTGGCCACGGCAAGAAGGCTATTGTCATCTTTGTCCCCGTCCCCTCCCTGCAGGGCTTCCACCGTGTCCAGCAGCGGTAAGCATATCTCCCGACACATACCCTTCTGGTGGAGTGGATGCTGACGCTTCTTTCAGCCTGACCCGTGAGCTCGAGAAGAAGTTCTCCGACCGTCATGTCCTGATCCTCGCCTCGCGCCGCATTCTGCCCCGCCCCAAGCGATCCGCCCGCTCGCGCAACACCCTCAAGCAGAAGCGACCTCGCTCGCGAACTCTTACCGCCGTCCACGATGCCATCCTGGCCGACCTGGTCTACCCCGTCGACATCGTCGGCAAGCGCATTCGCACCAAGGAGGACAACAGCAAGCTGCTGAAGGTCATCCTCGACGAGAAGGAGCGTGGTGGTGTCGACTACAGACTCGACACCTACTCTGAGGTCTACCGCAGACTGACGGGCCGCACCGTTACCTTCGAGTTCCCCCAGTCTGGTGCCACTGAGTACTAGCGTTAGTCAGGGTCGAGCAGGAAGCTAGGGCTGGCGATTGGCATGGTATAACTTGCATTTGCTGCTACACATCATGACGAGATGATGGCAGCATAGGGAACTTCACGGGCCAAAAAGAGGCATGGCGTTTAGATAGCTTGTGATCCAATCAAGCATAGGCTGGTTTTCTGACGCGTATCACCGCATCTTGATGTGTGCCACTGTGAAATCCACAAGATGGAGTAATTTTGACAAGAACACAGCAGATCACTGAATCGTGGACTTGGAACTTCTAGCTTCATTTCTCTCATGGGTATCGTCGATTGCTTTTCTTTATTCCTGACTGATGCGGCCAATGCCAATGGTACACCAATATGCCAGTTCCTTCTTCTCCCTCGCATCCTTTTCCTTGCCCGTGGACGTGCTCATCTGATCATGCGATACGTCACCCTCCCACTCCAACCGCACAAACATGGGTATCTCCAACACGTCCTCGTCCTCCTTCAAAGGACTCAGATCCGGCTCAGGTTCCCCCTCTTTTCGTAGCAGGGCTGGGGGCGCCTCAAGACTCAGTGACGCCGGCACGACCTCGACGACGATAGTGACCCAGTTGTGTCCACGCTCCCAGATCTTGCCTGCCTCGGCCTGGTGTGTGCCACCTTCGGTGCCCCTCCGCCGCCGCCCTTGGATGTCCTTATTGTCATCTTTCAACGCGTCGTCGACGAGGTACATGCCCGATTCCGTGCTGGGGTCCATCTGGAACTGCGGACACAGCACTGTCACCCGGGACGCGAAGCGGCCGGGCGTCGTGGCGGGCGTTGCGAGCGTCACCTTAACTTCGTCGAAGAGCGGGTTCCTGAACGTCAGCAGGTACTGCACGGGCTGCAGTGGCTTGAGCAGAGCCGGGGGCGGATTAAAAGGCTTGATGGAGATGGAGGGGATCGTGGTGTTTGCCACGAGCCGCATCCTAAATCGAGTATTGGCGACCTTTGACTCGGGCTTGCTGATGATGTGCCGGCAGACTGGACAGCGCTTAGACCGCTTCGTCCGTAGGAGATACGGTATCGGCCACAGCTCCTCGGCGAAGCGGGCGCCCTCTTCGACCTGTGACTTTGCCTGGTCCCCTATGACGGTGCTGTCCCAACCGTCGCGCCGCAGTTGCGAAACAGCTGAGCTGTCGTCAAGATCGAGTGCCCGGAACCCTTCACTAGCCGAGTCCGCCTCTCGCGTCATGGTGCCCTTGCTCTTCTGTTTGTGGCTCCCCGCATTGTTGCCAGAGTATATGCTCATGATGCGGGAGAGAGCCCCCGGAGAACTGAAGCCGTAGTCGCCCAGGCCAGAGCTGGGGTTGGCAATGGCATTCTGAGCGCTGTAGAACGACCTCATGGCCGAAAACCTCGCTTTCATTGTTGCCGCTACGGAGTCCGTTTTCGTCGGGGAGGTATCACCGCCGACGGCGTGTTTGGAGTGGCTATCCTCGCCATGCCGCAGCTTCTGGAGCTGGGCAAAGATGCCCTGCGGCTTGTCGAACTTGACGCCGATCTCGGACGAGTTCCAATTGCAGTATGAACAGCTCAGGATCCAAGGCCCCGCAGGCGTCGTCGCCGTGTTGGCGTTATCGGCCGACAGGAGAGAGGGCTCGGGTGCGGATTCGAGGGACTGGACGGCTAGGGGCCCGATGCATATCGGGCATTGGAAACAGCTGCGCGTACATCTGACCACAGGACCCGAGTTAATCTCTACTCTGCGCAAGAGGGCAACATGCGGTGTGATGTCTAGTATCGGGGACCGGAGACCGGAAGGCGGAGGCAATGTGGTGTGTTGCGATGTGTGCCGCTCCATAGTGTCTGTCACACCGCACTGAACTGCACGTACCTGTTCCCTTCGGTCTTGAGACTGCTGCTCGCCACCTCGAACAGACAGTTCGGACAGTAGATGGTCACAAGCTCCTCGGCGACACAGCGGGGGCAGCGGATCTGGTGGCACACATCGCACCACAGCAGGTACTCGAGGGGGTACAGGCTATAGTTCGAGCGGGGAGCACGCGGGTCGAAGTTGTGGTCGTCGTCATCGTCGTCACTGGAGTGCGGCGAGGTCGGGGATGGCGCGTCTTCGGCTGGGCGGCTCTGGCTGGTGGTGGTGGTGGTGGTGGTGGTATCGTGGCAGGGACATTGGATGTACGTGTAGGGTGTAAACGATGCCATTAGAACTTCCCCAGGTCGTCTGTCACATTGCCGCAGCCGCGACTAGCAGCGAGATCTGGTGCAAAAGCAGACAGGCTCAGGCTCCTCTGAGAAGAGACCTCGTAGGTCCTGGTATGGTGGGATGCTATGCAGCTACAAACGGCGGCGGATGTTGAATCGGTTTGAAGCGGCACCTAATATTCAGACGCAGCTGGAGCTTAATTGAATTCCAATGCAGCGGGAATGGGGAAAGTCCAGTCGGGTCGGGCATCCGCACCACCTGCGCCCAGCTGGAGGTGCAGGTGGTGACCTAATCCTGGTGATGCCCGTGCGGGGCCCCGACCCGGATCATCCAATGCGGGGTTATCGGGGTTGTCCACGTATCGGAGCTGGAGGTAATAGGTACCCGACCTTCGCATTCCCGTCCACCCAGCTGCCAGCCCTCCAGTTTGTGCGGCAGACACTCATCAGAACTACCACCCGAAAGGAAGCTCCCAGCCTTCCATCCCGCCAGCCTCAGCGGGATTACGAGAAGCACCAACTGGCAAACGTCGTGCAACGAAGCTACAAGGCTGCTTTGCCGACATACAGAGTACCCCAGCGAACCCCCACAGTGCACGCACGGGCAGGCTGGACCCAGAAACCACAACGCTCACCGGCATGGCATGGCATGGCATGAAGCGCGTCTACCTCACGTCAACGCCTTCAACAGGATGTGTTCCCGAGTGGAGAGCTTGTCATTTCCTGGAATCCCAGCCAGCCCAAGTCTCGTCTCGGTCAACCTGAAACTCTCCTGTCAAGACTCGGCAGGAATTGCTCTTCGTCTTGCCCCTCGCCAGTGCTCCACGGGAAATCTCAGACGTTGGGATAGCCCGGTGCCAGAGATGCCGGACCTTCCAACTTATTCATCCGAGTCGATCCTGTCAAAACGAGCCCCAGGTTGAATCTTGACCAGGCCAGGCCAAGCTCTGCCTCTGACATACATGGACGTACTAGAATGCAGCTAATTTAATAGCCGCAAAATTTCCCGATACTGACAGTAGGTGATGATAGCGTTCCATTTCTTCGGCGCCGAAGCACGTGTGATAATGCGACATTCATTCCCTCCTCGCCTGGCAGCGTCGGAGCGGCATTGTTGTAATGAGATCATTTCGAAGAGAGGCACTATTAGAAAGTCGACATACCAGAGAAAGCTCGGCAAGCTTCCTTCACGCAGGCTCTGTAGAGACCCCAATGCGATGAAATCAAGTTCAGATGACAGCGTAATCAACCGTCGGTCTCGTCCCCCAAGGCCAAAGGCAAAGGCAAAGGCAAAGGGGACGCGTGTATGATTAGAATCAGCGACGTTACAACCGGACGGAGAGGGATCCCCCCCAACCAGACGTTGAAGCGACGGCGTGGAGAATATCTCGCCAGTTCATCCATCGCACCTCGGCGAGGATGACGGATGACGCCCATCGTACAGTGCTCCGCCCCGCCGTGCCACGTCGAAAGTAGCGTTTTATTAGCATCGCCGACAGAAAACTCTAATAAATCCGAGGCCTTCTTGCACTACCATCGGAGAGGTTGGCCATGAGGAAAAGACGGGACCCGCTGGAACAAAGCCCACGGCTGGGAGGGCCTGACTGACGACCGTTGAATCAGTCCCATCTCCAGCAGGCACTCGTTCCGACCGAGATCATAGATGTCGAGTGCTCGGGGTCGGGTCTTCCAATCTGCTGCAGTCGAAGGCCGAGGGTTGCATCAGGGGCGACGATCTGCCAGGATCACCCAAGATCCGGTTATCCGATCCGATCCGATCACTTTAGCGGCTCCATCAGTTCCCAGCAAAGACAACCTCGCGAGTCGCCCTGTGACCTGTCGCCGCGCAACGATCTGCCGCTTCCAGAGTCCCAAAGGTTCGTTCTCGCATATGTAGGTAGGCTTTGCTGAAGAGCAGCACCATCCCTGACGTGGGAGGATCAATGACACCATGACCATGACACCATAATGGCTACAACTACAGACAGTAGTAAATAGATCCGTGGCCACTTCAGCCAGCCAAGCTCCACAGTGGCCGACGTCTAGCACGGCGTGGTGTCAGTGGTGGCAGCGCTAGTACGACGCGCAGCAAGCCCGCACCCTCGAGTCGACAGCACTGCTATCTAGGTTAGTATCATGGGTTCTTTTAGGCTGGCGTGGCTGGCTGCGTCGCCGCGCGAGGATATATCCCCTTCCGGGCCAGTCTCCCACCCTCCCACCCTCCCGCCATCCCACCATCCCTCTTGACAGAGTTTTGGGAAGTTGTAGATGCCCGAAGCTTGCAGAGCTCGTCCCAATCCACACACCTCAACGACATGACGAGCCTTCAAGGTTACCGCCTTCTATGACCAGTGCGGGGGGGATCTGCCAGAGGCCGACTTCTGCATAAGCCTGGGTCGACTAGCAGCTAGGCCAATGAGCCAGTCATCGAGACTTCTGCTTGTGTCGTCTTATCTTGTCGACCTTCCAACAGTCTGAGTGCTGGATATCGTGTTTCAGACACACGATGATGTCTGCTTCTGCCGCCTTGCCCAGCGCAGACAGCGCCCCTCCTTCTGGCCCCGTGCATCTAAATACAAGGGTGGGCCCGCCGCTCACACGAGAATTGTCGCTCTACAATGGTATATCGAATCGGTCACGCGGTTGGAAGACGAGAAAGTCCGAGAGAGCCATGGAGCCATCGTCAAGTAATCCCTGTGTCATGAGGTGGGATGGCGCCTCGAGGTCGAGTGCAACCTGGGACAACTTGAGACGGGTGAGTCGTGTCCGCCCTGCCAGAATCGTTGGACTTCCACCTCTGACGACGAACACAGGATCCCGAACTATGGTTCCGGCACGGAAATTGCTATGTACATCTGTACGGTCAAGGACAAAGCCGCAGGGGCCCTGCTTTCAGGGTGCCCTTCGCGGCGCTTCTGGAGGCGAATTGTTATCCTCTAATCGACCGATTCATGTCCCAAGATATCAGCAAGCCGAGTGGTCAGGCTCAACGCGATGACCATGAGCCGGCGAGCTATTTCAGCCGCTCCCAAAGACATAGCCGCATTGAACTCTTCATACCAGCTCCGCCCCATTCAGACAAACACCAGGCGTACAACTATCATCTCGCAACTCGCAACTTCTTCGCCTTCATCTTCCGCAGGTCAATGGTTGGAGAGAGCCTCGGCTCTGCTCTAATCACCCTCATGCATAGCTTGCACGAGTTTCGCACCGAGGATGTGGACATTGTCCAGGACATGAAGAGTTATCTGGACGAAGAGGGTTATCTCCACTTGAAAACTCAGCCATCCCATGCGCTAGCGATATTGCATCTTGCCGAGGTATTCCAGTTGAGAGAGCTCTACATTGACGCATTCGCTCATTGCTGTGGCATGAGCGACCAATTATTTCTGGGCCCCGAATACCAGGTCAGTTTGGAATCCGCTCGGCAATGCTCGATGTCTGCTAACCAATCTAGCTCCTCACTTCAGTTACACGCAAGCTCATCCGCCGCGCACGTGTTGAAATGGACCTGAGGTTAGGACAGAGCGGCCGTATGCTGAGGACGTTTCTTCAGGACGAGCTGTCGGAGGCATATCTGGGTCTATACCCTGGCGCGCGGGCACATCTCGAGCGATTCCGAACCTTACTGCACGGACTGTATGCCGCCCGTTTCGGCTACTACCCGCCTGCATCCATTGATCCACGTACGACGGTGTTCGAAGTAGACGTCTTCCGCACGATGCGAACCGACTTTGAGGCTCTCTACCAGTACCTGGTCGACGAGAGCTTTGATACGTCCCACAACAGCCCCTTTCTGGCTCAGGGCGGTATCTGCACGCTTCAGAGTGTTCAGTCGTTCGATACGAGACACAATTTCCAGACCCTTTACCACCCACTTCCACTTCTTCCCCAGGTGGCTCCACAGAGTACATCATCGCGAAAGGTTGCCTGGCTAAGCAAGCAGATGAAGGCAACCCAGGCCCAACGTGCAAATACACATACAGCCTTGTTAAAGGCCACAAACCAGGGTAGAGGCGACTTGTTGAACAACGAGCTGGTCAGAGCTTACCGCAAGTTTGAAGAGGATTCGACATTCTCGCCTATCAAGGCAGACAAGTTGGAGAATCTCGGACCCATGGATGCCCGCAAAGTCCGGTGGATCTTGGTCTACGCAGTCTACCAGACACTGCGACAGGCAACCGAGCCGCCAGCTGAGGTCAAAGACGCGACTGATGTTCCGTACAATGTCTGCATTTCGACCACTCACTTGCCCCCTTGGAAGGAAGAGCGACCTGTACGTACTCTGGTCAGACGGCAGTCAGACCAGATGATCACTCGCAACCCATCTACTTCGACTGCGGGACGGAGCTCGAAAGTATCCACGCCTCCTCCTCCTTCTACACCTACCTATGAAATCAAACCCGACATTGACTACTTCGCCCTTGTGCACCAGCCTGTAACAGAAAGCAAGGACAGAAGAACAGCTATCACAAGACGCATAAGCCGGACCGAGAGCATTACTCGCTCTCTCTCGCGAAACTCGACTGTTCGACGATCAATCGGGTTCCTCAGAAAGCAGCAGCCAGAAACGATGGCTCATCACCATCCCCTCACACCATGCTACCATGAGATCGTTATTAAATCATATGGCAATGGAACCAATGACGCAGAGGACATCACACCAACCGTACGGACACCACGAAAGACGATGCATCCGATGGCCGAAGTGCTCCCAAGACTGTCCACCTCAGACGAATCTGCCGACTCGAGCAATTCCTACAACTCTGAGGGAGCTAGCTCGCAGACTTCAAACACGTCGGGTGCCGCCAGTCCCACCGAGTCATTTCATTTCTCATGGGACAGCCGACCGAGCAGCGTCTGTGTCTGTGGGCCCAAGAGTCATGCCCATGCGGAAGTGCCCAACTCCACCCATCCCGATATCGACAGGTCCCCTACATTGCACCAGGACAACGCGTCCGGCATACCCAGCATTTCTTTGCCCTTTCAGCGACGTCCTAACAGCGTACACTGCGGAGCCCTCAAGATAATGGAGCCCCTACCTCTTAACATTCGCAAAGCCAACACGTTCGCACCCGACCTCTCCCTCGAAATGCCTTCCCCGCGGACCCCCACATCCTGGGATTACATCAAGGCCGTCATGGAGGTAAAGGCCACGAATATGTTGGACGAGATCCATCCCGAATGGGAGCAGTACACTGATCTCGGTGGACATACGCCAATCAAGTCTGCAGTGACCACCCCGGATCACTCCATATTCAAAAGAAACTCATTCAAAAGGGCTTCGACGATGTACTAGGTCGATCGAGAAGAACGACGAGAAACGGACGAGCTATGGGAGATATTAGTACGAAGAATGTCACGAGTGAAGATGGGATAAGCTGCGACATAATCGATCGCTCACACACACGATTCCTTCGACCTCCTTTTAATTCTCTCATTATGTCGCATGATACCCAAACTTACATACAACATCACATTCATTAGAACCGGCGTCCGGGTTTGGGGGATACAATATTCACTCGTCACTGGTTGTCTGCCAAAAAGGGAGTTGATGGGAATTCCAGCATTGCGTCTGCGTGAAATTCATGTATCGTATTGGGAAACATATAATGAAATTACAGTGCATAGATTATTATTGACTGGCCTTGATGCGTGCTCCTTCGATGTGATGGCTGCAACCACGACCGTGGCTCGTTATTTGGGCCCAGAGGTGCTCCCACTTGATAGAAGGTGACAAACGTTCGAGCCGAGCACCAGCAAAACAACATGGGAAGGGTTATAGGTCGGACGCTCGAGTAAACAAAGCTCCACGAAGATGCAGGCTGGGTGTGGTGGCGAGCCATTTGCATGCACTCTTTTCCCGATCTCGATGCTCCGGTTTCGTGCGAGAAGCCGGTCATACATACGTCAGGCTGAGTAAGTACCTTGTTGTCGATATGGACGCGGTGCTCCCCCTATTTCATGCCCCTACCGCAACTGGCTCGAACCCCCCCCTTTTCCTAACCAGTCGGCAACCCCTGAGGTGTGCATATGAGTGAGTGTATGACACGATTGTAAATACGCAGGGAATGCTCGCCTTGGCTAGTCTCACAAAGAGGCGAGTTAGGTGAGTTGACCAGAAAACTCCAGGGTATGATGCAACATCGTCATAGTTGTATGTTATATACATGACCTCAGCAAGAGAACGAAACAGTAGCAGTTAAGAGGTCGTTTGTAGTATGCTTGGTTCGCATTGACTAACTAGGGCAAGATCTAACACGTCGAGTTGACCGAGTTTGCTTGATGGTGTTGAATGTTGAATAGAATACCTAGGTATGCTGCGAGCCCTCGCTGCGAAACGTTGATTCTGTTGATTGTCTCCCTGAGGCCGCCTGCCGGTTGCGAACTGGGAAGACGTCGTTTGATATCCACCCCACGCCGGCAGCGAGAGACAGGGCCGCGAGACGGCTACAGAGGAGCGTTGGTGGTTGGTCCCTTCGAGACACGTTCAGACCGACATAGGTGCCCAGGCCAGAATCCCACAAGGGCAGCTGGTATAGCAAAGCCGTACTGTACCAACCCGCGCTCCAGCAACACAATTTCCGAAACAAATACTTTCCCGTCCGAATCCCTCCATCAACCAAATCAGTGAGGGAGCGCCCGACAGCCATCAATCAATTTCCCATAATATGCCCCTGAGGAAAAGGCAAGCCAGGAGCCCAAACCAACACCGATGCGTACGACATGAGCCCCAAAAGAAACACCACGAGGAACCAGCAGCACCACGACATCGCGCTCTCCCTTACCTCGTGCTCCTCCGGGTGGCGCGGGCCGCCGTAGGTGACGGGGAACGGGAGGAGCAGGGGCTCCTTCTCGGGGTCGCGGATCAGGCCGTAGCTGGAGAGTCGGGAGGGCTTGTTGCGTGGGGGTGTGGTGGTGGTGCAGGTGGTGGTCGAAGAGGGTGAGCTCTCGTGCGGGGAGGAGTAGGAAGAGAAGGAGTAGGAAGAAGGGCTAGTTGGCTGCTGCGTGGTGCCGATGGCGTTCATGATCATATTGGCCCTCTTTATTTGAGCGTCTAGCAGGTCGTCCGTGATGGTCTCGTTGCGGGATGGGGATGAGCTCCCGTACGGGGAGGAAGAGGGGGAGGAGGAATAGGAAGAAGGGCTGGTTGGCTGTTGCGTGGTGCCGATGGCGTTCATCATCATCTGGGCCCTCTCTATTGACAAGGCTAGCGGGTCGTCCGTGATGGTCTCGTTGGTGGAAGGGGATGAGCTCCCGTACGGGGAGGAGGGGGAAGAGGAGGAGTAGAAGTAGGCAGAAAGGCTGGTAGGCAGCTGCGCGGTGGCGGTGGCGGCGGCGTGCATCATCCTCGCGGCCCTCTCCAGTTCGGAGTCTAGCTGGTCGATCGTGGTGTTGGAAGAGGATAAGCTCCCGTACGGGGAGGAAGAGGTAGAGGAGTACGAAAAAGGGCCGGTAAGCCGCTCCACGGTGGGCAGCATTATCGCCTCATTCTCCAGTTCGGAGGCTAGCTGGTCGATCGTGGTGGTCTTGTTGGTGACGGGGCGGTAGGGGCTCATGGGCGTGCGCGTGGGCGACATCTTGGATTGGGCGATGAACTCGTCGTACGTGATGCTTTTATTGCAATGTATGATGATGGGCTGTTTCGCTCTTCTTGTAGATTTGTGTGTTGGACTGGTTGGACTGATGGGAGGGATCTGGTTTGTGTTGGGCTGGTGGGAGTGTGTGTAGATATATGTATCGCTCCAGACTTGTATCGGAGATGGGGTCTGGCACACGTCAAGTTGACACGAAATCGACTTTTCACTTGCGAGAACCCTTTGGGCAGAGGCTGATTGGCATCTGAGCCTTTTCACAACAAGGATAGAGTTTCTGGCTAGTTGGGTGAGCGAGTTTCTAATAGTCAGGTGAGCCAGTTACTGACTGACAGGGGCCGCCCCTAATCAGCCGTGGCTGTCGCTTAGACCGACTGCTGCTCACCCTACAAAGGGCCGTCCAACCCACGATGATTCCTGCATTGCACTTCGGCATCTGATTCACGGTAACCCAGGCCTGCGCACTTGCCATTTGGTTAACTCTCCGCTCTAGGTCAGTCTAAACCTCAACCACCATCGAGTTCGAGCCAAGCTCGACATGATCGACACAGTGCGGGCACAACAGAACTTCAAATGGGATTCATCGTATCATTTTCCGTTGCCATGATAGTACATCGCTATCGTATAGTCGTAATATGCTGCCGCCTTTTTCAAGCCCTCGACGCGTTACACGGACTTGATGGAACCCCTTTCCGAGGCAGTCGTGAGACCTTGTACGATCTCGTTGCCCATCACGTAAATCATATAAGAAGGGAAGATGAGCCAAGCACCGCTACGTATCATCCGGTCAGCATGTCTACATAGCTCGTTAGGGCCCACGTGATAGGTGGCGTGTTGAGAGAGGGAATCTCACTTCGGGATAATCCACAGCGGAATCAGATCTGCGATGGTATTGTGCCCGATGTTGTCGAAGCCCGAAAAGTACTCGTTCAACCCTGCGCCAGGGTCAGCATGCCCGAACTACCTACCCTACGCAGAAACCGTCATCGCATCGATCACAGCCGCGGCGCGCCAACCCGAATCGCACTCACAGTAAAGCACCGTCTTGCTCAAGGTCATAACCGCAGCACTGAACGCCGTCAGCACGGCGAGGGCAGCCGGCCGCCCATCCAGGACCCTCGTGCTGCGGCCGGCAACGGTCTTGCCGCCGCGAAGGTACGTCCATACGTAGAAGGCGTACATGGCGGTCTCGAGGACATTCAGCGCGCCCTGGGCGGCCGTGAAGCCATTGTGTGCATTGAACGCCTTCCAGCCGTACACGTGGTCGACCTCGCCGTACAACTTGTAGGGTACATATAGCGGCCAGAAAAGGCTTCCGCCCTCCATCGTGTGCGGGCGGCCCAGCACGTACACGCTGTCCCAGACGACGAGCGGGAGAGAGATGGCGAACCAGATTAGGGTCAGATTGGACGGCGCGTGGACCCAGAGGTTGGGCGCTGCGGAGGAGGCTTTGGTGGAGGAGCGCGTGGTCACCATGGTCGCGTGTGGTTGTCGGGTCGTCGCGGTCGTTGGATTCGTCGGGGGTGATCAAGGCGTCGCGCCGTGGGTCTTCGAGGTCGAGTAGGTGCCTATGTCAATAATGGATAGACTCAAGGCAGTTTGTCACAACTGAGAGGAGATCAGGATACTTATAAGCTGTTGTACTCGATAGCTACTGTCGAACATTGAAGTCATGAAGTCAGGCCATGCCGGCAGATGCGGGGACTGGAGCAACAATGCGGCCTCGGTTCGTATTCGTTCCGATGACCTTATTTGAAATATCCCAGCCTGCGCCACGCACCACGTACAGTAACCGCGACCGCGACCGCGACCGCCAACATTGAACTACAACATTTAGTATGTGATAGAAGACTATTCGATGTGTAACATGACGGGGCAGTACTGTGTACGATCTATACGCAGCCCCATAGTGTAGCCTATCGACTTCATTGGCCAATTGAGGTTCCCCTTAATGCAGTCATCTCCCAGATCATGTCATGTTTCTGGGTCATCAGATATCTATCATCCATCGCTGTCCATGCGGAATACGGAGGATCATGTAAGCCGCACAATGCACGCAACAGGCCGCAGCAAACTCGAGTGAATTCAATAGGTACGGACTAGACGAAGCACGTAGGACTCGCAAGGAATCGTAACATGAAGGTACACATACTTACCGAAGCAGCGACAATAACTCAACGACTGAATGCTCTTTGTGATGAAGCTCAAGTCGAAGCTCATGAATTCTTGAATTCTTGAATAGACCGAAGCAGACGACAGGTCTACAGGCTCTCTGTCTACTCGACACAGATCCCGACAGTAGTTACATATCACTCTATTCCTGATCAAATGGATCGACACGAAAGGTTCTGTCGATGCAGCTTGCCCTACCCACACGTTAAGATTCCATTCCGCACCTGAAATCCATATACTGATCGCCTTGGTATCATGCTTTGACGTTCCCCATAGCACTCTGCACCAACATCCGAACATACCAGCGATGCAGAAAGCCAATCTTGGCCGGTATCCCGTGCTCGGCGCCCTCGACATAGGGCGCGCCACTGCTGTACATGGCCGACTTGAAGCTGAAATGGGCCTGTTGCGACTCGCGATCGATCTTCGCACTGAAGAAGAGCAGACCGTCTGACGCCCTCAGGCCGGGCTCCAGCGGTGATCCACCGCATCGGACGACGATCTCGTTGCCCTGGTGCTCGACGACCTCGAAGTGGTTGGAGAACCTCAGGCCCTTCTCAAACTTCGACACCGCCAGGTCCGATGTGTGCCACAGGTTGTCGTCGGTTCCGGGAGGCTTGTCGTAGCGCTCCTGCAGCTTGCTCTGGGGCCAGAAACCTGGTAGTAGGTCAGTCATGTCATGTCTTGTTTTTTTATGATCGCACAAGAGAGACTAGGTTAGGATCAGTCTCACCCAAGCGACTCCAGATACCACGGCAGAACTCGAGCGTGAGCGCTTCCTCATTGTCACGAAGGTCCGGTCGGATCTTGCTCAGGGGCACGCGCTTGAAACAGTCGTCCTGAAGAGCCGGGTTTCCCCTCGGGTTGTACTTCGCGTACGTCTTCGACTTGAAGATGGGGTCGTCCTTGGTGATGTTGACGAGGGTGGTGCTCGCGGCCAGGTAGGTCATTCCGGCAGCTGCGCTGGCGAGACCGCCCGTCACGCCCCAGAGGCCCGCCGTTATTGTCGTCCTGATGATGCCCATGTTGAAGAAGCTTTGGCTGGAGCTACATGTATCGATGGGGATGGGAATGAACGTGGAACCAGCCCCGGCGCGCACGCGATAAGATCCATACGAGCGAGGTCCTCGTTAAAATTGGGGCTTCCGGAAATCGGGATTTAAAGCCGGTAGCAGCAGCGCCTTGACGACGGTTCAAATGTGACGGCATTCAATCTGAAGCATGAGACCCGAAGCCGTTGAGTCACAAGCGGTTGCCGTGTACATCTTGGCTTCGAATACATGGCTAGGAATGAGTTTCATGTGTCGGACGCTGATTCACAAGGCACTTCATGGGTAAAATTGTGGGATGAGCAGGCGATCATAACAGTCTGCATGTTCAACATGCATGGACAACCTCCATCCTATAGTCATGGTGTCGACGGTTGCCCTCTATCTACAATTTTATCTAGCGCAAGATATCCCAAGATGGAAGCTGCTGGACATTGGTGACTCAACCGCGCAATGGTGAATGATCATTGAATATATGAGGGCCCCAACAGATGCAATACGCCGAAAAGGCAGTCATCACACAAGATAAAAGTGGCAGCAATCACAGGTCAATCTAGCACGCAGATATGACCGATAGCAAGTGGGCGAATTGGAAATCGGTTGATTTAATCGTGCGGAAAAAGTGTAAAGAGAAGAAGAAGAGAGGAAGACAGGCGGGCTTCACGATCCTAGCATTAAGAGATTTCCAGAGAGGTCCGCGGTCATGTGACCTGGTACCCACCATCACCAGCCACACAAAGCTGGGCGGGGCTCCGGGGCGCAACACTGGAAAATTTAACTTAAAAGCCCACTTCGATGTTTCTCTCTGCGGAGATTTCTTCCAGAGAACAACATTCAACACCCAAAGCATCACCATGTCAAATCGAGTCCAAAACCAGTGTCACTCAAGACAATGCACAACCCGATTATATTCCGATCGGTGAGGCCTGTCGTTTGCACACTGTAGATTCTCCTCATGCTTACGGGTACCAGTACCTCTGGGCCTCTGTCAAGCGCCATCGTACCGGTACTCATTCTCGTACAATTTTCCCTTCCCCTGGAGACAGACAGCACGGAACCCACAAAATGCCTACACATCGCGACTCATCAATGCGCATAGTGTCAACTTATTTTATCGTTCGAAGTGGGAGAAGAAACCAAGGCCTAGACAGCCGGTCCGATCCACCCTGTTGCCGTAGAACTTCAGTGCGGCAGCGGGACTAACAAGGACATACATGCATGCTTCCCATAGACATGTGACTTGATATACCTTCCAACAGATGTTTGCTTACGCGTGGAACATAGTATGAAGCTGCTCAATAGTAGGCGATCACGAATTGATGGCTGATTGAAGTTGCTGACTCTTGACTACCTGCAAATATGAGGTCTTAAACGTTTTCCATCCACGGATCCCTCACGGATTCCCCGGCGAACCATCATCCAAGCTGCTATCGAATTCGGGAATCATGTCACCGCGAGCTTTGTCAAGTTCCGACGCGAAGCTCGCATCCTTGATAGCGATCGATGCGCTTCCAAAGTCATATGCCATCAACTCGTCCCGCAGTGCCGTCGTAGGGAAGCCGTTCCACGACACCAGATCACCGAAGAACCAGGCGCCCGTGTCGTTCTCAACCGCATCATCGCCCTCGTTCGCGAAGCGGAAGTCGTGCGTAGAGAGGCCATCTTTATTGTATACGACCTTCGGATGCGTACCGTCCCAGCGGACGTCGCTCGCGTTCTTGACCTGGTACTCGCCGTGCTGCGATACACCGACGTACTTGGCCTTCCCATTCTGAACCAGGACGATGACGTGTTCCCAGTCGTTTCGGTGGCCGGGATCGAGGGGAAAGTCGGCTATTGCCACGTCCTTTTCGAAGTAATAGTCGTACAGGTAGAAACACCAACCGTTGTTGCAGCGGGTCCGCGAATACACGTTGTTGTTGCTGAGATCCGAGGGGTCGTGACAGTCCTCGGCGAGCCCCGTGTCCTCGTGGTCGAGTCCCGGATTGATGTTGCCAGCCGCGTCGATGGCTGGTATGTTGTAACAACCGTCGGTATCAAAGTCCATGGCAGGTTGCCACCTACACAGCAGGTATCAGTCATGGCCGTTGTAGGAATGAAGGTTACGGCATACATCAGGTCGCCACGGTGGCCCTCTCTGGGAGGGCGGCAGGGGGATCTCGGGCTTCGATCTTGGAAGCCACCTTGGCTGGCATGCCGTTTACTTGGGGAACGACAGAGGCCATGAGCAAGGCCAGCCCAGTGGCAGCGAAGCTCGTTCGAAGAGGTATTCCGATGACTGGTCTGGTGCTCCTCGAGAAAGAAGCTCTGAGTACGAGATGAGGTGAGGCACAGAGTACCCCTCCACGAGCCCAGACGTCGATGGCGGTCCTCCATTTATGTTCCCTTGATCACCACTTCCAGGTTCGCGATTCGAGCCGGCATCCTTTCGGGTGTTTTCCAAGACCAAGCTTTCGATCTCGGCGCTGTGACTGTATGAGCTGAGCTTGATTCGAATGAACAGGGATGTGAAGAGTATGCCGTCCCTCACCTGCCATCTTCGGACTCGCATGAACATTGGCTCGGCCGCTTGCTACCCTCCTGCATGTTGACCACTCCACGTTACGCGGGGTCTTGAAAGGCCAGCGATGATACCGTCAAGCGGCCGAAGCCTTGTCCTCCTATCAATCAAGCAACGTGATAGCGCCTCCTCCACTCCGTCCGGAGCAGATGTCAACAGTTGCATCGTGCAAAGTCTCCTGAGGTCGTCTCGATATACCCAACCAACCAAGCGCGTTCCAATACTTTGTATCCGATTCGTTGACACCCCGCACAGTGCACGCCGCGGACCACATGCGCCTGACCATCAAGTGCTTCCCATTGTCCCACTGGAGGCCGAGTTCCTGAAGATCTTCCGAGATCGGCAATCAATGCAGAGCCTCGTCACATGCCTGGCAGTAAGTAGTCAATTCAGACTCCCCTCCCGATCAATCTGGTCGTCAACCTTCATCCCCTTCCCATTGGAACCAAAAGATGGCAGATGAAAAGGACCGACTTCTCCTTGGTCGATTCACCCCAGGTCTTTGCTCTCGCACGATGGATCAAACGGGGACCTCATTCGTTCATTGAATTCGAGTTCACATGCTAGGACCTGGGACAGTGTTCACCTGTGCTACTCTAACTTCTCCGTTGACGATATGGGGGGTCGTGCTTGTGGGCTGTGTTGTGGGCAACCCGTACACTACTCTTCCAAGGTCTGGCAGCTCTACCACAGGATTCTAAATCATGCCGAGCTTCATGGTATCCTGACACTCTACGCATCGAATGCCACGGTGCGTTGGACGCTACACTCAAGGTCGTTCGACTCAGTTCGAAGCGAGTGTAAGTATATTTAGAGCAGAATGACATTCATTGCCTGTAACTCCGTCCTTCACAGTCTACCGCCCTGTGTACTCAGCTCGAAGCAAGATGTAGGACTAAATTGAAAATAACTGGAACATTCGTCTGCGTCCTATTTTTATAATGAAAACTTTCAGCTCCAGAACGCTATGCAATTTTCGGTATCTGTGGCCGTGATGAAAGCAAACCAGGAGGTGATATTGCGCGCTTCTGGCAGCAGAGCGAAGAAGTAAGGATGGCTTATCCTCCGGCGACGCTGCGCACGTAGCGCTCCCGTTGTTAGACGCCATTTTAAGTAAACGAAGTTCGCTACTGAGAGCAATTACAGTGGTGATCTCGTGAAGGGCATATGTATTCGCTCGTCGCGCTACCGTAACCACGGTCGGACGCAAACACCGTACCAACAAACAGCTCGGCTTCACCTCTCCCATCCTCGTCTCATTCTCAAAGCTCCAGCAAACCATCTCACAATGGTCGTCAACTCATACTTCGTCAACGCCACGCGCCCGGCTTCTTCAATCGCTTGCCGGATGTCGTTTGTTTCTGCCTCGTCTCGCAAGGTATCGTCCTGTATAGCCTGGCTGCGCATACCAGTATTAATAAGGTGCCGAACGTCCTTCCCGCTTTCGCTTTCGATTTCCCAATAACGCGGCAGCATCCCTGGTCGACTGGTCTCATGTCCGGGCGTCACGACGACCCTCGCGGTATCGCAGTGGTCGTCCCCGACCCACCATGCTCCGCGGCGGTCGTACGGCCAGGACCACCACGAAGTCCCCACAATCCTCACAGCTTCCATGCAACGGATCGCCTCCAGCGGCAGGCTCTCGATCTTGGCGCATACCCCCTGCTCGGTCTTTGTGTTACTGACGATAGCGAACTTGGTGCTCGACCAATATTCACGAGAGGCCTCCTTGTAGTATCCGCAGGCTTCTTGATACAATATCTTGCAGGTGAAGAGTAGCGAGTCAGAAGGCGGTGCGGCGTCCAAGAAGTCGATCTCGCCTTCTTCGAGGGTAGGCTGCGGGGAGGAAGTAGAGCTTCCAACGAGTCCACCAGACATCCCCTCTCTCAGCGCTTGCCACGACCGGGAGAATCGGGCTGGCTTGGACTCGGGCCGCCGGTAATGGGGGCCGTCTTTAGTGAAGCTCAGCTTGTATATCGCGTTCCGCAGCTCTGATGGGAGCTTGTGCAATAGACGGCACATTTGCTGCGTGTTTACCCTTAGATGCCTCAAAGACACTTGGGGCTCCTCCATGTCTGCGTATAAACATTGTCTGGAGTACCGGACGAGATACAGATATGGAAGCAACAGCGCACGTCTGATAGAAGTTCGGGACAGGTGACGTTCACTTGTATGCCCAGGCAACCCGGCAACGAGACAGAAAGGGATGCACTGCGCCACACTTCCAAGCCGAGCACCGCCCTCCATGCCATTTTTGAGCACGTGACCATTAAAGCATGCACAGCCATGCGCTCTTGGAGATCTTGCTGCTATGTAGTTACAACATTTGCTCGCAGACCCAAAGTGATGACGAACGCTCCCCGACACGTCCGCAAGTTGAACCATTGGTGCTAGCCAAGGTCCTACCTCACGAAGAACGTACCCTACTACTCTCCAGGCAGGGTTGCCACCCAGTCAGGGGCAAGAGCCCCGTCAACCACGATGTCCTCCTCGAGCTTCGCTTTGTCATCGTAGAAGAAGTGCTGCATATTTTGAATTAGCGCCTCAATGACAGCTTCGCTCTAGGACCCGCTACTCACCATTGTTGGCGTGCGTGTTCCAGAACCCTAACCCTAACTCAGAATCAGATCACATGTTCGTTCGACGTGCGAGAGAGGTATTTAGTACCGTTGGATTCACGAGAAAGCTCTGGTGCTTGCGATGCAGCAAGACGCGGTTATTGGTTATTGTAAGATGAGTAGTCGTCTTCGAGACACAGCTAGAAGTGACCTCGCTGGGGCGCGGCGATGGGAGTGTTTTGATACTCCTCATCCTTCTTCTTCTTCTTCGCCGCCTCCTCCGCCTCTTTCACTGCTTCGTCTGTCCCATGCTGCGCCTGCTTTGCCTTCTCTGCCGCCTTCTTTGCCGCCTCCTCTGCCTCGTTTGCTGCCTTCTTTGCTATTGGAAGGCTAGAGACTCCAGCATATTACGGGAGAAGAAACTAGGAATTCCCAGAAAACACTCCAGAATCCGTTCGAATTCTTGCTGGTGGGAGGCTACGTAGACAGTCAGCTACCCGCTTGGTTAACGCTTGTCACCATGGCCTACGTACCTTGATAACACGCCTCCGCGTACATCAGGATCTTGAGCCGGAGAGCCGGCTCGTACATTTTGAGGAAGCGTTCGTGGTATTCCCATCCCTCCGCGTCGCCCGCATTCAGATTGGAGAACAAGCCGCACCAGCTAGCGAGTGCCATCACGCTGAGGACATCTTCAAGCGCGTCATCAGTGACAGATCTCGAGCAGGTCGTGGTCTTTGAGATGAGTCATGATATCACAGGCTGTGGATAGGAGGCCGCAGGGGGTATCCAGACTCTTGATGATATTGAGGTCTTTCTTGGTTACTTCGTAATCTGAGTTCAGATAAAAGAAATCCGAAAAGAGGTCGAGAGCAAAGGGAACGTCAAGGTGACTCGCTTGGTAAACCATGATACCGGCCTTGATGATCGATAGCGATTGAAAACCTATTCTCTCTTTGGCGACTCGGTGGGCGATGTTCATGGTGATAGCCTGGTCAATCTTGACGGCATTGTTGTGGTAGGTGGCGGCAAAAACCTGGCTGGTTTGTGCGAGGGAGCGTGCAGAGCGCATGTCGGTCATGTGTACGAAGATTTTAATCTTCATCTCACAAGGGATGCGTTCAATGCCGCTTGGGCCGGTGGTGAGGTCGTTCATGATGGTTGAGGATGAGTCAAGGGGTATGGGAAAGGAAGTGTTTCTTGTGATGGTGAGCAGCTCAGCCAACAGAACGTGCAATGACAATTTATAATGCAGTTGAAGTAGAGCTGAATGAATGGGCAATGCCTGAGTTGGATGAATGGGGAGCACCTTACCTGCATGAATAGGAGGGGTTTGCGCCACTGGTTGCTGGTCATTGTTTCCGTCTCTTCACCATCTCATCATCTCCACGAATGGAAACTCGCCACGAGGCTTCAAGCCAATCGCGTCCGTGGCTAACTGGCGGCAGGCTGTCACTGATGAAGAATGATATTCACCAATCTTATGGTGATTGCATGCCCTATGTGTAAAACCTCGAGAGTGACAAAGAAGACTACCCTGGTGCTACCCTTTGTTTCCATTGCAGGCTCGAACATGCTCCATCCGCGCGCGCCTAGTGGGGATTATGTCCCTGCAGGAATGCCAATACTTTTAATGTTGGAGAGCATATAGTCCACCCTCCTTTAATGTCTTGTCGAATTTTACAAGGTTTCTTTGATCCTTGGAGTTGGTGTACCGCCCTTTATAAGCCTCTAAACCCCTTTTTCATGTCAGAGACCGTCGGAGAGTCGGTCTCTTGGATATGGACGCTGATTATCACATACCTCTCGCTGGGCTGGGACCCTTATACTTGACTGGCTATAATACACAGTGGAGTTGGTAAATTACAGAACCAGCAGTGAGGTTTCATAGCTGGCAAGCAGGTACTTTTGGTTATAGACCATCAAATGCGTACCATGTTGCCCTACCATTACTACATTGATGTGACCTTCACCACCCCGCTGGAGGTAGTGAAGGCCAGTTACAACCAAATAGGATTTTCGATGAATGTCACGGCACTAGGTAGCCCCACAGGACCGACCCCTATATATTACCAGACCATGTTTTCTAGTTAGCTTCATGGTTTCTTTTCTTCCTCACGTACAACAGCGAAAGCCACTCTGGAGTCAATAAAAGTCAAACTGTGACAGTACAGTACATTGAAGGCCAACTCAGGCACCACGCCCGTACAGCGTTCGTCTAGAAGGCTTTACAGCCGAATAAGAAGATGAGTCCATTCCCTCAGGCTCAGTTGATGGCCAGGCGTCTTCTTTACCTGAAGCAGGTGCGCACGCATCCACTCTCTATATGCAGCATCGTCACCGGCAAGGTGTATGAAATGTCGCCTCCGGTAGCCTTCGTGGAGTTCGTCGAGGGATTTGAACGCGCGCGATGCATATTTTTTAACATTCTCTCCGAAAACTCGAGCTCATGGACCCAATTAGACTTTTCTGGTTTTACCAGTTGATGTTATAACTTACCCATGTAAATGCAAGCTCGCAAGGATCCAACAAGGCTACAAAGAAGCTTCCAGCTAGTCCCTGACTTCCAGAGACCAATACTTACCAGGCCATCATGGAGGAAGCGCCCAATCCGCAAAGACAAAGACAAAGAAACAGAGCTCTTCAAGCAATGGTTACAAGAGAGAAACGTGAACACTGACCTTGTCATCTACTCAGATGGATCACAGTTGGATGACCAAGGCACAATCCGCACTGGATGGGGTTATACCATCAGGAAAGGCGGCACTACACAAGAAGTATACCGGGGAAGGGGCAGACTTCTACAAGCAGAAGTAGTAGATGCTGAAGTCCATGGTGCTCTCCAAGGTCTTGCAGCAGCCAGGGCAATTGGACACGGAAAACAGCTATATGTCTGCCTGGACAACACGTCAGTGGTAGATGGGCTCAATGGGACTCCACCCGAGACATCACAAAACATTTTTCTACGATTTCAAGAACTTGCCACAGCATACACTCCTGGAGTGACCGTCAAATGGATTCCTGGACACAGAGATATTGATGGCAACGAAGCTGCCGACACACTAGCAAAAGAGGGTGCCATGCTGGAAACAGACACAACAAATCTTCCTACAATCTCTTGGGTCAAGAGAGATCTCAAAAGACAGGGCAAGAAAGAGTTCAACCAATGGTGGAAAGACCAATCAGAATCTAGGTATCAAGAAGTATACTCACATGCAGTAACTGAAAGAGACCTTATATCTTTTAAGAGGAGTACTTTACACAGACTTCTAGCGGCCAGATCTGGACATGGCGACTTTGCCAGATACCATGAACGCTTTGGGCACACAGATTCAAATGATCACTGCAGCTGTGGTGAGAAGAAAACACCACAACACATTTTCTTTTGTAAGAGGCTGGGGAAAAATCGGCTACTGCCTAGGCATTCGCCTAGGGCAGCTTGTTTACAATACTTAGGGGAGAGGAGCACAGAATGGGCAAAATTCGTGGAGAAGAGCAAGTTCTTTTCAACAATCTGCCCCCGATAGATAGCCTTCCTTGAAGGACCAGATGGATGACCCCAAGGTCATACCGCCGCAACAACGGGGATGGGCCCGTGAGCGGGACTGACTGTACTTATTATCTTGAGACCTCCACAACCCTGCGATGCAGAGGCTCTGGGAGGCGTGGTTTGCACTACTGAGGAGCTACCCCCACGTTAAATACAAAACAAACAAACAAACATACCCATGTAAATGAAGCATATGCACTCCTTATACGGCCAATCTTTTCAGACTTGAACATAGAAAAGAACGAGTCTGTAGCCCCGGTTATATCAAAGGACATGTAAGGCAACTTGGTACACGCCTGGATGATCAAGACGGTCTTGATGATGTCTTTGTCGCTGAGCGGTTGGGGCATGTTCCGCCCCTCGTAGGAGGCCCTGGTCGCAGATGCTATCAGTTCGTCGATGGCGACTTTGGTCGCAGATACTATCTTCCGACAGGTGGTGAGAATGTGCGGAAGTTCGTCGACGACAGGCCTCAAGGCCATAGTCAGCTTCCACTCCGAGTCGTGTCTGTGCGCGTCGACAAAGCTCTGAAAGCGGGCACGGGTCAACATGTCGCGCATGGCAAGCAGCAGCTAAAAACAACTATTTTTCTTGGCGCCCCGCTGTTAGGGCGCAACCTTGATATTTGTACTAAAGCAGGCACTTCTCTCAGTAACTGACTATCTCTGTCAAGGCACAAGAGAATTTTTCTTACAAGTCGGATGGCACCCTTCCACAACGGGCCCCCAAACACACCCGTGGCCGTCCCAAAGACGACCACTGGCGGCGTGCTCAAATCCCCGGCCCCTAGAAAGACATACGGCCCGGCAACTCTGAGCAGGCTCCGCCAGGCGCTGCTTGACGACATCAGCAGCAGCCCGTCACAGGTCTCTGAGGCTGACTTCACCGTTATTTCCCCTCTGAAAGGAAAATCCTGAAATATCAATGATAACAGTACTACTGGAATGAAACGACCTTAATTAAACGAAATCTTGACAAACCAAGTCATTACACACGATATAAAGAATAAAACCTCCTCTTCAGAGTGCCAGAACCAAGTTGCCAGAATACTGGCTAAAGACAAGCACCTTTATGAAGCCAGGATAACAATGTTATAAGAGTGTGCTACAGCGATTAATAAGACACTTGAGAAAGCTAGAATTGAACTATACTCTCATGCCAAGGAGTTCAGCGCTTTCTTCTCTAAATGTCTGAACGAGTGGCTGGAAACCCGATATCTGTCCAAGAGAAAGACCATCCCTGGGGGGATAGGGATGGTAAAGCCCACCATAACCTTTGCCCAAGCTGTCTCCTCTAGCCAACGACAGCATCCACGGACAGTCAACACTACCATAAAGAAAACACAGCCTGGCGCCCACATCACTGCCAACCAACTAAAAAAGAAACAGGATGATCTTTGGGTCTTTATCCGTATGGATAATAGCCATCTAGAGCCTTATAGAATAAAGTCTACACTGAACAGAAGACTTAAGCTCCACCCTCAAGAGCTTAGAGAAGTGACCCGGTGCCCCTCCGGATTTACCTTACACCCAAGGGACAAGCCAACTCAGGCTAAGCTCCTGGCCTCCCAAGAAGAAATCACTGATATTCTCAAGGCAGAAAAGATCAAGACCCACACGATCTGGCATCACTATAAGGTCAATAAATGCCCAAGAAAGGTCATCAGTGCGGAAGGATTAACAATCGACATTACTGACATTATTGTTGCTAATGAAGTTAAAGCCCAAATAGGTGACAGACCTTTAAGGTACATACTCTCAAGGAACACAGTTGATTCTGATCCAGAGACCACATAGGTGATCTCTCTGTCCCGTACAGCAAAGAAACCATTCACGCTTTTTGCTCACTCAATGACCTCAAGGCACATTCAATACTCCCCCAAGGTTCACCAGTGTGCGAGCTGCTTCAGATACCATGGTAGGAACTACCGATGTGAAAAGCAAGTATGTGCACGTTGTGCCAGTACAGTACACCAGGGGGAGTGCGAAAACCCAATCCCAAAGTGTGTCAACTACAAAGGACCTCATGCTGCCAATTTCGACAAATGCCCTGCACGCCCCAAGGTTGTGAAAGACATCATCCATAAGCACACATGGGAGCAAATCCAGGAAATAAGGCTGGCTGGAGAAAGAGCCAGATCCAAGGCCTTCAATGAAGCAGGCAGAAACCAAGCTGGGTCAACACCCAGCAACAATAACAAAGACATCACAATGCAAATCGACACAACAGATACAACTCATCCCAGAGATGCCGATACCATTATTGTCAGTCAATATTAGGTACATCAAACGAAACACATCAACACGGGCATCTAGTCATCCATTCTGTGAATATAGCAGGAGGACAAAAGAATGCAGGCCCTACAGAATTAGCCATCAACCTGGCTGACTACAAAGGAGAAAAAGCAGACATTATTCTGATACAAGAGCCCTGGATTGGCATACCACCAGGCAGAAGAATGGGAGTAAAGTCACACCCCAATTACGATATATACTCCCCAGTGGATTCCTGGGACAGTGACAGTACACGGCCCAGATCTCTCATCTATGTGAGAAAACACCTCTAAGCAGATCAACTTCGGCCCTATGCTACACGAGACATCACCT